TGCAGTATAGGGGCTGTGTGTCAAATGTGTACTGTGTTGGTCGATGCGGTTGGTAGTTTATGTAACATGGCTGGCTGTGCTTCTTCCTCGTACGCTTGTAGCTGCAGCTTGTATGGCATGGGGAACATCGTTGGTAGCGGTAGTTGCCGGTTGCTTGGGAGCGATGAATCTGTTGATTGATAGACAGACAGGACGGAGGTACTGCATGCAAAGCAATAACTTAAATAGTCTGGTGAATATACGAGATTCGCAAAAAGACATGACAAGAGTGGGATTCGAACCCACGCCATCTTACGATGATCAGGAAGCTTGATAAGCTGGGTGTTAAGGTGACCTTAACCTGACGCCTTAGACCAACTCGGCCATCTTGCCTTGATTGATGAATAGTGGCGTTGTTATTGACATCATAAAGCTGCATCAGTCTTACAAATCCCTTAGCAGTTTTGCATCCGCTTGCGGAAGACGTTGCGTTATTGGACTTGGGTCAAGTGGGAATTGGCAGACACTGAAGTATTGAATGTAGACTTCTGCCCTAAATCATCCCACTATCTTATCACCAAGGATACGGTGGACTGTCGAAACCTATCGTTGCAATGCAGATTCCAAACGGTGAGCATACCGCTTGCGTAGTTGGGCAGATCTCAGTCAAGCACTGCAGATACTATACATTCTCGACCCCGTAGAACCAGCTGCGCCTGATGGCCACCAGCCGATAGGGAGAAAAGTGTAGACAAGCGGAGGACAAGACTCTGAATTCTCCGGGAAATAAAGAGCACCGAGCACAATCGCCGTTGCCAGCAGCAGTGGTAAGAAAAGTAGCCAATGCCATAGTCGCTTCACCAGTCATGGTTCACCAGGCCATTTTTTAGGGGTATAATGCTTTAAACTGACAGCCAAAATATCGAATAGGCAAGATGGCCGAGTTGGTCTAAGGCGTCAGGTTAAGGTCACCTTAACACCCAGCTTATCAAGCTTCCTGATCATCGTAAGATGGCGTGGGTTCGAATCCCACTCTTGTCATGTCTTTTTGCCTCTTTCTACACTGCCCTTCGTATACCGATTGGCTGAAATGCGCTAGTGGCTTTCCCCTGGAGACGTGGTGAACAACTCACGATCGCGAACGGCTTATCGATTAGAGGCCGGCCGGATGCTGACACTGACACTAACTATATCTCATGCATTGCCAGCTAGTACCTTACCTACCTACATATGAAATGTAGCCAACGAACTGATCTGCATCGACTATCAGTCATTCCCTCCGCCCGCCCGATTGGCGCACAGGATACTGATCTGCCTCTCAGACAAGGCCGAAGCGAGAACGAAGGAAGTCGCCCATGCATATCCGACGCACTCAGACCTTTCTCTCCCGTGCGAGTCTGCAGAGCGGGACTGTTCTGGTCTGCGTGGCGATTTTGGAATATAATCCAGTGGAGGTTGACGTGTGTGTGTGTGTGTGTGTGTGTGTGTGTGTGTGGGTGGGTGGATCAACTGTCTACTCCTTACTGTTCTCTGGTTTGTTTATGTTGATAATTCTTTCTTCGTGGTCGGTTATTTGTGGTTGTGCTCTGCGATGACGGCGTGGTCGAAGCTCGGGGCCTCAGCCTCGGTGTCTTTATCCTATCGTCAGAGGGCGGAGGTCAGGTTTTAACTATAAACTGAAGTACCGTAGTACCTCGGTAGCTACTATAGTAGGTAGGGAGGTAGAGAGTAGGGAAGTACTGTAGATAAGTGCCTCCAAGGTGTAGCTCCCGCATCGGATACGGCGTTGAAATATGTACCCCGGGTTCAACCGTGTTGAACCGAGTAGGAGGCTTGTGCTACTGCTGCCGCCACTGGTGGTGGTGGAAGGATGAAGTGGTGGCCGCAGGAGACGGGGAGTCAAAACGCAGACAGGAATTGAATTCAGGTGTTCAGGTTGTAGACCTGTAGACCTGCAGACCAGCTGGACGGACGCTGGATGCATGGTGGGGTGGGATGCAGTTCGTACCCGCGGGCCGTTCTTCTCTCTTGACTTGACCATTGCTGGTACTGTGAATGACCCTGTAACTGATTTGAATTTGTTATGGCATGACCAGATAAGCCAAAATACTGAGATTGTACAGACATGTGGTCGGATTGAGAATCCACGGGAGAGTTGGGAAGAGTAGATCCGAGATATACACTACAGTACCAGGGTTCAAGTTCTAGATTCAGAGCCAGGAAAACAACACCCCCTTCCCACCACCACCACCAGGGTCCTATCCATAGTCAGACTACCACCAAAACAGAAAGTGTACTGCAATGTCCTGTATTGTACTGTGCATCCTCCTTTTCCCCCAAGCTCCCCACCCTGCCTTGGCTTTGGCTGTGAAACAATGCGCCGTGTATTGCAGTTCCTATCGGACTGGCACTGCTCTTGGGCCTTGGCACTTATCTCTGATAGACGTTTAGTTGCTTGGCAGGTATTTCCTTCCTCTTGTCCGTACCCCTTCTTCCCCCCTTTTGTTCTACTAATTGTTATTGGAGCTGGGTGAGATCCGATGGTCTCGCTGGTGTGTATGTATGTATGTATGATGTCATTCTTCAAAAAATTACCTAGCAAGTCGTGACTGATAATCCGAAACAATGCCCAGCACAAAGAAAAGCAATATTGTAGCATTGATAACCCCTTTCCCTCCACTCCCATTCTCCCCTTCCAGCTTCGCCAATCCAAATCAGAGTGCTTACAGAATGAGAACATCAGGCGATTCGTGTCCAGCGCGATTCGTTCCATGTAGAAGAGGCTCAAGCAGGGTCAACGGGCAGGTCAAGCGAGCTGGCAACCCCCTAAGCTATAAGCTAAGCGAGAGGGGCGCTGTTGGAACCATCGTGGCCCAAGTACAGAAAGCCACTGGGGAGGCGGGCGAGACCCGGGCGGCGCGAGGAGTCGTTGCTGGTCGTGGAGGACTGGCTGCTGGAGCGCTCACGAGGGTGTTGAGCCTCGGCGGCTGTGAGGGGGCCGTTGTGGATAGGGGCCAAAACGAGGAAGCGGGAGGAGGGGGTTTCGGTGTACATCTTGAGATGGAAGAGATGGGATGAGATGAGATAAGATTTGGGGCGGAAGTTGTTGTTATTGCTGTTGTTGGTCGTGGTGGGAGGTAGAGTTTTGAGGGGACAATTGAAGAGAGACCGTACACTGAAAAGAGAGATAGTAAAGAGACCGCAAAGAGTAGAGAGTAGAGAGTAGAGAAGAGTCTTTGGTTTGAATTCAAGAGAAAGCTTCCTCGGACGAGGTCTGAAGACCGTTTATATAGCTAGTAAATAGCAAAGGAAGGCGTGATCGGGGCACGTCAAAGACACTGAACTTGGAGGGGTGTCGGGTCAAGGGCAAGCTGGACGGGGAGCTCGGAGCAAACATGTCGAGCCCACCAGCTTGCATGCGTGCATGCATTTGGGCGATAACGACATGCCTCTCAAATCCGAGGGTGGTGGGTAGACGATAGCTGATTCGCACCTCATCATTTCACATGGGTCTCCGGGGATAGAATTCACCCATGGAGGGGCAGCGAACGTCATCCGGGCCCCTCTCCCTTCCTTGCCAATTCACTAGGGCCAAAGTCAAGCCCCAGAAAGCCGAAGACACTATCGCCGTCGAGTGCGCTGGTTGGACCAGGAGCGAGGATCGCTGGTCCCCTGTGTTAGCGAGAGTCTGCTGGGCGAAACACGCCTCTCCTCAGCCTCGGATGATCAGCAGCCAGCCAAGACACTAACTTACTGTTGTAATGTGTATGGAGTATGGAGGATCCCGTGACAAGATTGAATAATTCTGGGGAATGTCCAGGACAGAAAAGAAACTGGAAGGTGAAGAAGAAGTGGTCTTCCCTCTTTGGGGATATCTCTGACCACATGACCAACCCCTTTGCCTCGTCACCATCCATTCTAGAACCACTTGCTCTCTCTCAACTTCTCTCCCCTCCCCCCCCACACTCTCGCATTGCCTCAACGATCGCCCCAGCAAATCGGCAAGATAAGCGAGCAGTCTTCCGTTCCCGATCCCTTTCTGCATCCCTTGCCGGTTATCGAAAATTCTGAGAATTTGCCCAAATCAGTCCGAAACATAGAGGCCTGATCGTCAAGTCGGCTGATGGATTCATTGAGACGAGATGTTCTTGGAGCCAAGCAATCTTCCAGAGACATGCTGCGGACAGTACGGAGTACTTTGCTAGACTACTTATCCACGAAACCCGAGCGATGTAAGCCAAACCCCTGAGATTTCTTACCACCCTCAGCAGCATTGGACGGCACCTCGCGAGTTGAAATAGAAATCAGCACCGCCCAAATGCAGGGGCGCAGAATGTGACGAATCCGCAAGGATTGGCGGCGGCTCACCACTCCGTAGGTCACGTGCCTCCCACAACCTGCGTGCATGGCGGCACCTGGAGTAAATCGAAAGAAAGGCACCACTATCAATATCTCACAGATTCCTCACAGTCTGCCTCTCGGGTGCGAGGGTCCCAAGTCGGGGGCCAACGGCGGCTAGAGGAGGCCGTGCCCTCTGCTTGAGGCCCCTCGGCTCTCGCCATTTTAGCGCCCCAAGGTCCTACGCCGTATCGCCTGAAGTGGCGCGGATCCTCGGCGGCTGAAAGCACCATGAGACATGCAGAAAACCCGTGCGGTGCTGCTGTGCTCTTGGAGCTCCCAGTCCACTCGCAACTGCTGTGCCGACACAGCACAGTCAGGTTTCAGCTTCGATATCAACTGTCTGGCTCAACTCCTGCTGTGGTGACAACAACAACAATTTGATAGGTCGATGATGGTGCGTGGCACTGCTCAGTTGCTCGGAGTGCGCATTGATCGATCGACTGGCTTTGAATCACACCAACATCGCGAAGCAGACGGGGCTATGGAATGGATACGCTCACCGTAGATGCGAAGAGCCCGTCAGTCTTGGTGCTAACCTACCGTTGCCAGGCAGGTGGGAGAACCTTAATTGATATCTTTCGGACAAATGAGAGGAAGCTCGAAGTGCAAGAAACGGTGAACTGCCCCAGGTTCCACTTAGCCATTAATATCACCAACCGCGTCAAGGTCCTGGGTGTCGTGCATTGGCCGATGGGAAAGCAATGACCTCCCGTTCCCTGTGATGACAGAGTGGCTCATGCAGATTCAGTGCCTTAGCTTCCGCTCCTCGCTTCCACTACTCTCTGCTATGCCCGTTGATCGTTGATCTGTTAGATATGCATGGTAGGAACGTGGGTCGCAAAGTGCGCCTAGGACCTGCGCCGACCCCTGACAGGAGCAGGTGGCTCCATCGATCAACTAGTACCACGCAGCCTTCCGGCCGAGCATCGCTCAGGTGCCATTCAATCAGACCAGCAGGTGGGGGTTATCGGCTCTGGATATCGGTGCGATCATATTGGCCTGCTCCACAATGTCATCCTTGCGTTTCCCTCCACCCGGCACCTAGATCTTGGACACATGATGGACCGTGTCCGGCGTCGTTGAACGCACCCTATGGATGGCAGGCCCGTCAGTCTGCAGCATGACGTGCGTCAGATGCTCCGTTTCGAGCTCTGTCTGAGCTGCGGCATGACCCCAGACGCATACACGACTGTTGGATGTTAACGCAAGCTGATTTGATCGTGGACCTGGCTGCATATGTGACCGACCTGCCTTGCTGCAGGAGTGCTGTAATCGTGAAGATGATGTCAACCTCCCATTGATGCAGCTGCGGAAGTCTAATATTCCCTACGATCAGAGTTCCAAAAATTCCCGGTTTCATGCATGACCTTGTTAGTCGCATTCGCTCATTTACCCCACTGGAGAAAAGATGCCTTCCCAGGTTGACTCCAGGTGGCTGTCGCGCCTCGACAGATCTGCATAACCGCCAATGATTGATGCTGGAAATCGCTGGCAGATTTTGGATGACCGATTGCAGGGCCCGCTCTATGAGTGGGTTACGGATGTGATGTAGACCGAATCGCCAACTGTTTACGGCACGGATGCTCATCTGATTCAGACAGAGCATCGCCAAATGAGCAGGTGAGACTAGGAAAGACAGCGGATACATGAAAAGGGTAATGTTGGCAAGACAGAGAAGCAAAAACGACCGAAGGAGAAAAAGCAAAGGGATATGCATGCGTAGTTTAGTTAGCCGTTCCTTGCTAGCCTTCTTCTTTACTTTCTTTCTACCACACTTCTAGCGTCTCGACTCGTTTCTTATTCTTCCAAAGTTTTTTTTTGTTGGGTTTCTGCTCTCGCATGATCAATTTATTGAATATCATCAAAAAATTATTATTCTGTCGCATTTTTAATTTTTGTTGGCACAAGTTTTCAGCCTGAGTCGCTGTTGCTGGGCCATCTTGTTCAGTTGGTGTAGAAAGGGCTGTTGCGGCACAGTCGACCGCAGTCATTCTTTATCACTTCACAACTTGGAGTCTGAGACCATCAATCCAGAAGAACTTTTATTTAAGGCCCTGCACAACCCGGCCAGAGACTCAATATCAACAGCAACATCGGCTCTCCTCTCAAACATTCGCTTCTGAACTTCTCTGAGCTCTCCGTTCGACTCGACATTCAATCTCAATCTTTCGAAGCCTCCGCTACCGCCGCGATTTGATCTTGCTTGCTGTTCTGCATCACGCACTCTCAGGTCATCATCCTACCCTCTCCCCACACAAACACACACGCAGGCCACACCGTCAAGACCAATCCTCAAGATGTGCTCTCAGTATTACCTCAAGTTCGACTGCGGCTGCACTGTTCCGGAGGGTGATGTGGTCTACTGCGCAAAGCGAGGCAGCTCCTCGTGCCCCGGAGTGCGAACGCAGATCCGGAGACGGGAGGGCTACAACTGCCCTGAGCACGGTGGTCCTTAGACCCGGACACCAATGTGAGTACTACTACCGAAGAAGTACTAGTCGACGCGTAGGGAAGAGAAGAACCGTGAAACTAACTCCATGGGTGGGTAGCAGACGCTGAGGGAAGCTAAGAGGAGGAGGTCTGAGCTAGATGTCTTTGCTTGTCATCCTGCAGAATGACGACCTTGGGGAGTGGGAGAGAAGGCGATGCACACCATGGATTTCTTCTTTCTCGTGCCTTTGGGTAACCGCTTGTCAACACACTCTCCACCCAAGCTCGACCATAGCCCAGTCCATGGTTCAACTGGGTCCCAGAGACCTCTGATATTGGCCCAGCTCTTTTCACCCTAAGTCTTTTCATCGGCGCAATCAACCGACACAAAAGGAGCAAAAACTAAAAAAAAAAGGTTGAAAACCCGACCACCGGGAACCCCAAAAAATACACCAAAAAAAGAAGTCCAGTTGTGGATGGACGCGCGAGAAGATAGAAAGGCGACGATCAAGAAAGACGGAATTGGAGGATATAGCTGACTTGATTCTTATTGTTTTTTTGTTTACACTTTTCAGGTTTTGGGAGGTCATCGTCATTCGCTCTTTACGCATCCATGCATCGTTGTTCATCATCATGTGGCCTATATACTGTTGACATCTCTAGGTTGGATTTGATTTGTTGTTCGTTGCTCCTGGGTTTGTCATGTCTGCCAAGTGTGTCTGTCCCGCCTGTCTGTCCCCTACGATCTGTGGGGACCTGAAGCTTGCTTTGAAGTGTGTACTTGACTGACAAGACCCCTGTTTCTGCTTTTCTGTCCTGCACCACCACCATCTTCATCATGATCTCAACTTTTTTCCGGAGGCACTTTGTTTTCTTTATCTCATCCACCTGTTCCCCATGAGCATTGTTGTTATCCATTGGTAATACCTTCTTTCTGCCTACTGACGAGGGAGACTAAGTATCTCTTCTGCATGTCAGTCATTTCATAAATCGAAATTACTTCTTATCCTATACTTCCAAGTCTTAAGTCTCCGCTTGACCACGTAAATTTAAGTACTAGTAGCTCCTGTGCTCAAATTTTACGACAGATTCCAGCATTCATGATACAAATCACTCACTCACTCTCACCGCTAACCCGTCTGTTACTCGGACGCACACCTTTCTCCCCCGTTCCGGGTCACCAGAACCACGACAAAGCAACCAAGAACCCTTTGGGGAAAAAGACTTGTGAGAAGAGACGAGGCGAGGTAAAGAAGAAGAGAGTTGAGACGACGGACTGTCGCCGGATCCCGGATCTCGGATATTGGATGGATGGATTGATGGATTCTTCGTATCGTATTTGCCCTGCCTTGGCTAGTTTTACCCACTAACTTACCAGTGGCTAACTTAGTGGCTACTGCCCAATGTTCTAGTCGCAGTGGCTAATACAGTAAGTGCCACTACCCAGTTTCCCAGGCTGACTGGACTGTTCCCTGAAACTAGAGAGGCCGCCATAGTCTTAAATTCCCATGTAACAATACTTCGGACTCCAGAAGTCGTGGGCAATGGCTCTGGACAATGATCTTTACGCCAGCACAAGCACTACGAGGGGAAGGTTGGGGAGGGGAGAGGGGGAGCAAGACAAGATATTAAGATAGACAATTGTTAAGACTAGGGACTGAGACAGTGGAGGACTGGTACGGTGAGAGTCTGGGAGCTACCCGTGGTTCGACCGTCAGTCGCTCAGGTTCGGAGTGGTCGGGTGCTGGAGCCGCATTGGACAGGCGGAGTCGGGTCTCATTGTCCACGGTTACCTACACTTACTTTTCGTATGGAGTACTTACACAGGGTAGTAGTAGGTAGTACTACTATTTACGTTAGCTTTCTAGGGAGGTGACATCTTTGGGTCTGCGAATCTAAATTTGGATGATCACGACCCAGACGGTGTCCGCTACGAGGTAGAGGAGAAATTCCGCCGAAGGACCTTCGTACAGGAGTAGTCTATAATATAGGGAGTTGGGAGTTGGGAGTTTGGAGTTGACAGCTGTGCTGTACCGGTGCTCATTTCGATGTGACGGTGGCCCTCGCCTTACTAGCAGCGGGTCTTCTACAAGGAGATTCCTGTGGCAGTATCGCGAGTACGCACTGTGCGCGCATGGTCGGACGCCCTAACCTGGACGTTGGAGCACAAGGGTCCGTAAGCAGAGCTGCATTAGCACCGCATACGCCACTCATCACCTGATGGCGCTACCGGCAAATCATAGAAAGAGACCGGGGCACAGACCAGGGTGATGACTTCCGATCCCATCCAGAGGTGTTGCCGACTTGCAGACTACAGCTGCAGGCTTTGCCGGCAGTGGCCGACAAAATAATCAGTGGTGCCAGCAATCTTGCAGTAATGGTCGTGGCACCTACCACGCGCTGGCAGAGTGGGCAGTCACCGCGTCTGGGAGGAATGAAAAATGGGAAAGGCGCGGGCAATAGGAGTCTGGCAACGGAGGCGCTAGATTTGAGACCAACCCTCTGCGTACAGCGATCGACCTTGACATCATAAGGGAGGATGCTAGCCTTTGCAGCCAAACTCCGAAGAGGCGATTCAATGTATGTTGCTTCACGCCTGTAACTCAAAGGCAGCCATCACTTGTGATGGGTACAAACGTGAGCCTTCCGCAGGAGCGATGCAGCGTTACGTGGCGTCCTTCTCGGCGCTCAGATGCGGCCTCTTGCTAGGCTATCACCTAGGAAAATGATGCGGAGAGATTCCGGCGCAGAGATTGGCGCTACGAGGAAATCAACAGGTTGTTGATCCCTGTCTAAGCCCAGGACGAATGACCCCTGTGGTTAATTTAAACTGTGGACACATGCTTGTCGGGTTATTTGCGCTGCACCATTGCATAGTGCATACTCACAGTGCACCATCCCGTCGTCCATACACCACCCTGGTGATAGAAGCAGTGCCAGGAGAAGCCTTCAAGCCAATGACAAGCATAGCTAGGGTACGCCATTGTTGGGTCCGAGTTTGCAATGGGTGGTGGGAAGATGGGATAGAACCCGAGCTTGTGGCTGTGTCGCAGTGGTGAACCATGGTAACATTCTGGTCCACATGGGGGAGCCAGCCAATGTGCAACAGCTTGGGTAATGATCAGAGCAGCGGCGCAGGACCAGTGCTTCGGCCTAGGGGTAGGGTGAACCAGACTGCTGGGTCAGTGATCCCAATGCGGTGTGCCCGCCGTCTGCGCCAACCAGGGTCACTCTGTGATTCTGCTGAGAAGCAATGACAGGTCTGGGAGCAAGCAAGAGGGTCTCATGGAATCTGAAACCCATGAAAATTAGTGCAATGGACGAGTTCTCTTAGAGCGAGGCCATGCAGAAACTCGACAAGTATAGGATTGTCGTCGTTGATGATGGAAGGCGGTCAGGTTGCCCTCGTCATCGCACGTGACTGCCACAGCTCCGGCCGCGGACAAACCCAAGGCCGAATGTCTCCCGTCTCCCACCTGGCGAGCTGCACCTCCGCCTCACCATCAACTTTAGTGGTCTTTCCTTGCTTCGTGCTCCGCGTCTTCCCTTCGTACAGGAGAACACTTCGCACATGTGATGTCCATTGAAGTTGACTGGGGCACAGCGACCTCGGGTCCTGACGGCGAGGCTCTGGCTGAGCGCATTCGCTCCTTCATTCACGACAAGTTCCAGCAGGTAGCTCTTCCGCGGTTCATCCGGTCCGTTCAGGTTCACTCGTTTGACTTCGGAACCATCCCGCCCGAGCTCGAGATCAAGGACTTTTGTGAGCCATTCGCCGATTTCTACGAGGAAGATGAAGATGACGAAGCTTCCGATGTGTCTGAAGAGCTGGTTGCCGGACATGGCACTCAATGGGTTCGCACCGGCTCCGAGCTCAGCGAGCCGCCTTTCCAAGACGAGAATGCGATGCATCAACCGCTGCGCAACCCATTCGACGAGAGGTTCCAACCATCCCCCTTGCGCTCTCCGATAGCTCTGGGAGATCATCTCAATCCGCACTTCCTCCCTCGCGCCGGCACTCCCGGGATCCCTGGTGGAACGTCAACACTAGGCTATCACCTGATGTCTCTGGGGGGATTGTCGGGAACACAGACCCCTTTAGCTGCAGTCGCAGGGGGGAATCCGTTCGCCAACAGCTGGAACGATGCGAGCAGTAGGGAACCAAGGAGCCGAGGGCCGTTGTCAACATCAGCCCTCGACGGAACGCATCCGCAATATCCGGAAGCCGAGCTGGACGGCAGCAACCCGACCTCGCGCCCATCGACCTCGAGCACGCTTCCTCCGCATCCACCTGGGCCAAATACCGGTACTGGAGAGGCAACAGCACGTACAGAGGAGAACGCACACCTCGACGTGGACGACGACGCTGCCTCGACAGAACCTCTTCGGCTGCCTCGCATGAGAGAACGCCGGCCCGAGGACTTCCAAGTTCTGTGCCATGTCAAATACAGAGGCGATGTGCGCCTGTCACTGACGGCGGAGATCCTCCTGGACTACCCGATGCCCAGCTTCGTGGGCTTACCGCTGAAGCTGAACGTCACGGGCATAACCTTCGACGGAGTGGCGGTCATCGCGCACATCCGCAAGCGCGTCCACTTCTGTTTCTTATCGCCCGAAGACGCCGACGCGTTGCTCGGCTCCGACCAACAAGACGCTGCCGCAGGGACTCAGGAAGACAAACCACGGCCCGAACCAGTCAAACGCCACGGCGGACTGCTGGAGGAAATCCGGGTGGAAAGTGAAATTGGTCGCAAGGAAGACGGCAAGCAAGTCCTGAAGAACGTAGGCAAGGTCGAGCGGTTCGTGCTGGCCCAGGTGCGACGAATCTTTGAGGAGGAGTTTGTCTACCCGAGTTTTTGGACTTTTCTAGTGTGAGGAGTTAGCTCTAAGCAGTATGCGCCGGTTTGAGTTACCGTTCTTCTGTGCTATACCTAGCTGGGTCTAGGAATACTCGCGCTGAACGCATATTGGCCATCTACTTACCTAATTTAGCCTCGATGAATGATGTTGTACAGTTCACAACCAATAATAGCTTCAAAACAGAGAAGCAACGTCTTTAATCATTACAGAAACAAAACTGAGCGAGCAGATCGTAGCGCACGAATTTCTGAGTCGGACCGACTTGGCGTACTAATTCTGATGCTTGGCTGACGGACATTGGGGGTCAAATAGAGAAGGAACGACCGAGCTGCTTATACGAAATCAGGAAGGAACCCCAAGCTAGGTAATATCCCTGTGCGGGTCAGTAGCTCTTGGATACTGAGATACAAATGAGACCGACCATATATCGCGGAAGTAAAGCGGCGGGTGCTGTCTACCTATTTATTATCATTACCTTTGGATGTATGAATGAAGAAGGGTCTAAGTTACTCAGTACCGGTAGGTACAGTACTCCCCTGTCTTGAGGCAGGAGACAACTCGCCTACAGTCACCTTGTCATATATGCCCTGCCTCCCTTCGGTTGCCACTACGTACTGGTAGCCCTGAACCCTTGGTTAGGTAGTAGACTTAGTACTCATTGCTACCGTCTGGATGTCTGCATAGGTTAAGAATAAATGAAAGTTTTTGTCTTGCCAATTCTTAACTCGTTTATTTGCAATTCCCAGAAAAGGAGGATCAAAACAGCATAACGGGCATGAGCAACATGAGCAACACGGGGAATGATATGAATAAGAGAATACCACAGCAACAGAAAGGCGAAAGGCGAAGGGGGATAAGTTAAGGCTTGACAGCAAGAAAGAACAAAAGCAATAGAAAAATATTTTCTTTTGGACCCCGAACACACAGCGAAGCACACCCAGCAAAGAAAAACACCAGACAGCAAGGAGATGTAGTCCGAGAAATAAAGCAACCAATTTCAGGCCAATTCAACGAAACCGGCTGACAAGAGTCATTGGAATAGAGCAAAAGGGGAGAGAGATTCTTTCCAGGAATGTCTTTCAAAAATGAGGAAATTGTTTTATAGACTGATCTAATACTAGACCAAAGCGCGGTCGTCTCCCAGACCGCTACTGACTGACTGACTGACTGACGTGAGACGTTTCATACCATTAACTCCAAGCCACCATACCGGTCATTAAATCGTACTTTCCGCGCGCGACGAAGCCGTAAGACAAAAATTCGTCGGGTCGAAATTAATGGGGGAATAATGTGATTGTAAAGAGAACACGTCGCTATCCTTTGTTTGATTTTGTCCGTTTTTTTTTTCTTGGTGGTTCATCGAGACCGAAGGCAGCGCAACTATGACTTAGAGAAGACCTTCCTCACCGATGCCAGGTAGGCCAGCCCCAGCAACGTTGATGTTCTGTCCCTGCATGACACCCCCGCCAAACGCCAGATTACGACCTGCAGCGATCTGGAAGTCGGGGTTGCATGGCGGGGAGTGGGATTTGTGGTACTTCAACCCGTTGAGGTTCTTGTAGCGCTTGCCACAAACTTCGCAGCGATATGGCTTCTCTTTCTCCATGCCAAGAGTACCCGGGTAAGGAGTCGATGTCTCAGGATTGACGATGGAGAAGGTTCCATCCGCGTTATCATGTAACTGCTGGTTATTATGGCCGTGCTAAACGAGCAGGGTTAGTCTATGAGTCGAGGAAGCGAACGCTAACAATGTCAAACATACTGCTTTGTGGTATTTCAAACCGTTCTGGTTCTTGTATGCCTTCTCGCAGCCAATGACGGGACAACGGAAAGGCTTGGGCTCCTCGTTGGGCAGGAGCGCAGTGGTATCAGGGACACCTGCCAGCAGCTGCTGCTCGCGAATCCGCCGAGCGATTTCGCTGTTCGGTCCATATTGAGCTCCGCTGAGCTTGAAGTGGGCGTTGGGAGTGTTAAGACCACCGGTGGGACTGAACAGACGCTTGGCTGGCTCGTCGATACAAAGATCGACCATGTCGCTGTTACCAGCAAACCGGCCAAATTGCGGCTGACCTTGCATCATGGGGTTCTGCATATTCAAGTCGTGGAAACCGCCAACCATACTCTCCTCAAGTTCAGCCGGAGTGCCGGGCGCCGAGGAATCGGGGGTCGCTCGGAACTGTGAGTTTTGTAACGGATTCGCCATCAAGGTGGGTGTGTTAACGGAGGAGACGGTAGGGTTGTTTTGCAGCGACAAAGGTCGTCCGGAGGCAACAGGCGTTCCTGGCTGCGAGCCTTTGAAGCCCTGGTGACCGGGAAGCATGGACAGATTCAGATGCGGAACTCTTTGATTGCCATTTCCGAATCCTCCTTGACCCCCATCGCGCACCTGAGGGGAGAATAATTGCGATGCGGCATCGCTTCCATCGCCGATCGCATCGTCCATTTCCATATCATCGATGGTATCCAAGTCGGAATGCTGCGGAAGTTGCGGCGTTTGATTCATTTTCCGCTGCATATCCATGGTTCGGTCTGGTTGCAACCCGCGAGCTTGGTTGGGGTTCTGCTGATTCTGCTGCTGCATGACGGCGGCTGCCATAGCTGCTCTGCCATCCGCTTGACTGGGGCGATGACCTTGATGCGGCGACTTGGTGGCGTGGGCTTCTTCATAGTGCTGTAACAGATCGTGGAGTGTCGGGAGAGTCACTCCGCAACAGGAGAAATCGCGCATGAAGTTCGCTTCCAATTTCGGCAAATATGAGGAAGAATGGAAGGAGGGTGACTGAAATGCGAAAGGTGACGTGCCAGTCATAATAATACTGGGTGAATGAGTATCAGCATCGAGAGTCCGCAATGCGTTGTTGCACCCGGAAATTTCCCCGGATGTTCAGGCGCAAACAAAAAAAATGATATCATTTCCGAGGAGAGAATTGGGCACTCACTCATCACGAATCCAACTGCCCACAGAAACTCCTCCCCAGCTCATTCCACCGACTAAGCTGCCTGCTAATGACTCCCGCCGAGGGTTATCACGATTAGATCCAGACATCGAGATTGGTTTCGTTCCGTTGCCCCATTGTGCGGTAGCTGCCCCGATCGAGTCTTTGCGGGGCGGGGGCGCCTTGAAGACGTTCAATCCGATGCCATTCGCATGAGAGAAACTAGGCGTCCGCTCTGCATTATTCGCTCTTTGCAGAGCTGATGTGAGGTTCGAAGCCTGCTGTCCCGGAGGCGAGACAGAGCTCTGGCGGGTGGCGATGTCGATGGGAGCGGCACCAGCCATGTTGGTAGCGGTGTTATTTGTGGTCGGGGGAGGCGATGAAGGAAAGAGAGGAAAGTCAAGGTCCTGGTGAAAAGGAGGATGGAGTTGCCGACTATCGATATACGGGGAATGAACGTCGCTGAAGTCGAAGTCGAGAGAGTCTCCAGCCCACGGCCGATCCGAGATCTTTTCCTTATCCGGTCTGCGCGACGATAGGCCAAACCCGAGAGGAGTGGTAACGGGGGTCGAATCCCGGGTAGATGCGCGATCGTGATCCCCGACAGAGGGAGAGTAGTGAAGTGAGGGAAGAGGAGGACTAAGCGTCGCTTCGGACGAACCGAGCATGAAGAAGATGGGGGAGAGAAAGATAAATTGAGGATAGACTTAGGGAAAGAGAGAGACGGTTTTGGGCGGGTTCACACCAGTTAGACGGACAAGACGAGCGTTTCCACTTCTCCCCCTCGGATGTTGGCCCGCTTTGGCTGCGGAACACTGACGGATTCGGGAAAGGTGGCGGGACGTAACAATCACTCGGCAGTGTTGGACGTAGGAAGTACTGGGTTATGAGATAGATAACTATCTGTCAAGTCAACACATTCAGGAGGTGGGAAGTAAAGAGTGAGACTGAGTCGTAATAGTAGTAGTGAACTGGAGAGATAGTCAGTCGAGCGTGAGTTGATGGTAAAAAGAAAGATGAGACAGAAAGAGGAATCAACTGCAGCCAAGGAGGTTTTGGCAACTGGCGGCGAAAGGGGAGGGAAAGAGGATGTTTTCCCCGGTAACGTACGGAAATTACCAATGAAATACCACATACCGCAACCTTTCTGGAGTGGTCGGGATGATTCATACACTGCTATGACTAACTCCATCCATTTTGCCTCCGATCCGCCCATGAAACACTCTGCCACCTGAAACTGGATACTGACAGGGCAGCACCATGACTCCACCGCCGCGTTCATTAGTCGTGGACTCGTCGTAGTACGTAGTCATGGTGATGAATTAATCGCTATTTCAGTATGCTGATCACTACATTGACAAGAGACCCAGATGAGAATCGCTTCAGAAATCCATCCATAACCACCTTTTTCATACTTCACCTACTGCCTACTCTTAGTAGTCTACTAGTAATAGTAGTAGTAGTTAAGTCTACTTCAACTGTGACTGTAGAAGTGACTAAGTAGCCTAACAGTGGGGACACTTAACTTAGCAGGCAATAAACGGGACCCCGCTTGCAGTTTAGCGGCAAGGACTAGTGCTTCTTCGAAAAGTCGATGATGCTGATGACGGCGCTGGACTGGTGGAAAGCGACCGAGTGGAAAAGCTGCTGCTGCTGCGACCGCGGCTGCTGCAGGAGATCCAGAGGGGCGTCACCCTCGTATCGTCTATGTATTGGGTGCATTCCCCACAGTGAATCCCGGTGGTAATACAACACATCCATCCCATTGCCCTGTAGCCGCTGAGCTTTGATGATTGCTGCTGCTGCTGCTGCTGCTCCTGCTCTTGTCGCGGTTGTTGTTGTTGGTCACCAACTGCGTTGTCCTTGCAACGCTGGCCGACACACAGACACAGACACATAACACTAAGTAACTAACTTACCTGGTAGTTATTAACTACTAACTTATACATATGTACAGCACTGACGCATCGAGTCCTGACTATGAGGAGTAGTTGATCCCCTCAGCCAGACGGTCGATCCGGATAGAAAAGACATGCCATCCATGGGCCGTTCTCATCTTGTCTGCCTTCCTTCGCTCGTCTACCTGGGGGACTTTTCTTCCACCGTACACATACTTGTTCTTCCCATCACTATCACTGTGTCCTTCAGAAGTCATTGGCCAGCCCTCCCACGACGCTAAAACGATTTTACTCCATCGAGGGACTGTCTCAGAATGATTCTGGCGGTGTCAGAAGTCCCCGTAAAGTTGTAATTCCCCCTCTCCTCCCCCCCCCCCCTAATTAATCTGATGGTCTCGACATCCTCCGACCCGTTTGGTTTGTTGACGACCAACCACTCCCCCACAAAGTCCTGAAATTCAGCCGGAGAAACTTCAGGGGTTCATGTACCGAGATGAACTCGAGCTGGAATATTATCATCCAACTATCACTCTAGGGTACGTATAGAGAGTACGGAGTGGACAGTATGCACTGCGTCGGGCATTGATTACAGTAAATCACTCAATCAGCACCCACACCACCATCCGTGGGGATCTATAGCGGTATTGCAGCCGAGATGACGATAAGCATCAGGCACGGCCGTGTTATCGAGTCCCCTCTGATCAGCATTGGCCAACCAGGTCTCGATGACATCAATGTAGCCTCACTTTCTACCCATTAGCCACCATCGCGGAGAAATTGGCACAATGGGCGGTCTGTACAGTCCGCCCGTCTTTCTTCCTCGTTCTCATCCTGTGCAGTAGCGGTCGGTTTCTGTAACTTACACAGTGTATACACATCACTAACTAGTGCTTGGGCGCTAATTGCCCTGCCAGCCTTCGAGCACCGATCAGATCATGTGCTGGCCTTTCCCTCCCGTGCTGGCAGTTGGGAGGAAGAGGATGTATCTATTGATACAGAGCAGGTATGAGGTCTCCTTCGTCTGCCAAGGATTTCAGTAACTATGCAATGGTCACGGTTATATGCAGTAGATGCACGGGAGCAGAGTCTTGGTCAGAACATACATAAGCTAGTTATACTGAGCACTAGTCAACCCCGACATATGAGTAATGGTTGAGATTCTAGGCATGATAGATCGGTTGCCTTGCCGCGAATTATCGCCACAGGACACATCAGTCTGCGCAAGCTGTCTCGTCTACTGACGCGGAAAAGAGCTTCTCACCACTTACATGTCCGCTCTCCCAATCCCGACCAGGCCATCCGCGGGAGTACTCCACCCCTTCCATGTGCGCTGAGCCTATGTTGTTGCTACCTATGCAACACCTCCGGGTGCTGTACAGCAGACGTCTGCTGCGCCCCAGATTGACTTCTCAGGCAAGTTCTCTATGTGCCCGACCTTTTACCCAGAAGGTCAGACCAAATTATGATACGGAGTACGTACCCTAATTTACAATGTAGCCAACGAGGTGACCTTTCCCCCCCCTTTTCCCCGAATGCCGATCCCTGCGCAAGCCAGATAGACGAAAGTATAATTCGCCAACCCCAGCCATCCTCTCAACATCTCGCGAAATCATGCGATCAAGTGAACGGTTAGGGAATTTGAGTCTTGAGTCTTGGCTTCGGCGCTAGAAGCATCATGGAAGCATCCCTACTAGCGGTAACTTTCACCGCTCTATACTTTCACCTACTATAGTTCGACTGACCTGCCTCTTCGGGGATGCGGTTTTATATACTTATCTCGGTCGGGAGATCATAGTGTGTGCTGGGAATGTTATCATCTATCATTCCCGAATCTCGTGGCAATGGTTCAGCGGGCATCAGGAAGCAGCCACTCCCTCGGATGGGGACCTGCGGCTCCTACGGTTGAGGAGGATGACAGTCTGGCTCCACAGAGCTACGTAGGACAATCTCCTTCGTAATCTAAGGGAATATGCGTATGGTGTATCTGATATCTATGTATCCATCATAGACCTCCCAATACAGATTCAACGCTGCCGGTCGGTGTCAGAGAGTATTCATCAACGTTTCTGTGGTGGTATCAATGATCAAGTCCCACGCCACGACCCAGCCGTTCTAGAGCAACATGCCAGGCCGAAGGTCGCTTGCAGCGGATGCATCTTTCCCCCGTTCTCCATCCATTCTTCATCCATACTATGTACGTACAGTACGTAAGGTAGCTACCTTGTACTGTACCCCATCTCACCCACTGAATGGCTGGAATCCACTCCCGCATCTCTGCACCCATCTCCCTAACTTCATAACTTTAGATTCTATGGGCAGTTCCCCCCTGGCTAGAGAAGTATGTAGCCCGCGTGTATCATGCACGGGGGAGTAGCTCATGTGGACAGATCAGATCGCCGAGTCTTCTGAGACACATACTCCGGATTAACACCAGGAAGGGGGTACTTTTGGCCCGGCAGGGTCATGTCCAGATCTACCACTGCATATAAGTTAGTATACCTAATTTTAAGGCCGCTAGCATGGAGCGCCAGCCGACACAAGCGCGCTGCTTCCTCAGTACTGAAATGGGAACTGCACCCGGTGACCTGTCGATTGCTGTCGAGGCCAATTGAGAAAAAAAGAACACCTTGCCTCTATATTTTGTTTGGCCTGAAATAAGGGGCAACGAACTCTCATTATTGGGTGTTCTGGTTTTGGTGGAGGAGGGTTGAGTTGATCTGAACTCTTGCCACTTCGGATTCCGGGAGTCCGGTCATGCGCACATGTACATTTCTGTACATATGCGCCATGATCGACTCAGTGATGAAAAGAGCTTGCCTGTGAAGGGATACTATGTGCCTGGTCCGGTTCATGGTGTTTACTTAGGATGATGTTCTTGCTGATCCTTGCTTTACTCTTACTCCGGATGCAGGGTTCCCGCGAACCTCCATAAAAGGTAACTTCAAATCTGACTGACACACTCTACTTACTACTTCCGAGTGAAGCACCGATGAAGGTAACCAGCCACTGCATACCTACTCCTCCACAAATGCATCGAATCTACTCAGTACAAACCCCATCTTTCTACTTCAATGCATCACATATATAAGAATAGATCCAGAGCCATGGCACAGGACTCAACCACGTACCACGCTCGTAGTACCGCCTCTAGCTCGGCTAACTTAAAGGATCTTGTGAACCAAACGACCCTGGAATTGAATTCTTCTAGAAAAAAAGACCCGAAAATGTGACAAGCGAATCGCAGGCTTGAGCGTCGGTGGATCCCCCACCACAACCACTGCATCAGCCATCCATCACTTAACTTAGTTACTAGTTAGTAGTACCTTTTCTCATCCGGAAAGCGGAACCGTGTAATTTTTGTTTTTTTTGTGCCTTGGGTTGTCCTCCATTGCTGCCAGGCAGGCTTTGCCAACCCCGATGGGAGAGAGAGGGGCGCCATTGTGTCAAAATGAACTTACCCTTGAATACTGGCTCTGGGCAGTGGACATGTGGGCTTGGGCCGGGCTGGGCTGAAGGATACCTGGTATGGTAGTTTTACAGTATGCTTGCTTTGCTGTGCTTAAGCTGCTCCATACCCTTTCGCCCCTTCTTCCGACTGATTCCATCAAGGTCGAAGCTCGGGGTTGTTGCGGGTTCGAGGATTTTGCCTCTAGTACGGAGCACCTCAGGAAGGATTGTTAGGTTCTATTCATCGGAGGGACTGGCTTTAGCTAAGTTAGTCTATTAATGTACAGCGTAGCGTACACTGCAGAGCTACGAACCTGTATGGGCGATTTAGACTGGATCTTTGATGCAAGCTCTAGACTGTTTTGAGGTTAGTTGTTCAGCTACTGGGCTCCGTCTAGGACTATCTGGGTACCTTACTCTAGTGTATTCTTCTTCTTCTTTTTTATTTTTTTTCTTTTTTGGTGCCGCCGGCTTGTTGTGCATGCAGACATTGTGTCATTTTGACGAGAGTGCATATGATGTCGGTAATAGCTTTGGGCTGCTGATAGGTCTTGAGTTGAGTGGAGGGTGCAGATGTATCAGCCGAATGGGGCCGGTAGAGGTCTTTAGGTTGAATTGTTGATGTTAGCTAGTGTCTTCAAATTTGCTTTTTGCTGCTCCTGCATGTCTACAGGATTGTGCTTGATCCCTCAATTATTGAGTGCTCCTGGGGTTAATTTTTTGGGTTCTATGGGCTGCTTGTTCACTAGTAGTGGCTGCAGAGACACTGATGTCAGGGCTTTACTTGGCTGTTCCAAGTGCGAGATGTGATTGCAGCGGTTCCAGGCTGTCGCCTAGAGCTGTGAGAATCCTTTCTATTCTAGTCTGCCCTTGGCCCATCTACTGTGTTTACTTTTGTTCTTGGCAGCACTTCAGACCGAAGCTCCGCCGCTCCGCCGCTTACTAACGGTTGCGTATGGTTGCAAGGACTCAATTGACATGAAGCTACTGGCATTATGCTGCACTCCTCACTCCAGCCACTAATTACGGCAGCATGCTACCTAGAATTCGAGGCTATATGATATTTACTCGTGTCTCGTCTTATAATCACATTCTCGAGTCTCAACCTCAGGTGCCTGATTGAATATATATTCCCTGATGGTCAGCCAATGAGAACGGACTTATCTGCGGTGCAAACCATGCAAAGTGGGCTCTTTGACTTTTTTTGCCCGCAATATGGAGATTTTTCCCCCGCCGCCTTCAGATCGGGTGCGTGTGAGACCAAGTCGAACGCACCCCCCGACTCCAGACACGGGCGTCTTTCTTACAGGATCTTCATTGCTCCCCTTTCCTCAACCCGTGTAGAAGCACACAGTCATTATGGACTCCACACCTGCACAAGAGCAAGTGCCAACGCACGACAGTGCCGACACCGCCCAGGAACCCCCCTCTAAGAAGGTCAAACTGGACGATGCGCCGAGCACCAGTGCACCAGCGCCTGCTGAAGTCGACCCGCGGCTGAAGGGAGTCGCTCCGATCAAGGCTGAGTATGCGATACCCGCGCGCAACACCATGCGCTAAGCTACGTATAAGTTCACCGACCGATGACTGACCTGCAATCCCAACGCTTTCAGGTACCTCCTCCCGCGATCCGACCGAAGCCAGCCCAGCCCCGAGCAAGAGAACCAGGACGATGCCGCTGAAGCCGCCCACCACGACGGCCGCAACAACAACAATAACGGCGAGATGAAGGCCCACCAGTACCAGCAGAAGAAGAACAAGAAGAAGACCGGCCAGAACACCAACCGGACCTTCGGCCGGTCGGAGGATGCAAAGGGCCTCTGTCCGAGCCGCATGTTCCACCCCGAGTTTTCGCCCGCCGAGTGCAGCTTCGGCGAGAAGTGCCGCTACGAGCACGATCTGCGCACCTATCTCAAGGAGCACAAGCGCGAGGATCTGACGACGATGGGTGGCGTGTGTCCCGTGTGGGATGTGCACGGCAAGTGCTTCTCCGGCTGGAAGTGTCGGTTTGTCGGCTCGCATTCCCGCGAGCGCGAGACGGAGGATGGGAGGAAGGAGTTGGTTCTCATCGAGGATGAGGAGCGCAAGAAGAAGGTGCAGCGGTTGGTCCCTGAGGCGTCCGAGGAGGGCGTGCTGAATATCGCTGCCATGGATGATAAGCTAGCATTGGCGCGGAAGAAAAAGCACCTCCCCAAGGCCGAGGCATATAGCAATTGGTTGGAGAAGACGAATAAGGCTATCGAGAAGGATCTTCACAAGCGCGATCGGGTCGGCACCACCGAGGTGCAGGATGGCCCCGTGGACAATAAGGAAGAGCAGGAGGACAACCGCGCCGCCTATGTTGAGCCCCCATTGCTGCCCTCCGAGAAGCGCAGGCTCTACTTCGGTCCTGAGACTCCGGCTCTGGCTCCCTTGACGACCCAGGGTAACATGCCCTTCCGCAGACTCTGCGTGGAGCTTGGCGCGCAGCTCACCTATTCGGAGATGGCCATGAGCTTGCCCTTGATCCAAGGACAGAAGTCGGAGTGGGCGTTGATGAAGGCGCACGAGTCTGAGATCGCTCCCCCAACTGTCTTTCCTAGCTCGGAGATCGTGCAGGACTATGACAACTCGAAGGATATGAAGTTCGGTGCGCAGATCGCGGCAAACAAGCCCTGGCAGGCATTCAAGGCTACGGAGGCGCTGGCGCAGATGACACCGCACTTACGGCTCGTGGATCTGAACTGCGGCTGCCCGATTGACCTTGTCTTCCGTGAAGGTGCGGGCTCGGCCCTTCTCGAGCATCCCTCCAAGCTCGAGAAGATCATCCGTGGCATGAACACCGTTTCCGGAGAGATACCTGTTACGGTGAAGATCCGTATGGGTACCAAGGACAACTCTCCCAACGCGTTGAAGCTGACCGAGCGCCTTCTGCTCGGAGGTTATGAGTCTCATCTCTTCGGCGGTGGTGGAGCCGGCGCGGCCGCTATCACTCTCCATGGGCGGAGCCGACAGCAGCGGTACACCAAGTCGGCCAACTGGGAGTATATTTCCGAGTGCGCCGCGCTCATCAAGCGGCTGAACGAGAAGCAAGACGAGGTTGCCGACACCATCCGGGAGCCTGATGCTCGCACGCAGCCCAACGGGGGCAAAGTCTGGTTCCTTGGCAACGGCGATTGCTATTCTCACATTTCCTATGATGAATATATCAACAACGCTGGTGTCGACACTGTCATGATTGGCCGCGGTGCTCTGATTAAGCCCTGGCTGTACGAGGAGATTCAGGCCGGCCAGTATCTTGATAAGTCCTCGAGTGAGCGTCTGTCCTACATCGAAAAGTTTGCCAAATATGGTCTCGAGACCTGGGGCTCGGACGAGCATGGCGTCGGCACAACCAGACGCTTCTTGCTCGAATGGCTGAGCTTTGCCCGCCGCTACGTGCCGCTTGGTCTGCTCGAGTATCTTCCCCCTCAGATCAACGACAGACCCCCGGCTTTCCGGGGCCGAGATGATATGGAGTCTCTGATGGCGAGTACCAACTACAAGGATTGGATCAAGATCACGTAAGTGTTTCCGTGGTGGCTGTCAAGCTCGAGGTAACTTTAATTATACTAACATCCATATTACTCTCTCTAGGGAGATGTTCCTCGGACCTGCTCACAAGGACTTCAAGTTCGAGCCCAAGCACAAGTCCAACTCGTACGATGAAGCAGAGGGTTAAAAAGGAAACTCCATAGCGTATAGACTAGACCTGGGGTCAAAAAGTGAACAGCATGTACATACCACAATTTTAGCCGGTTTCAATCGAAGTTTAAGGGCCACACAAGGCCAACCCAACAACTATGACGCACTTGGCGCGGCACTACCGTATCCAGCGGCGCCGGGGCTGATCACGTGCATCAGATCAGCTCCGGGCGGTGATGACGTCTGTCCCTCACCAGAAAACTGCAAAAAGACCACCTCATCCCCCGTACACACAACTCGCAACACCCAATCTTCTTCTTCTTTTAGGCATCGACCAATTGGTGACTATATTAAGGGTCTTCTTCCCGGCTCTTCGTGCAATAATTTGTCTTTGAGCGCTCGGAGTATAAAAATCGCTCCGATAGCTTCTGTGCTTGCATCTCAACTACCTATCGCACCTTCACCCCTCGATCGAGCAAGCTTAAGCTAAGCGCCTAGCAACATCGATTTACATTAAACCATAGCCACTCGTCTGCTTTACCAACCTATTCAAAATGACTCTCTACTACAGTCTTGTAAGTGCTGCTGTTCCTGTCACGCTCCCGGGAGACACTCCGCGAGCTCAGGCGAATGCTGCAGCCTGCAGCCTGCAATTCCCCCCTGGGCTACGGAACCGGGAGACCAAAGTTCCTGCGGCGGATGTTGACGGGATGTATGTAGGTCTTCTGCCTTTTGGTATTTGAGATGGCGGTCTTCATGGGCCTCATCGTCCCTCTTCCGTTCACGGTCAAGAGGAAGCTCTTCGCCTTCATCTCAGAAAGTCCTATAGTGGCCAAATTACAATATGGGCTGAAGGTATGTGCCCCTAGTGCCACAGGCCCCTTCCACCTCTCGCACCGCACCCTCTGGATGTGCACTAATCTCCCGCCCGCAGATAACATTTATTTTCATCCTCATTCTTTTCATCGACAGCGTCAACCGCGTCTACCGCGTGCAGCTGGAGTTGGCTTCCTTCAAGGAGGGCGGTCCTATGGGGTATGTATCAGAAACAACCCCCCACCCCCACTCCCACTCTGCTATGGCCAGTCGACTAATCTTTTTCGTTTGTTCTCAAATCCAGAGCTGCCGCCCTTGGCACCGACCGCATGGAAGTCCAGGCCCGCAAGTTCTACTCGCAGCGCAACATGTATCTTTGCGGCTTCACTCTCTTCCTGTCTCTCATCCTCAACCGCACCTACACCATGATCCTGGAGGTTCTCCGCCTGGAGGACCGCGTCAAGCTCCTCGAGGGCGACAAGCGCGCCGGCGGCAAGGACTCCGCTCGGATCGCCCAGGCCGGCGACGTCGGCGAGATCGGCCGTCTCAAGCAGGAGCTCGAGGCCAGGGACCGCGACATCGAGACCCTGAAGAAGCAGTGCGAGGGTCTCACTGCCGAGTACCACAAGCTGGGTGACCAGGTCTCTGGCACCAAGGATGCCGCTCCCAAGAAGGATCTGTAAGCGATTGGGATCGTTTGTGCTTCTAATCGGTTGTTTTCGTTGCATCGATGAGCTAGCTAGCCGATTGCGAAGTGCAAGGAATAGAGGAAATGTGAGGGGTTGGAAATCAGAGATGTGGGGAGTATCAGCGGGGAAATGGGGAGAGCGGGGGGCGCCGGGGGGTGGATTTTGGTATGCACAATCCAAAGCAGAGATCGACTCAACGGTTTCTTATCTTGGCATGTTCTGTCTGACTCAGAGAGTCATTCCCAATTATTTTATTCCGCTTTTTTGCGAGTAATCATAGGGATTTGAAGTATGGGGGCCTGCGCTGAGCAGCGTTGCATTGTATCCGTAAAGTCATCATTGTATTGGTCTCCCGGGGCTTCTTGCTGAAGAGTTTCCTGTGAGCATCAGTCAGATTAGTCCAGATCCGTAGGGAGACAGACAGGGATCAAAGGAATCCCGTATTGACATGACTGCAATCCCTTCTGAGGTCTTGATAACCTAGAACGTAAATCCCTCGTAGATTGTTTCAGGTTCTCTTGAGCTGAACCTCTGCGAAGGACCAATCCAGAGTCCAAATCGGGCACGTGCATCTGTTTTGTGACTACAACCTTATTTAAAGATTTTACTAGAATTACTACAGTAGCGGCAGATACAATCCAGCTACAGATACAAGTCTGATGCTCCAAACGGAAAACTCATTTCCTCAGTCACTTTCATTTGGGGTCGAATGATCGAAGTACATAGTTTCGAAGGAAAGCAAATACAAAACGGGAAAGTAAGCAACTTGAAGCAAGCAGATGGCCAGGCAGTCAGGTAGGCAGAAGGACTAAGAAGAACAGAGACAGCCGTTCACCCTGAAAAAGCGCCCCGTTGCGTCCCAAGTGAAACGAAGGGAGGAATCGACGAATGAAAACAAGGGAGATATCAGAGTAGGAGAGAGTGAAGAAGACTTGACACCAGCCATCAAGGGCATTTATCTTCCCCCAGATGAAATAGTTACGTACGTCACGAGAACAAGGGACCACGGTTTGAATGCATGAGAATGGACAAATTATTCAGAAAAGTCTGGTTTGCTCATAAAAGGGTCTGAGATCATAAATGGTTTTCTACATCACAGAGATGATAACAGAAATAAGTGAAGCACGGGGGAATTAGAGGGAGCAGCATGACGGAAAATGCATAAAACACCTTAGTCCAAGGGCGGCAGGATGACCCCGTATACCGAGATCACCATTCAAATTCGCCTTGGCCTTTATGGAAAACATATCTGCTAGCGGTTAGTCGAGATCAACCTTCCAACGGAATCTGAAACTTACTCTTTGCCTCCCGTGGTCAGGATACCGTCCTTCAGCGTACACTTCCACTTGTTCTTTACTCTTTGCACTTTGTCGTAGGTGCAAAGCATGACTTGCCCCATGGACTCATCCCCGTCGTGCTCTTCGGCAACAAGGTCATCCGGGTCATCGAGATCAGAGTTGATGGCATCTTCATCATCCTCTTCCCTTTCATCGTCACCACCTGGCCCGTCAAACTGGGCCTTGGGAACAGCCGAAGGTTGCGCTTCCGTTGCGCTTAGTTGATTGAGTGAGAGGCCACGTGCTGAGGTGGTCTGACGTTCTTCCAAGGGTACCATCAGGCCTCCACCCTCAAACTGGATCATGCGTTGTTGGATGTGTTCTCGCAACAGACGATCGCCCTCTCCGTTCTGACGTTGTGCGGCTTCACGCCGGCGGGCGACTTCTGCCTTCCAGTCGGAAAGCGCGTCTCCGGCACCATCGGTTTGAGCATTCCCTAGGGAAGGGCGGGGAGCAGGTGAGTAGCCCGGCTCTTGCTTGATCTGAGGCGCCTGGCCATTGGGAATATGCTGCATGTTGGGTGGGCGTGGCTGGCCCGGCATACCCATGGCTGCCTGCGACTGAGCCTGCAACTGGCTGACCGAGTTGGCAGCCGCCGCTCCATAGCGTTGACGAAGCATGTCAGCGGCCCGTTGCTGAGCAGATTGAGGGGTCGAACCACTTGGTGGCATCATGTTATTGTTGTTCATGGGCATCATTCCTGGCTGATTGTTGACCCCAGGCTCCGTCTTGATCGGTGGAAGGTGCCCCATTGGCTGAGGGGGTACACCTACCGGGGCGGGAGCTTGCATGGGGGGAACCGTGTTGGGCATGGATTGCGGCATGGGTTGCTGCGGAGGAGGAACATGTTGTTGGGATGGATGAGGGGATGGAGCAGGTCGAGGGGCGTTAGAGGGGACAGTGGTAGTGGGAGGGAGTATTTGTTGCTGGGTTTGGCTGGGAGGGGCTTGTTGCGGTGGTGGGGGATCCCAAGGGAAATGAGCGACGCCCAACGAAGATAGCTTCTTTTGCCAGCTCTGTGGAAGATAATGTTAGCGGGGTGAAGAGAATTTCGGATATAGATATGATGACAGCAATATAGAGCCAGATCAGAGCCAGCAAAGACAACACGACAAGGATCACGAAGGATGAGGGGGAATTTGGGGTAAAGGGCAGTAGCAGTAGTAATGGGGGGCAGGGAATGCGGAGGGTGTTTGAAGGTCTTGGCAGACTAGAGCGACGGGCGGGTAAAAGCGGCGCGGTATAAAAAGAGACTCAAAAGCCAGCAGTTTCCCCCCAGCCGCTCACCCGTTGCTTTCCTGCACCTCCTCTCGGGCCCCGCTTAGGAACCTCCTCCCATCCCGGCCCCCCTCTCGTGTGCATCCATCATGTTCCATCAAAAGCTATCCATCCAGAAAGAAAAACTGTGACTGATAATTTTACTCACCTTGCGCAGATCTAAAAGCGTCTGTTGATCCACTCCACTTTCTTCAAAGTCCACCTGGGAGCCATCGCAAACCTCCTGGATGACACGATCGAACACCGTACCCTGTTGCCGCATGTCAGCCAATGACCTCAACAAAAGAGAGATGTCACTGTGGAATATTGCGGCCGTTGAAGTCACCATGCTCAAGAGAGCTCACAAGCCAGGTATGGGTAGACCGGACGAGTACTCACCACCTGCTGGTTTGACATGGTCGCTGCGGCAGGACCTCGCAGAGGATCCTTGTCTGGTTTAAGTGAACGGAGAAGAGTAGGAAAAGAATGAGGTGATGCTAAGAGATGGAGAACAAGTGATGTGGGATTCTAGATACCACGACAGTAAGGCGTGGACGAGTGAGCTTATCAAAGGTAAAGCGTCGCAGTCGCAGGAGTGGTCGTCCGCCAAGGGCTCATGCGACAATCGAAACGCCAACGGCCGCTACAGTAACACGCTTTCTCTGAAGTTGTACTATTTCGTAAGAGCACTGAATGCCTGGTAAGAGCCTGCAGAATTGTAGGAAACCAAACACAGAGAGGGGTGGGTGGATTAAGAAAGGATCGGGCGGTGACAGGGCCAGATCGAAGAGCCAGAGGGATGTGGTTGAGGTGAAAGTCGCTCTCCCCGGGCGAAATCCGCCTCTCTTCCCGCCTGCTTAGTCACTCCTCCGCTAGTCCCTGAAAGGATATCCGGGGGGGTGGACTTCATTCACTTTCTTAACAATCATCGCCACTAACTTATTAGTTGGATATATGCTCGCGTTAGCACACTGTTGCATTCTATACTGTCGTACGGCTCACTTTGTCTTCAACACTCGCTCTTTAGCATTCTATGCACAATGAATCAACCATGATTAAGCTCTTACCTGATTCTCTATCTAGATTAATCCAGTGGATAGGCCCACCATATACTTGTTCGCGGCGGGCTTTACCGGGTTGGGCAAAGTTGGAGAACGGGCTGGCGGAGCCGCCAGCCATATTGGGAGAGCTTGCTCTCTCACCCTCTCCACCTTCCATCACTGCTCCTTATCGCAATGCTTCCACAAGGTCGAGTACTGCTGCAGAAGTACGCCATCATCGACATGCATAACGGAGCTGCCGACCCATCCATACAATGTCTCCCTTGAAACGAAAGCATGATGCAGTGCCTCATACCATGGTGCAGCGATGGACGTCGCAGCCACGGCTTTCATGTCAGAATTGCCGTCAAAAGAAATGGCGATGTGATCGCAAACACCCTTGCAACAATTGCAAGCTCCGGAAAACACACTGCCAGTATCTCTCCGGTACTGAGTCTCAAGCTCTATCCATTGAGCCAGGACGTTATGATCCGGTCAGCAATTCGCCTGCTGCTGCTACAAATACGCCGCTTGCTACATCTCATGCAGAGAGTATTACAGTATCGTCACCTCAATCTAATACAAATGAGTCTACCGGTCTACTAGACCGAATACGTAGGCTAGAGGAGGCGGTCTTCGGCCAAGCGGCACCAATACAACAAACGAATAGGGATGACCAAGGCGCATCCTTGTCCGCCGTACCTTCACAACATCAACAAAGATTGATCTCATCTGGAACCAATATAATGGCCACTGGCTCTGTCACAAAAGATGTATGTACAGCTCGGCAAACACACAAAACAGCTGCTAAACTGCCGCTGCGTGCAGTATGTAAGAGGCAAACGTGGAACTCCATTCGCCAAGCTATCTCTTTCATCAGTACGGAAACACATTGATGAGTTCGACGACTGCATGCAAGACCCCAAGTGCATCTTCGAATGTCTTCCACCGATTGAGCAAGCAAGGTTACTTTTTGATCGGTTCGTTCGAGCTATCCAACCAAGTCTTGGTATTCTACACATCCCATCTGTTCGGGTTTTGATGGAGGAAACCTATCGCGACACATCCGAAGGCAAAGAACCGAATTTCACGGTTCTCATTCTGCTTCTCGCTATCTATGCTGGGGGCACTATTGTCGCGACACCCGAGCTTCTCGAAAGTCTCGAGGCAACGGAAGAGAAGTCTAGGACTGCTTTCGCCACTTTTATGCGTCTTGCCATAACCATGTTAGATCATCCAAAGCGACCTATAGCCCCGTCAACGGTGGCTCTTCTCGCCATAACCATTTTATCTCACATTCTGACACATGCAGATGGATTTCACGATAACATTCAAGCTCTCCGTATGCGCGCAATATTCATGGCACGGTCGATGCAGATTCATCGCTTGGATTCCGCAAAAGTGTGGAAGAGAGGAAGCGCACACAGTATGAAGTCGTCGAAATCGAAGTTCAACGACGGATATGGTGGCATATCGTAGCATCAGACTGGTAAATCTATCCTAATCCCTTCTTGTATCCTTGTCATTAACGGTCATCCAGGATAGTTTCACTCACTCAAGGGCCACAAGAAGGGTCATACCTTCTACACCCAAACCACATGAGAGTCAATTATCCAAGCAATATCGATGACGAGACCTTGGCGACTAGTGCGCTAGACTACAGTCTACCACTTAGCACTCCGACATCCATGTCTGTCTTTATCTTGCGGGTTCATTTTGCCGATGTCTGCCGGCAGATTGTTGACGCTTTCGCTTCTATGTACCTGGGAGACAGCGAGCTGCCTGACTATGAAGTGGTTTTAGATCTTGACCGCAAGTTACATAACGTCTTGGAATCCATGCCATATTTCCTCCGGCTAGATCCTGAAAGTGTACAGCGGAGTCGCGGGATTATAAAGGAACGACCATACCTTGCCTGGCAACGCACCGTCGGCCATCTAGGCGTATATGCTCGCATCTGCCGCCTCCACCGTCCATATCACCGCGAAGCCTCGATAAACTCCAAGTTTGCCTACTCTCGTCAGACATGTCTTCGCTTCGCCCAGCACATACTCGATCTCCGTCGCACGCTGGACGAAGCTGGTTCTTCCGTTAGTCTTAAACCCTCCAATTATTGGATGGTGATGCAACATGTTTTTCTCGCCGCAATGGTCCTGGCCACTGATGTCTCGATGAACCCAAGAAGTCCCGGTGCACAGAGCAGGAAACAAGAGGTTTTGGAAGCGTGCAAGATGCTAGAGCAATCGCAGCGCCTGTCAACGAGGCTGACGGAGGCTATCCAGAGAAATACTCAGACTTTATTGTCTATTCTTCAGAGCACACAGAAGGAGCAACCACCTCCTTCACAAGCCCATACTGGAGTGATGGCTCATGCTGTGCCGACGCATCCAGCCAACGCAGACAATACGTGTCTTGGTTCAATCTCGCAAAGAGACATGAGCAGGAGGGTGAGCGCTGCAGGAGCGAGTGAGCAACAGCCCCACTCCCCCAACAATCACATGAGCACAGGGAATGACTCCATGGCTTGGGATGGTGCTTCTACAAATCCCCCCGGGGAGGAAAGCTGGGGTCAGTTGTGGTCTGACCTGTTCACCGTGGCCCCGGCAATTGATGATATACATTGGGATCTCTTGTTGAATGACTGGGATATGTCTATTAATTCAGGCTTTTGATAATTTTGGCAGACTACCTCTTCATGTGTGAGGAACTCTAGCCCTGCTCTCCCCACGTCTTTCTCACTTCTCCATGGCCAAACACGTGGCCACACATACCCTGTTACGGACGTTTACAATCAACGGAAATTTCGGCTTTCATGCCCACAAAGGCTCAAGAAATACCAGCCACAAATTAGAACTCGTGGTTTCTTTGGGAAATCTGGACATGATGAATGGAGCGAAGTTCTGTTAGTTTCTACTTTCGTGAATGATGAACTGTACGTGCGTTGCCTAGTATAATCTGAGATAGGAGTGTAGGAGGGGAAGTGATCAGGAAAACCTATCACCAGAATCCTCCCTTAATAGTAACACATATTTGGCAACAGCCAACAGATGGAGTAGCCTAAAACATTCTGGAGGAAGCTAGCCTGATATATACTCAGATTGGGTTGGTTAGGCATTGCAGGGCTGAGACGGAACTGTATCAGGGCCCTTGTCAGCTTCTTTTTTTTTTTTTTTCTCAATGATGCATCGAAATTCGCCGACGCTTGTGGGGTGATGACTGGAGGTCAGGATTGCCTAGAGGTGGTGGCCCTACTGTGCTCAGCATTGCTTGTACGCCTTGTCTCTTACATTCGTTATCTTTTCTACTCCTTGTCTCTTTTGCTGATCGTCCCTTGTGCTTTAAATTAGATCCTGAAGCTACTAAGACCTACACGAGGTCTGTAAGGCTTGTGGGTGATCCTATTAAAGCTATTGACGCCTTTGAGCCTGTTAAGGCTGGTGAAAGGATTTCTGGAAGCTATTTAGGCTTATAAGTTTTAACCAATCAATCCATGGGCTCATTCGGTAAGCAGAACCGAGTACCTATATTCAATGCAGCTGTTTCCTTGTTTTTCTCGGCTTACGATCATGATACTCAGCACTACGTGCCACGCTACTAGTACCATAGTCGTAGGTTAAACAGCGCTTATAGTTGAAACAAATATCGTCATTAGTTATCACAATGTTGCTATCGGTTTCCAATCTATACAAGAACCACGAACACAACAGACCTGACTGTCAATCTAGATCACAGCGCCCTACCATATCCCATCCTTCCGTAGAACTCCAAGACTCCGCTGACTCTCCGCTGTACAAACAAATTCCCAAGAAGCACGTGGTATCGAGACAAACGCCGGTCTACGATAGAAAATGAAAAACGCAACATATAAAAAAGGAGGAAAGGTCCAAACGGATCTACCGGATAGTCATGGACTTGGTCATCTGCGCCTTGCTGCCAACACCACCTTCGCGGGACGCCGCGGCGCTGGTTCCAGGTTTGCGCTCGAAGATCTTCCAGAACTTCAAACTCTCGTCAGCGGCAGCGGTGGCCAGAAGCTGACCGTCGGGGCTCAAGCAACTGTGCAGGACACGGGTCTCGTGCGCAGGAATCTCCACGTTCCGGACCAAAGTCGGGTAGCTCCAGATGCTGAGGGAGTTATCGGGGAAACCGCTAGAGCTGACAATCTCGCGGTAGTGGTTGCTCCACCGCAAGCTCGTGACTTGAGAGCCGGTGTCAATGCTGTTGGTACGCGCACCGGTGGTGGTGTTCCAGAAGTGGATGTGGCGGTCGTAGGAGCCACCGCCAGTGGCAAGCAGGTTCAATTGCCAGGGGCACCAACTGAGAGCCTTGACGGCGGCGCGGTGGTTGGTCTTGGTGAACTTGGGCGCGCTGAGGGAACGAGCGTCCCAGATGTTGACCAGGTTGTCGTTACCTCCCGTCGCGAGCTGGGCACCGTCGGGTCTCCACTCCAATCCACAGACCTCCGAGGTGTGCGAGACCAGCTCGGCAACCTTGTGCTGGGCGATGCGGACATCGTGGTTGAAGACCAGCCCGCTGCGTGCGCCGGTGGATAGGGTGTGCTTGGACCATCCCATGACGCCAACACGCGAGTCGTGGCCGAACATGCTGCGAAGCTTGGTTCCTTCCTCGACATCCCAGATCTGGACCTCACCAGTACCCAGGCCGACACCGACATACGCACCATCTCCGCTCCACTTGACACTGCTCACATAGGTATCAGAGGGAGCCTCCAGCAAGCAGCTGACAGTTCCAGAGTCGGCAGACCAGACGTAAACGTTACGCTCCAGGCCGATAGCAACCTGATTACCGGAGCTCCAGTCCAGAAGATTGAGGTAGTAATCATCCAGCAGACCAGGAGCGTCTAGGACACGCTCAGGGGCAGTCTGTACCCTTCTGCGGAATTGAGCGGACTGAGACTTGGCAGACTTGAGAGGACGGTTGTATTGAGCGCGCAGGTCAATAGGCTTAGAGGATTCAGGAGGAGGTGGCTTGAAAGCCAGAATGCGAGTGTTTAAATTCACTCCGCAAGCGTCCGCCAGCGATGATTCGTAGGCAACAGCATCAGGTGCGGGCTTAGTGTAGGACGTCGTAGACTCGCTATCATCGATTCCAAGGCTCTCGAGCGCAGCGGTAAGGTCTTCCTCGCTTCCACGGCCCCCAATATCAAAAGCGCTCGCAGCATTCGCCAGAACGGATGATCCCTCGCTGCTTGTGCTCTTGGGACGCTGACTCTCCTCGGGCTTGGCTGTTCCAGCAGTCACAAGTCCTTCACTAGCTGTGCGGTTGGGAATGAATCTGTCACCAGCGTTGTGTGCAATACGCACAGTGGTCTTTCCCGACCTCGTCGTTCGTGTCGTCCGGATCTCCTCTTTCCGAGCAACCTTCTCCCTGGTAACTTCCTTCCGAGCAACTTCCTTGCGTAGTCGCTCCTTGGAGGGGGTCTGTGACGATGGAGGACCAGTACCCGTCAAAGACCACTCGGAAACTCCTAGCTCAAGGTGCTTCGGGGACTTGCGAGAACGATTGCGGGCAATGTTGGATTTAGGAGACTCCCGGTAGCTGCGGGCGGTAGAAAGGTTGGATTTGGGAGATTCGCGGTACTTGCGCGCCGGCTTCGACACAGACTTGGCAAAGTAGGAGGAAAGATTACCGCCATAGACAGACTTGCCGAATTCTTTGCCTGTCTCCCCATTTCCGCATTGAGGAGTGAAGGGGGAGGAGTGGTTCGATGCCACACTGTCGCGTCTGCGGGGGGACGGCGTCAGAGGCATGCGACCACCGGCAGTCTTCGTGGAAAAGATCCCATGATGAGTCTTCACGGGAGTAGATACGGTAGGAGTAGCCATGTTGGTATATAACTATCGTGCGAAGAATGGGATAAAGGCCAGGTCTTCAAGCTGCGACAAAGATGCCAAATCCAGTTGAACACTGGCTTGGACTGGGAGGCTGAAGACGTCCAAAGTGAAAATGCAGGATAGAATGCAGCAGAATATATAGCAGATAGCAGATAGAGCAGAAGAGCAGCAGAACAGGATGTGGAAGAGCGAAGTGAATGGAGAGAGTTATCGGGGGGGGAACCAGGGGAGAGGAATAAATAAAGCGTATAGATCTGCTTTCCCATGGCAACCGCTGGTTACTGGAGGTACGACTGTGCTAGTCCCTATTAGGCATGGCAGCCACCTGACATGCGGCTGATCCCAATCAGGCATCGATCGGTCTTGGCGGTCAGCGTCAACTTTTTCCCTCTCGGAACCTTCCGTTCGCATCCATCAGGATGAATTTCCTTTGACACTCTCTGCAACTGATCAAGGATGAGATATCCATCACATCCACTTGAGTTGACACCTATCTAGCACTCACCTATTAAACTGCTGCAAATCGGCGATTCTGTCTCTTACCAGGTACCCCCCTCCTTATCCGCCCGAGGTCTCCTATCCTTATCGGAGCCCTGATGGCGCGGCAACCGTCCTCCACTATCGCTCGGAATAGTAACGCTTCTTCCCCCTCCGGTGACCCACTGCTCTGGTCACAACCTGCAAGCCAGATGGCTGCGCATTCATCCAACTCGCAAAGATCGCAGAATACCTTCCTCATGCCTCCTAGTCCGGATGGTAGTAGTGGTCGCCGCGGGAGCGCGGACTACCGCCCGAGCATCCGCAAGGCACAGGGCCATGTGCCGGCATGCCTGGTCAATGCTTCGGTGACGTATTGCAATAATGACCAGATCTACGCTTTTGGCGGTTTTGACCAGTACACCGATGAAGGTGGTTACTTCCGTCCATGATCGCATGATGGAGTCTCCATAGTTACTGACCGCTTGATCTGACTAAACTAGTCTACAACCATGTTCTCCGCCTGAATTTGAACACGTTTCGCTGGGAATTGGTCGATAATTATGGCGATATTCCCGGCGTCCGCATGGGTTAGCTTTCCTGCTCTCCGCTGCATGTTTGACCTCCACGGCAGTACATACTTATGTTCTCTCGTCATAAACAGGCCATACGGCAACCCTGTACCAAGGTGACAAGTTGATTGTTTTCGGTGGGGAAAATGAGCACCGCGAATACCTCTCCGATGTTGTCATTCTCGATATCCCCACCTCGACCTGGAACCAGCCGGAGATCCGTGGACCTATCCCGCGAGGCAGGGCTCGCCATGCTGCTGTGATTCATGACGAGAAGCTCTTTATTATTGGAGGTGTGACCGGAGAGAATAGCGTCATTCTCGACGAACTCTGCTACTTGGACCTGAAAACCTGGACCTGGTCTCGCATATGGGCGTTCACTGCCCGCTTTGACCATATTGCCTGGGTCTGGGGCGGCCGTCTCTGGATCTTTGGAGGTCTGGACCCCAACATGGAACGGACAACGGATATCTGGTGGCTGGACCTCAAAGACATCCAATCCCTTGGAATGGCGACATCGCAAGGTACCGTGGACTCCCCAACGCCCGCCAACACGATGACTTACAGCCCAGACACTGTGTTTAGTAGCCCTTCGCAGCAGCTTGCCGGCCGGTCGAGCAGCTATGCGGCAAACTCCGGCAGCGTGCAGATTCGGACCCAGTCCAGGACCTCGACTCGACGAAAGCCAAATGCTCCAGGAGCCGTTTCGTGTCTGCGATTCCAGTCTGGTCCCCATGTCCCCGCCCTTTTCTCCGGAACCCATTTTCAGTCCTACGCATCCGGTGTTCTGCTAGACCTCATCACCCCGTCCGAGACCGTCCGTACGTATGAATGCAATTTATCCTCCTTGGAACTGGATTCCCTACGCTGGCAGCGGCTCGCCGATGGCCAAGAGATTTTCAAGCCCGGGTATCGATGGCACTACTGCACAGTCAATGCCAGTGGGACCAAAGCCTGGCTGCTTGGTTGTAGCCTCGACGCAGGAGCTACCCCGGGGACAAGCGATGAGAACCACATGAGTGAAGTGCTTTGCATTGATCTAGAAAGATACGGTCTTTTGGGCAACGAAATGGCCACCTTCTCGCCCAATCCGAGCAGAACGCAAATGGATGAGCAGACGGGTTTGATGCCTTTATCTGGTATAGGGCAAGATCTAGCCGCCGTGTTCGATCAACCACCCGAGTCTGGTAGTGGAGCTGACTTTGTAATCACTGCTAACCCTGATGACGATTTTACAGCGGATGATGCTTCAGAAGACACTGGTCCACAGTCCGGACCTGCGTTCCTCTCGCCCAACGCGGCCACGTCTCCGCCCATCCATGTGCACCGGATCATCTTGCAGCTGCGATGGCCGCACTTCAAGAGACTCTACTCCGCCCAGATGGCGGAGTATCACTCGAAGCGGATGCACATCCCTGAGCCCTATTCGGTCGTCCGGGCCTTCATCTACTACTTATATACTGATAGTATTGCGGGTCACCCGGAATACTGCTCGGACATCATTGACGTAGCCGGCATGCTGGTTATGGCTAATCTGTATGACATGCCCAAGTTGCGTCTGTTGTGTGTCAACCGCTTGAGCCGGGAGCTTGATGTGGAGAATGCAGCGATCATCTGGGAGCGCGCGGGGCGGACGAACGAGTCATGGCTGATGCGGCGTGCCGCTCAATTCTGCCTCAGCCATTGGGGTCGTGTCGTGCGCACTGACGGGTTCAAGTCTCTTAGCCGACAGAGTATCATCGATCTCTGCGAAGTGGTGGATATGGAGGGTCGCATTGTCGCGGGGCCGGAGTTGGAGCTGGTTGGATCGCTGGGTGAGGGGCTACACAAGGGTCTGAAGCCGACTCATGGGTTGGGCGGGGGAGCTACTGACAATGTGGATGACTTTGACGGGGATGAAATGGATGGAATGGAGATTCTTTAAACTGCGTTTGGGACAGGTGAGGCGCTGCGGTTGGGGATTCTATTTCTGTGACGTTTTTTCGTGATTCATTTAAAGCTATGGCGCTTGTGCTAGGGGTGAGGGAATTGGGCTGGAGGAGCATTTGAGCAGGAGTTTAGACTGAAATTGCATACTATGATTTGATATTCTATACATTGAATCTTAAGTATACAAGTCATGACGCTAAACCCGATGTAGTTCGGGGATCGGTCCGTCTACCCGGGCTTGACCCCGCGTGGCCGAGGGGTTGTGTTCCTTTCGCCAACCTTCATCTTCTTCAAGATAATGCTCTGGTTGGACCGTGACTGAATCCTGCTCATCATTGCGGTCACTTTGACCCCCTCCTCATCAGGTGGTAGATGGTAGGGCAAGCATGGGGTGATCGATCTATAAATACGCTGCAATACCTCGCGCGGGGAACTTGACTTCCCAACACAACCCGCGTTCATTACTTCATCTCTATCATCTACACTACTTGTACAGTACAACTCAGACCGAACTATGGGCTCAGCACCTGCCTCCACCCTTCCCAAGGATTTCCTCTGGGGCTTTGCCACAGCCAGGTACGTTCCCTCATGAACCAACTCCATCATTGTGCTTGCCCAGCTGAAACTAACCGCCCGCCCGCCACGCAGCTACCAGATCGAAGGCGCCGTCACCGAGGACGGCCGCGGCCCGTCCATCTGGGACACCTTCTGCAAGCTCCCCGGCAAGATCGCCGACGGCTCCAGCGGCGAGGTGGCGTGTGACTCGTACCACCGGGGGGACGAGGACATTGCATTGTTGCAGCAATGCGGGGCGAAAGCGTATCGATTTTCGATTTCATGGTGGCTGTCCCTTTCCCCTTTCAACTTTCCAACCTGATCATCATGAGAGAAAAAAAATTAACCATTACTACCCCCGAATAAAGGTCCCGCATCATCCCCCTCGGCGGCCGCAATGACCCCATCAACCAGAAAGGCCTCGACCACTACATCCGGTTCCTTGACGCCCTGCACGCCGCCAATATCACCCCGCTCGTCACCCTCTACCACTGGGACCTACCCGACGCACTCGAGCAGCGGTACGGCGGGCTGCGCAATAAAGACGAGTTCGTGGCGGACTTCACGCACTACGCGCGCACGCTGTTCGCCGCGTTTGGCTCCCGCGTGAAACACTGGATCACCTTCAACGAGCCCTGGTGCAGCGCGGTGCTGGGGTACAACGTCGGGCAGTTTGCGCCGGGCCGCACGAGCGACCGGTCCAAGAGTGCGGTGGGGGATGGGTCGCGCGAGCCGTGGATCGTGGGACATAATCTGTTGGTGGCGCATGGGGCAGCGGTGAAGGTCTATCGGGAGGAGTTTAAGGGGAGGGATGGGGGGGAGATTGGGATTACGTTGAATGGTTAGTTCCCTTTTTTTTTTTTTGGTTGGGGGGGGTGAGATTTGAGGATTCTCTTCTGAGGGCATTGAAGGCATCGAGGGCATCGCATTGTTACTAATTTTTTGAGTACAGGCGACTGGGCCGAACCCTGGGACCCCTCCTCCCCCGCCGACATCGAAGCCTGCACGCGCAAGATCGAATTCGCCATCTCCTGGTTCGCCGACCCCATCTACCACGGCAAGTACCCGGACAGCATGGTGCAGCAGCTCGGCGACCGGCTCCCGCGCTGGACGCCCGAGGAGCTGGCGCTCGTGCACGGCAGCAACGACTTCTACGGGATGAACCACTACTGCGCCAACTACATCAAGGCCAAGACGGGGGAGCCCGACCCCACCGACACCGCCGGCAACCTGGAAATCCTGCTGCAGAACAAAGCCGGCGAGTGGATCGGCCCGGAGACCCAGTCGGCGTGGCTCCGGCCCTGTGCGGCTGGGTTCCGGAAGCTGCTGAAGTGGCTGAGTGACCGCTACGGCCGGCCGAAGATCTATGTGACGGAGAACGGGACCAGCCTGAAGGGGGAGAATGATTTGCCGGTGGAGGAGCTGCTGCGGGATGAGTTTCGCGTGCAGTATTTCCGGGACTATATTGCCGCGATGGCGGATGCGTATACGTTGGATGGGGTGGATGTACGGGCGTATATGGCGTGGAGTTTGATGGAGTAGGTTTTCTTCCTTTTCGGGGGGGGGCGGCAGGGTGTTTTGACTGCTAACTTTTTTGATAGTAACTTCGAGTGGGCGGAGGGGTACGAGACTCGCTTCGGGGTCACGTATGTGGATTATGAGAATGGGCAGAAGCGAATTCCTAAGGAGAGTGCTAAGCAGATTGGGAAGATCTTTGAGCAGTATATCGGGAAGGAGTGATTGCCTTTTTCGTTGACTACTGAACTGAATCGTTGACTCTCTGGCTGGTTGTACATGTGTAGATAAAGCATTATGTGGGAGTGTCAATTCCGATGATCAAGACTGAAGATTGATGCTAAGATGCAGCTTTTGTTTCTGTCGTAGAGCTGTAACAAACAGAATCACATTACGTTTATTTTGCGGGATACACAGTATGCATACTCATACAGAGAACTAGACAGAACAGAATCAAACCCATCCCGCCTTTTCAACATCATATCCAATCACCCCCAAATCAATCTTCATCATCCTCAACATGACATCCATCGTGAATTCCTGGCTCGTCAGCATGCTTTCTACGCCGTGCACAAACCGAAATAAAGAGAAAGGAATCAAGCAAAACGAACCTGATCCTCCTGCTCCTCTTCCTCCTCCTTTCCTCTCCCTGTCGCTAGATACCCAGCATCATCTCTACTATCCCCAATGCAATCCTCCTCCCAACCAGACTGGGCAGACTGGGCAGATAGTTGTCCCTGCTGATCCCCCTCATCCCACCCCCAAGAGTCTCTCCTCTGCGTGATCCCGCGCAACCCCCCCATCCGCTCCACCCTCTCCCTCGCAGAAAGAAACACCTCCTCCGCCGCCCGCTGACTCACCCCCCTCCACAGGGCGATGAGACGCTCCAGCTCTTCCGTTTTATGCTGCGCTTCGATGCGCAGGGCCTGCTGGATGGTCTCGTATTCGCGGGTCAGGGCGGCGACTTCTGCGGCGAGGAGGGTTTTTTGGGTGGTCAGGGGGAGGATTGTTTGGTTGTCTGTTTCGTTTGTCTGTATGGATCGGGTTGTGGTGCGGGTGGTGCGCGGGGTGCGGGGAGGACGGCGTGAGGTTTGGGATGGGCATGGGGCTTGGGAGTTCGGTGTAGGTGGTTCGAAGCGTGGGTTGTTGGGCTGTGAGCCCGGCCCTGGGACCGGCACCGGCCGTGGGACTGAGGAGTTAGTCCTGAACCCAGTGGGAGTGGTGGTGACGCGGGGATCCTCGAGAGCGAGATGCTACACAGGCGTTAGTTTTTTTCTCTTCGTCCTTCCTTGTTTTGGGGTTTGGGTGTTTGAATCCATTCGCTGCGTGTCTCACGGGTTGTGAGATCCATGCCTGCCACTGGTAGCGATCTCCACAGGACTACACCCCCAACACAAAAAGCCACACGTACCTGCTTCCCAACCTGCACGGTCTCAGTTGCAGTTAAACACGAAGCTATAGCTGCGTCACTCCCTGCATGCAACCATCAGACCCTCTACCCGGAGCTTCAAGCTTCACCAGTAGGTAATGACCCAGTGATGCGATGTATGCGTATACCGACGTACCTCCTGTATCCGCGCTGTCGGCGCTATCTGGGGCGTGGGTAGCTATCAAGCACGGGGTCAGACTTCCGACCTCCAAACTAGAGACAGGGGGACATGCGTGTCACGGTGGTAGAAGGCTTGCCACCTGTCTCTCCATGCTGATCTGTAGCTGGGACGGGTCTGCGCAGTGGGGACTTGAATGGTTTGGAGAGGGTCGAGGAGGAGGTGGCCGTGGGATTGAGACGGCGGCGTTTGCTGTTGTTCATATTCCTCTGTCTCTGAAGGGGCCGGAGGTAATAGTAGAGTCGAGTTGAGTCGACGAATAAGTCGAGACGAGTAGATGGTTGTACTTAACTTGAGTTGTGCAGCCAGCAGGGAGCATGAGGTTGAGCGGGCTTATCGATAAGATAATTTATACAGTAAGATACCAACAATCACATGTCACCAGAGCCATCAATTCTCGAAATAAATACTGAATTGAACCCAACTCCAGATAAAATACACCGCTGCATCTAATGGCCAACTCCCCCTGCCGCCCATTGTGCAAATTCTGGATCTCCCGGACGAGGGAAGAATCCCCGATCCCCAAACACCCCCCCACCACCACCACCACCAGCTGCAACATTCGCATTCGCATTCGCGTTTCCATTCGCGCCTCCCACCCCCTCCGGTCTCTGTCGATTGCGTTGCTGGCGCATCCACACCAGCACCAACAGCGTCGCCGCCAATCCCACAATGATCAGCCCCTCGAGCACACTCTCGTCGATATCCAAGTCCAGGTCATCATAGTACCCATCATCATGATGATCCAACCGACCCCCGCCCGCCGACATCAAATCATCCTCCTCATCCTCGCCGCGCTTGTATAGCTGCGCGCGGTAGTTGGCCTCCTCTTCCTCGTCGTTCTCGATGAACGCTGCGATCCACTCTTTCAGGGTCCGGTGGGGTTTGGCGGCTACAATTGTGGAAGGTTCGTGGTCAGTTTCGGGGTCACGCAGACTTGCACAAGTTTCCATGTCTCGGATTGGGAGCGTCAAACGTACCCTTTTCTTCTTGAATAGGATTGATCTCCCCGTTCGTCAGCCAGTTCCAGTACCCCCGCATCCGCAGCTTCAGCAGACTCAGCTTCACCGGCAGGTACGCCTCCGGGCTGGTCTCCAGCGCCAGGTCGTAGTAGCGCTTCGCCATGTGGAAGTCCTGGTCGACCGCCACCCCGTTCTCATGCATCCACCCCAGGTTCCAGTAGGCCTGCGCGCTGTAGTGCGCCTCCGCGGCGGTGTGGTAGCAGGTCGACGCCTTCTCGGCGTCCGCGGCGATGCCCGTGCCACGCAGGTAGTAATCGCCCATCTTGATCAGGGAGTCGATGTTCGCCTGCTTGGCCGACCGCGTCCAATAGATCAGAGCCAGCGCCGCGTTGCGAAGCAAGGCCGGACGGCTCTGCTTGGCCGCGCCCGGAAGGAAGGCATCTAACGACACCAGCGAGCGCTGCTCGTCAAGGAGGAAGGCGACGTTCGACTGCGCGTGCTCGTAACCCTGCTCCGCAGCCATCATGGCCGGAATGAGCGCCCGCTCCTTGTCCCCCTTCTCGTACGCCGTGTTGGCCTCCTCGAACGAGGAGTGAATGGCCTCCGCCCGCTCCGCCACCATCTTGTAGTACGAGGCCGCCATCGCGCAGTGCCGTTTGCGGCCGACCCCGTTATTGGAGAGCTCGGCGAGATAGTAGAACGCCTCCATCGACCCCCACCGTGCCGCCAGCTCGAAGTACTTGGTGGCCGTAGGCACGTCTCCTTGGTCCAGAAACAGGGCGCCGAGGCGCGTCTCCGCCGCCGGAAAGTCCTGGTCCGCCGCCGAGCGGAAGAATGAGGCCGCTCGGTACGCGTCCGACGGCACGCCGTAGCCATGCAGGTGCATCAGCCCGAGCTGGTGCTGGCACAGCGCGTCCCCGGTGGCCAGGCCCCGCCGGAACCAGGTGCTGGCGGTCGCAAAATTCTGCTCCACGCCTTCTCCCCGCAGATACATCAGCCCGACATGCCCCGCCGCCTTGGCCGCCAGCTTCTCGATGCCCGCGGGATGGTTGGGGTTGACCGTGCCGTCCTGGTTCCAGTACCGCCGGGTGACCTGCTTGAAGTAGCGCATCGCGCGGCGGAAGTTGCGCGGCAGGCCGCGTCCGCCCTCGTAGTACATCTTGCCGAGACTGAACGTGGCCTTCAGCTCGCCCTTGCGGGACATCAGGTCCAGATACTCCAGCACGTCCTCGAGGTTGGCGTCGGCGCCGGAGTGGGCCGCATCCCGCAAGCCGGCGGTCGACACGCTGGCTCCTTCGCCGTAGACGCCGCCCTCTTCGTCCGCCCACCGGTACGACTCGCGGATCATGCTCTGGCCGCCCGGCGGGCCCGACCGCAGATACGCAATCGCCTTGTCGGCCACCTGCTTGTAGTAGTAGGTCGCCTGGTCGCAGTCACGCGGGGCTCCAACGCCCTGGTGGTGCCGATACGCCAGCGTCATCTCCGACCGGGTGTTGCCAGCCTCCGCCGCGAAAGTATGGTACAGCAGCGACTTGGCCTGGTCGCGCTCGACGGCGCCGCCCACACCCGTCCCGTACATGAAGCCCAGCATGTACTGCGCGGTGCTGTTGCCCGTGGCGGCCGCCAGCGCCTGGTACCAGTGGAACGCCCGCCCGAAGTCGCGGGGGTGCGTGAAGTTGCCGTAGAAGTTCATCTCCGCGAGCAGGAACATCGCGTCCGGGTGGTGGGCCTCCTGCGCGGCGGCTGTGAGCTCGTGCACGGCTTGGGCGACATCCGGGTGGATCTTGTGCTTTGCGTTGGTGGTGGAGGACGAGCTCGGCCCGTTCATGAAGAGTAGCCGGAAGACTTGCTGGGCGTAGTACCAGGCGTACCCCGCCAGGCCGGAGGGTTTCGTGTCGGGGGCGACAACGGAGAGTTTGGAGTCTCGGAGAATGCGGAGGGCATAATCGACACGTTCTATTCACCACACCGAAGCAGGGAGGGTTAGATACAGGTTGGTGACGGTGGGGTGATGATGAAGAAGAAGAAGAAGAAGAAGAAGAAGATGATGATGATGAGATGGCAGAGCAATCTCACCTTGGCCCAGCGGGACTTCAGCGCTCTGAGACTGGCTTGAGGACTGGGATTCGTGGGTAACATCAATCGTGGAGGATAGAGCTTCTGTTTGGCCGCCGTGACATTCCACTAGAAAAGGCTGCAGGAGTAGCACTAGATAAGTTTGGAAGCGTCAGTCTCTCAAGCTCGGGATCGGCTCCGCGGCGGAGGGAGGAGGGTGTTGTTCGTTCACTCACATAGTGCCAGTGGCAGAATATGCCATAACCACCGGTTCTTCATGTTGTCAGGTAGAATCTGTCAGAAGTGAACAATGAGAGGCGCATGGCGACTCCACTTTTCACAACCGACAAGTGGTGTTTGTTGGTAGGCGTAGTTGAAGGAGGAATCAAGTATGGGGTGGGAAGGACTTGGTTTCTCCTCGCTCCGTCATGCGGGACCCGAATCCGGCCACCTGGCGTTTGTTCCCCCGTCTTTCTTTCTTCTATACTTAACTTCCTTCTTTCACTTCACTTCGATGGACTCCCTTACATCTCTACGCAATCATCAACTAACTGAGACTTTTCTCGCATTTTCGGATTTTTTTCAATTTAGAGAGAGAAAAAAAAAAGGATTTTTTTATCATGACTTCTTCAACGCATGGCCCTGTCCCCAATTCGTATCTCTGTGTTTAAAGGAAAGAACCCGGCCCGTTGGTCGCAAAAGCAGCAAATACACGCAGCAGCAACGAAAATCATTCTTTGATACCCCCAACTCATCCCTCATGACCAAGTCATGATTCATGAGCATCTCTGGTCTAAACGCTTGGTATTTCAATGCACCAAAAAAAAAAAAAAAAAAAAAAGGAAAAGGAGTGAATAAGAGCATGAAGCCAGACCCCCTCAAAACCCATTCACAATTTCAGTACACTGGCTTGGAAGAAGGAAACTAGTATTGAATAAGGGTAATAAAACCTGCAGGCTCGTGCAAGACAAGTAAAAAAAAAGAACATACATTCGAAAATGGAATGGGACAGAGAAAGCAGGCTGCAAACGCCCAGATTTCGGCATGAGATAACCAACCAATTCCGCAACATACAATGCAAGTTGTTTTTCGGTTCTTTTCTCCTTTTCTCCTTTTTCCAAGTTGTCAGGATGAGGTGATAATACAATGATACAGCGAAAGTCGTAAGGGGGGCACGTCACAAAAGCTGGGCCTTTACTGGCGTGGAGACCTAGAATATCACACATGAGTTTCTTCGTGTGGATGCACGCCAAACCACATAATAGAAAACTTACGTAGGGCTGAAAGCCGGCGACGTCGGGCTGTAGCCTGGGGATGTAGGCCCCCCAGGCGACGTCGGCGAGCCGGCAAAGTTAGGAGACGTTGGAGAGTAAGTCTGAGGGCTCGTGGGAGACCATCCAGGCGATGTCGGAGTGTACTTGGGAGAGGTGGGAGAGGTGGGGGACAGGTGTCGGGCTCCACCAACAGCAGGACTGGTCGGGCTGTAGCTTGGCGAGGTCGGGCTGAACGCCGGCGACGCCGGGCTGAAGCTCGGAGACGTAGGACTGTAGTTCGGCGACGTGGGCGAGAAACCAGGCGACGTGGGCGAGTAAGAAGGCGAGGTAGGAGAAGCCTGTCCGTACGCCGGCGACGTGGGAGAGTAGGCCGGGGAAGTCGGCGCGAACGAGGGACTGGCTGGGGAGAATCCAGGCGAGGTCATGAAGCGAGGACTGGTCATGGCCATACCAGGAGAGGTAGGCGAATAGCTTGACGTAGGAGAGTACCCAGGGGAAGTCGGGTTCGCACTGAACGGGCTGCTGGGAGAATAGCCTGCGGGGCTCGTGGCCGCCGGGCTGAAGCCGCCTCCAAAGCCGCCACTGGGCTGGTATTCGGTGAAACCACCCGGCGTCTCAGCGCCCGCCTGACGGATCGGGGAGAAGTTCGACTCGGGATCAGGCGAGCCAATGTAGGCGCTTGCCTGCATAGGCGAGCCAGTGTCATACTGCGTGGCAGCGCCATCCGCGTAGATCGCATCCTTGACACCAACAGGTCCCATCATACCATGGCGGGCATTGTCCGAGACCACGGTGTTCAAGAGGCTTTGGTCAAGATAGATGTCAAATTCTCCGGTACCAGCAGGTGCCATTTGCCCCAGAATCAAGTTCTCTGACACACCACGGCAGTCGTCAAGCTCGCCGAAAGAGGCAGCCTCCAACAAAATCTCCACGGTCTCTTCGAACGAGCAACGCATCAACGCACCGTTGTCAGCGCGGTTGATACCGTGACGGGTAACCGGCGTCAGGTAACCACGAACAGTCATAACGTCGACCAGCAGCGCCAAGTGACGGTGATTGACATAAGAACCATCGAACGCCAACACCTGGGTCAGCTCACGGAGCACTGCAGTACGAGCGGCCTCGATACCAAAGACCTCAAACACCTCAACGAACTGATTGGAATATGTGCGAGAGGCGTCGACACCAGGAATAGCCAAAACATCACCAAGCGAGGAACCGCTGGTTTCGAGAACCCATTCCTTGCAGAGCGGATCGGACTTGCTAGCAAATAGCGAGCCGTCTTCCAGGACTCGGACCTTGCTCTTCTCGTTGATAAACGCTCGCTCAACTCCAGGAACACCACGGAGGGTCAAGGTGTCCAGAAGATGCTGCTCAAGCTTCTTGAGCGTGACATCATACTCGATATCGTCATCTTCCTCGTCTTCCTTGTAATCCTGGATCTGACGGATACGAATGACCTGCTCATCAGCGTTGTTGTCACTGAACAGGACAGCGATATCCTTGGGATATGCGGCCTTGATCTTGGAAGCAACATCCTGCACAGTAAGACCCTTATCCAGGAGCTTGGGCCGACTGAGAATGATACGCAACAACCACTTGGACTGGCGAGACGAGTCATCTGTGACATCCTCGGGAATGATGAAGTAAGACTCCACCATATCCCTATCGTTCTCAATGACAGTAGTTTGAATGTCGGGATCATAGTAGATCTCAGTGGCCTCAGTGACGGATCGCAAGCTGGTGTGTTCCACAGCGCTACGAAGCTGCTTGGCACTCTCCTTATTGTAGGAGTTTTCAGCCTCCTGGTAGACCGTCATGGAAGGAGTCTTAATGTTCTTGGCGACGTTCAAAATTTCCTTCAGACGTGGGACACCAAGGGTAACGTTCTTGGACGAAACACCAGCAAAGTGGAAAGTGTTCAAAGTCATCTGCGTAGCAGGCTCACCAATAGACTGGGCAGCAAGCACACCGACCATCTCTCCGGGGTTGGCAGCAGCCTTGGCGAATCTCATCTCAATGGCTCCAATGACATGCTGGAATGCGAGTTTGTTCAAGGAGTACTCGGTAACCAGTCTCTTGAATGCGAGACGACTGCGGAGCTGAGCCTTGAAGAGCATCGTCGCGCTCTCTTGGGCCTCGCGCGAGATAACATCGTCACCGCGTACGACCAGCAGTCGATCCAGAAGAGCACGAACCTGAGGAATAACTTCCGAAGGGTGTAGATCACTGATAGCTCCATCGCGAATCTTGAAGGTGGCTCTAGCCGTCTCAAGAATACGCAGCACGTTGATCGGAAGTTGCATCATCTCATCGTCTTCCTTGGCCACAGTACGCAGGAATGCACGATCCTTGAGAAGCTGCTCCCATTCCTCATCCAGGTGTCTCTGGACTTCAACATCACCAGCAATCTCATTGGCTTGTTCCAAGATTTCCGGTCCTAGACTCCGCTCAGGATCCATGAGATCCACACGGAAACGGTCGCGGAACTTGTCATCGGAGCACCTGATGACATCGACACGTTGGTTCTCAATGTGAGCACCATCCAAACCATCCTCTCCGTAAATAAACTGAACAATATCACCCAATGAGTTGCGAACAGTGCCATCGTATTTGACCATGACTTCTTCGAGAGCCTTGACCAGCTTACGCTGAATGTAACCAGTTTCAGCAGTCTTCACGGCGGTATCAATCAGACCCTCACGACCAGCCATAGCGTGGAAGAAAAACTCGGTCGGAGTCAATCCACGTAGGTAGGAGTTTTCGACGAAACCACGAGATTCGGGCGAGTAGTCATCCTTCGTGAAGTGCGGCAACGTTCGATACTTGAAACCGAAGGGAATACGCTTTCCCTCGACCGACTGTTGTCCCACAACAGCCGTCATCTGGGAAATGTTAATGGTTGATCCCTTGGAACCAGAACGTGCCATCTGGATGGCGTTGTTCAAATCCTTCAAACTCTTCTCTGTCTCGCTACCAGCCTCATCACGAGCATTGTTCAAAGCACGCGAGACCTTGCTCTCGAAAGTCTCACGGACGTTCATACCAGGCAGAGGCTCGAGTGTGTTGTCAGTAGCACTGGCAGTGATTTCCTCGACCTCCTTCTTGCGGATCTTCACACAGTTCTCGATTCGCTGAATGGTGAGCTCGTCAGGGATGGTATCACCGATACCAATACTGAACCCGTTATGGAGTAGCCAGTAGTTAACAATTCTTTGGGCGCCGTTGAAGAAACCCACAGCAGCCCAAGGGCCGTACTCGTTGAAAATGGTATGGATGACGCCTCCACCGCTGGCACCGACCGTCTTCTTGGAGAACATACCATACATCAACTGTCCTCCGTGGATGAGGAGACCACCATCAGCCAGGGGAGAGAACTTCTCCGACAATGGCGAGCTATCCTTGTCAACACGTAGGAGGTTGAGACCAGGAGGCAGAGCCATGCTGATCATCTGCTTTCCAGTCCATCTGGGTCTGGGCTTCAGGATAGCCGGGGGCGGAATGACACCATCCCAGTCGGGCACCCACATCATTAGATTCATGACTTGGTCTTTGGTTAAGAAGACATCACGTCGACAAATCTTGTAAATACCACACAAAGTATCCTGCACGATACCCATGAGCGGACCGTTTCGCTGAGGAGAGACGATATTCATCGGCACGAGTGCGAGCTGACTGAGCTCAGCGCGGGATTCCTCCGACTGGGGTACGTGCAAATTCATTTCATCACCGTCGAAATCGGCGTTGTAAGGAGAGGTCACAGACAGATTCATGCGGAAGGTCGAGTACGGCATAACACGCACGCGATGGCCCATCATGGATTCCTTGTGCAGGGAAGGCTGACGGTTGAAAAGAATTACATCACCATCCATGAGATGGCGCTCCACCTTCCATCCATAGTAGAGCTGCTGAGAACCTGCTCTCTTAGCATGGCGGAGATCCATACGCTCGCCATTGTCTCTGACGATGTACCTTGCTCCAGGATGCTCGTTCGGACCGTTCTGTACGAGCTGTTGCAGCTTCTCGATGTTGTAGGGAGTGACGACCTCAGGGTATGTCAACGTCTTGGCAATACTCTTCGGAACACCGACTTCCTCGAGAGACAGGTTCGGGTCACCAGTGATGACAGTACGGGCCGAGAAATCGACACGTTTCCCCATCAAGTTCTGTCTCAGGCGACCTTCTTTACCCTTCAGACGGCTGCGAATAGCCTTGACTGGACGGTTAGACTTCTGCATGGCCTTCGGCTGACCAGCAATGTCGTTGTCCATGTAGGTTGCGACATGGTACTGCAGAAGAGATTCGAACTCGCGCACAACGTGCTCAGGAGCACCTTCCTGCTCACAGCGTTGAACGTTTTGATTTGCTCGAACGATTTCAGCAAGCTTGTAAGTCAAATCATCCTCACCACGCTGGCCACCACTGCTGCCACCAACAAGTACACTGGGACGAACCGGAGGGGGAGGAACTGGGAGGACTGTGATCACCATCCACTCCGGACGAGCATAATCATTACTCAGGCCCATAATACGGACGTCTTCGTGGGAGATGCTGCGGAAGATATTCAGCGCCATCTGAGGGGTGATGGTCTTCTTCTCGGGCTGTTGCATATCCATCTCATCCATCATCTTGTTGGGCTTCCAAGTGCCGACGAGCGTGATACCCTCCTTACGAATGGTGGGCTGCGCGTTACCGCATCCACCATGCATCCGCGAAGGCTTGGAGCTCTCTTTCAAGAAAGGATCCTCATCATCCGGGGGAGGGTCGGCCTCACAGATCATCACATCTTTGGAAAGACGCCAGATGGCATCGAATCGTCTCTTCGGGTCCCGCATGCGCAGGACTTCTAGGAATTTAGGATCGGACTGGTGTCTCAAGTTAGCCAAACCGCCGTTATAGAGTTGCCATCCCATAAGGGATGACTAACCGTATTGGCCTTGATCTTGCCACAGTTGTGGCAGACCGTCTCAAGGAGCTTCTTGATTTGACGCAAGAAACCTAGAAGAACAAGAAAAAGTTGCGAATATCAATCAGTATTTGGCGTATATCAGTCAGGTTGGAAGTCCATCTTGGTCGACCACATACCAATGTGATAAACGGGAGTGGCCAGCTCGATATGTCCGAAGTGACCGGGGCATTCCTTTTGGCCTTCCTCGCAGGTCTCACAATTCCATTGCCGGTCGATCGTTCCGAGACGGGGGTCGTTCAAGCCCTTTGTGCGCGGACGTTGCCGTTGTTCATCCTATAGAGGGAAGTGTTTTTCCCGCGTTAGCGCCACCCGCGGCCGCTTTGTGCTCAGGAGGGGGGAACACCGGAAAGAAGAACAAACCATCGTCTCCGGGTATTCGACATGAACCACGCTCATCCGCTTGATCTCCTCCGGCGAGAAGAGACCAAACTGAATCTCCTTGATCGTGCGCAAGGGCGCCTTGGAATAGGGAAAGTACACGTTCGACATGATGACGGATTATCGCGGTGAGATGTTATTTGGGGAAAAGCGGTACGTTGCGTCAGTCGGGTCGGTGGGAGGATTCGAGACGCGGTCGCGCGTAGATGTGAGGTGACGAGGTCGCCGATGTGAGAAGTGGTCCTTGCAATCTTTCTCAACAGCGATAGGGTGGTGATGAGAGGGATGGTTGGAGGGTGGGAGCGAAGCGAGCTGGCCGGCTGAGGCCTCTGGCAGCCCTTGCCACGAGGGCGCCTGCGACCTAGATCCACCGACTTTGCGAAAGCTCGGAAAAGGGGCGAAGAGGAGATGGAGACGATCGTGCTTGGCGATATCTCTAGGTCGGATTCGTGATATCGCGATGCAAAACGCGATGGTCGGGGGTGGTCGGGTGGGATGGAGGGAGGGAGCGTGTCGAGGTGTTGGAAGGGAGATGGATGGACGTCAGGTTAGTCGGCGATGGGGCAACGAGTTTTCTGAGCCGCACCTCTTCGCGCTAACTGCCCGTCCTCTATAAGTCATGCACACTAATCCCAGTGAGAGAAGTTGGATCCAATCAGGTCACATATATGGAGGGAAAAGTGGGGCTCCCTGTTCTCACTTCAGAGGACTCGTTCTCACCGCCCGCCTCCCGCTTTCCCATTCATTCTGCATCTTCCCTCAACCCAAATAATACCGAAAAGAATATAAAGATCTCCTCTCAGTCGCCCCTGTGAATTACAGTATAACTACCTAGCACGTCGCCAGTTCCAGTCCTGAATGGTCTCTCTCGCGATTTACTCCCGGCCATTTCTTGCAGGCTGGGGCCACTCTTCACTCTTCCCTTGCATGACTTTCTAGGTTTCCATCGTTGGTCCTCTGAGCCGCGGCGCACAACTCTCTTTCATCACCATGAATTTATCTCTCATTGATCCCTTTGTCCTCGCTCAGGACTACCCCGACACGTTATCGGAAAAGCTCAGTATGGGCTTCTTTACACATCAGCAATTTAAGATATTCATTAACTATCTCCAGGAAGCGGCCATGCGACGTGTCTCCGATTCAACCGCAAAGGAGATTATTTGGCGTCCGGTCGGGTTGGTCTCCTCCCACAACAACCACCGCACCTTTGATGTTTTCATTGAACAACAATAATAATCCTCAGGCTTAGGTGGATGGGACAGTCGTGATCTTCGATGTGGAAACAAACGGGGTGGCGCGTAAGCTACGCGGCCATACCAGACAGATCCAATCGCTGAGGTGCGGAAATCCTTGTATGCGTGAAACTCAAGGACGGAGCGCTTACACGATGATGAATATTCAGTTGGTCGAGAGACGGCAGATATCTTCTCAGCTCCTCTCAGGACTGGAAATGTATCTTGTGGGACCTGAAAGACGGTTCCCGGGTTCGCACCGTCCGCTTTGAAGCGCCTGTATATATCGCTGAATTACATCCTTACAACCAGTACGAAGCCCCTCCAAGCAGCGCCAATTCACATTACTGGCTAACATTCCTCTTCTTCTAGTTTGCTCTTTGTAGCCTCTCTGTTCGAAGATCAGCCCGTTCTCGTTGACATTTCCTCCTCCAAACCTGTCAAGCGCATTCTCCCTTCTGCTCCTTTCCGCCCGCCTCCCGCCAAAGGGGAGGAGCTCGACGCCGCCGCCGCTGCTAAGCAAGCAGCGCAAGATGCAAAGCACTCGACATGCGTGACCATTTTCACCGCCTTTGGCAATCACATCATAGCAGGCACGTCCAAGGGTTGGATAAACATCATCGAAACCCAGACGTGTACCACTATCCACTCTACCCGTCTGTGCAATGGAGTAGTGATCCTACTTCGTCTGGCAAACAACGGCCGGGATCTATTGGTGAACAGCTCCGATCGCGTTATACGCACGATTCTCATGCCGGACCTCTCGCAGCTCGGCATCGACCTGGAACCCAGCAACATCAAACTCCATGTGGAGCACAAGTTTCAGGATGTAGTCAATCGACTGAGCTGGAATCACGTTACTTTCTCTTCAACCGGAGAATTTGTAACAGCATCCACGTTCATGAACCCCGACATCTACGTATGGGAACGGAGTCACGGGTCCTTGGTCAAGATCCTAGAAGGTCCTCGGGAGGAGCTGGGGATGGTAGAGTGGCATCCTAGTCGCCCGATGGTCGTAGCTTGTGGTCTCGAGTCCGGTTGCATCTATACTTGGTCAATAGTGACACCTCAGAAATGGTCAGCGCTGGCGCCCGATTTCGGTGAGGTTGAAGAGAATGTGGAGTATCTCGAACGCGAAGACGAGTTCGACATACACCCGGCAGAGGAAATCCACCAACGCCGTCTTGATCAGGAAGACGAAGTGCCTGATGTGCTCACTATTGAACCTCTCAAGAACGGCGCAGATGAAGAGGAAATAACGTCATTCCGGATGCCTGTCCTGCTCGACATCTCCGATAGCGAAAGCGAGGAAGAAATTGTAGCTGTCGGTCCGGGCACAATGAGGCGGCGCAGCCCCGGTGCAGGTCGGGAGTGGATGAACACGATTAGTGAAGGAGAGAAGGAAAGCACGGCCAGCGGTAAAAATGGTACCGCACGGGGCCAGAAGGGCCGGCGGCGCTGATCTATCCGACCTGCGCGCAAATCCCCACGCGCCGCAGTGCATGGCATTGACCCGCATGTCACTATGATCTCTGTATTCCCGAACAAAATATTTCAGCTAAGTTCTTTTTCAAAGGTTGTTGGGCGTTTGGCGAAGAATGAAGGATCTGGCGTTCGATAATACGTACGGTGTTGGTTGAAAGGAGTCTCGGAATTGGGAGAAGATTCAAGAGGTGTCCTCACGGCGGCATGGGTCCATATCCGGGTGCTATTTTTCGTCACTTTCATTTAATTTGGATAGTTCTCCTGGCAATCAAAATCCCTAGCTTGGTTAGGGCGACGCTGTAAGGAAGAATGAAGTAGTGTCCCAAGTGCTTGGGTCAGAACCGGAAACTTGTTCCGTCAACATTCTGGAGACGCTCGGACCCTCGCATCGGCCACTGTGAAGAGAAACGGGAGAATCTTTCATGATGCAAGTCGGGCGCTCCAAAGGTCTTCTGCGTCTGCAATTGTCCATCTCCGTAAAAGTATGGTGGCATCTTGAATGAGCGAAGCACAGAAGGTCTTCGGCATTCACAGTGCCACGGAACCTTTTAGTAGTTGCGCCGCCTATGCAAGCCGGAAATGCGGGCAGGTTATACCATCCTTGCATAGCGCATGGGTCTCGATGCGCATTTCGTCCGATTGGTCGCTCGAATTAGGGCGTCTGCAGGAGGCACAACTGGAACGATGTAGATACGAGCCACGACTCGATGAACTCGGCAGTCGAGACGACAACCGTCTTACTCGTAGATCACACGTCTCAGACGCACCGCAAAAGGGTTTGTGCAAGGGAATCCGGAAGCTGCAAGAAGAGAGACGAGCGGAAATCAGGACCCTACAACATCTGGCAGAGCAGCGAGCACAGGTGCCGTACGCGGTGACATTGCACAGCGTCCGTATCAACGCCGCAGTCAGATGTTCAAGACAGCGCATCATTCCAGAACCAGCCCTACCTCAGCCATGAATGTTTCGCCTTCAATTCGGAAGGGGCTTTCGCGCTTGGTAGATATGCAAAAGATTCCAGGCGTGGATATCGGGGTTGAAGGCTTCCGATTTCACTTCCTCCGCGAAGCGCTGGATTTTGTCCACAGGCCAGTTGTAAACCCGATGGAATGGGGCCAGACTAAGAGTCTCGATGCTCTCCGAAATCGCCAGATTGTACCAACGAGCAACCTTGCTCTCGTGCTTATCGGGAATCCAAGGGTTCAAAGGCAAGCCCACAATCTGATGATTGATCTGGGTGAAGCCTGCTTCCTCGAGGTGTCTAATGGTTTCGTGGGAATTGTGGGCTATTGGTCGCATCGTCTCCTGAGTTGCTCGCTTCAGGTAATCATACCAATGCCAAATAGCCAGATCTTTCAAAGGACGGTTGTTGCAGCGTGGCTCAAAGTCGATTTCCACTTGCTCGAACCAAGCGCCCGGTGCAAGATGGGCAAATATTTTTTGGTATAGGTTCGGCCAGCTTATGACGCTACCACAGCCCATCTGAAGATGAATGAGGTCCCATGAATCCTCTCCCAAGGCCCAGGGGCCCTCGAAGTCGAATGGCGCATAGAATTGGCAATTGTGCGGGTGATTGCTGGGTTGGATGTGCGCGAGGTCAACGCCGACCACCTGAGCTTGCGGATACTTGTGGGCCACATCGATGGCCCAGATGCCCGTTCCGCATCCCAGGTCCAAGAAGCGCCCATCTGACGGGTGCGGTGCGTATATCAGACCGTCCGACTTTCGCGCTTCCGTGAAGAGCTTATGGAAGATGTCGAGGCGATCCTGCTCTTGTTCGTCGCACGGCAACATGTAGACTCCTTTCCGGAAACCATGATACATGCGGCCATTTTCTTCATGAGGAGGGTATCTGTCTGAGATCCTATATTACCAAAGGTCGCAGGGGAACCGGATTCGGACATTAGTCACCCAATTGTGGCAGATACCAAAGAGGTAGAGAGGTGGGACAAGGAAGATTGGGGGAGCGTTACTTGCTGTAAGTACTACTCATGCTCGGGGACCCATGGCGGTTGGCTGGATCACTATCAACAGCACAAGGCTCTGGCAAGTCGCGGTCTACGAGACCGTGCATGCCCATAGCCTCTGAGTTTTGCCTGGAGCGAGCTATTTCCGCGGGGTCAGTTGATGGAGACGTAAAGTAATTGCGCGAAGGGGACGCCATGGTGGGCGATGGGTATACAGCGCCCTTTTGTTCCTGACTATCCTGAGGTGAAGCAAAAAAGACTGCGAAGTAGGAAAGGGAAGTATTTGTTAGAGAGAGGCTTCTCTTAAGTGGTTTGCAGAGGGCGTACAAGGAAGCTGCACTTTCGGAAAAGTCTTGGTTAGGAGTAGCGAGGGCCAAGAACAAATGAAGTTCGCCCACCAGGTGTAGGTGAACTGGAAGTAGACAATATAGTTCAACGGTCAGAAGGTACATAGAGAAGTGCTAAGAAAGATTCAAGGAATGCAAAAATTGAACCAGGAGTATACAGATCCACCAAGGAGGGGCAGAGCGGGCGGTAGACCGTTGGTTGGCCTGAATAAGGAATGATGGAAAGAAATCGGGGAAGGGGAGAGGGAATTAGTTGTGAAAGGCAGAAAACGCGAAGGAATTTTTGACTAGGGAGAAATGACAGAAGGCTAGTAGAGTGACTAGAGTCTCCAACATCCAGTCCCACAGCAGGCACGCCCGCACATGCAAAGATCGATCGATTTGGAATCAATTTCTAGTTGGCCCGGACCAACAGAACGAGAACCAACGGGGGAAATTGATGTCCCTGGTGGCAGAGAAATCCCCGCGTAGTCTAGGCTCGACTGTTTTCGTTGGAGGGATTGGTAGAGCGAGAGAGGGAGGGGAGAAAGTACCAGAACCAACTGCAGTGGGCGAGGAAGAACGACAAAAAAGTAGACTGTAAAGTGACAATAGCTTTAGAATGGCGGTCACGGGGCACTGTGGTATGAAAGGGAAGAGGTCAAAGACGGTCCTGAAAGCCTGGAACCACTATCGGTGGGATCTAAAGGACCAAACTGTCCCGAGCGGGATTAATTGTAACAAAGGGGATGCAAAGAGAAAAAGGGGAGATCAGGAAGTAGATTTCGGAGAGGCTCAAGCAGTGGGGGGAGGGAGAAAGAGAGAGAGAGAAGGATACAACGGCAAAGACAAAGAAAAAAAGAAAAAGGAAACAAACAGAAAAAGGGTCTGTAGGCGATATGAAGCCGGAGATGAGGATGAAAGAGGCCACAGCGAAGCAACCACCCTTGCCTTTAAGGTTGTTACAGCCGCTGTCTTGTCGTCCCCGTTGGGCCCACGGGCGCGAAGGCGAGGAGGGGGAGTGGAAGTGATGAAGTGCGCGCGGGTGTACTGACACTCCGTAGAATGAATTGATGGTCATTGGGGCGACAGACGATAGATCCTTCCCTTCATTTGTCTTTGGCTGAGTAGGCCAAAGACCGTTGCGTGGAAGGGGCTTGTTGGGTGTGTTGATGTGTATCATCAAACCATACATACCACCAGTCGCAGCTACTAAGTACTAAAGTACATACATACTGTATAGTTGTCTAGTAACTAGTACCTACTACTTACTTAGCTAGATCTATCATTAACTTACCAATGACTACTACTTAGGTAGTAAGTAATCGAGGGTTGCGAACTGAGAAGAACGATGGACGATAGAATGAATGGGCTGAGGATGTGTCGAAGGGGCCGGTCGAAGGAGGTCATTGGCTGCATCCCCAGAATAGAGCCCCTCCATCAACCATGGTACAGGAGCTGCTCTAGTCATTATGGGACCCGATGAGCTTTTTTTGCTCAGTTCCATTCATAGATAGACATCTTCATTCTCCAGCCGACTAATGACTATTTATACTCCGTTCAATTTGAAGGCTCGGCGGCAATGAGTCCACTGTATGATCAATTACTAAGCTTAATTACTCCGTACCTTCAACAGCATCATCATAATCCTCAGTACTGTATCTACCTCCCCCTCAGCTGGACCTGATCCGGATTCAATTTTCGTCCCAATCCACGGAAGATAATCAGCGACATCCCAAATCGATTGCACACGGTCCTGGCAGTGTACCATGCTCGCATGTGTACCGGCCGTACCGACGAAACACACAGACTAAGATAGTCACTTTGGGCCCTGCCACACTAAGATGTTGGTCATTCTAGTTCCTTATCCATGGTGGCCGCTGAACCCACTGTTTTTAGGCGGATCTTTTAGCGCCTACTTCTTTTACCATTTTTATTCACGCCCTTCCCTTTGGTTATTTGATTATACCCTCTTGGGTCTTGGGGAGAATTTCTCTCTTGTCTTTTTCTTTTCTCTCTTTTGTTCTTTGCATCTTTGGCGAAGGAAGTAGTATTTCTTCGTGACGAGAGGATACACCCACACTTCGAAGCCCCCATAGTCCAACAAATAATATCCAATCCCGAGGTGAAAAAGACAACCCCAAGATGAAAGGCCGAAGAGAGCACAGAATTGGCAACTGGAACAAGTGGTGTGCAGTGGTGATGGATCGAGGAATCAATCCCATCGAATTGAACCGTGGAATGGGGCTTTTCTCCTCCTCCTTTCCCTTCTTCCCCCAAGAACTTTAGGGCCAAGTGACTTCCGGGCGGGATGCGGACCGTCTCCCACACTTTAGTTGAATGAAAAGGTACTAAGTTTTCCCTGTGAGCCACACTGAGCCACTGGGTCACTGGGTCACTGGGTCACTGGGTCACTGGGTCACTGGGTCACTGGGTCACTGGGCCACTTGCGGGCCACTGGGCCACTGAGGCAACACGCAACAATATCTCCGGCCTATTGGCGGCGGTGGAGTGCCAGCATTCTCAGGCCAGCGTCTGACCGCGGCAGTTACCAACACTATGGTACACCGAAGAAGGATTCGACTCCAAGCCCCCCCCCCTCCTTCCACCAGCTTTGGCCCGTAGCGCCCGAGCCAAAAGACGCCAACCTCCCACTAACCTTGAACTGACTCAACTCACTACTATGAGAAGGGGGTTTCCATGGTTGTCGGGCAGAGTTCAGAATCAGCCTGGCCCGCGCGGCATTCCGTGCATCCGCTTCCGAGCTGGAGACCAGGGTCGATCTCTCCCCATTCTTTAGCGAGGTTGACTCGATTCGTAGTGGATATTATCTGAGGTGGCAACTGACTGACACAGTGCTCCCGGAGGTCTGCTGAAGACTTGGCTCGTGTCGAGTAGTCAGTCAGTCATTGATGTGGGATGGAAGGATGCTGACCCCCCGGCGCTGGATGGCTCATAGCCTCAAGTCCAGTTGCAATAATTAGAGTTTGACTTTCAGCATCTCGTCAATCTAGTAGCCTCCTCCCAACGCGTCTAGTGTCATGTCGTGCAATCACGGCCGGGGGTTGGGTCAGGGTTACATCCATGCTCTCGGGGGAAGACAGGGCGAGAGATGCAAAGATAATGAACCTGGAAGCTTATGATGCCCACCACAGGTTCATGAATATGCAGTCCGGGGTAGGCAGATAGACACGTACACACACACACACACACACACATTGTGTATGTGAACAGGGAGACGAGGGTTGAAAACCACTCTTATCCGCTCAATTGACGCGGCTATTTAAGCTCGATGCAATACATGCATATTGGATATGCACGAGATGCACGAGACGTGAGACGCTGGTCGAGAAGGTCAAGGGCCAGGAGCCCGTCGTTATCCGCCCGCTTGGCGCCGCCGAACCCCCCTCTTCCTCCAGTTGCCTTGTGACTCGCTCAGAGTATTGAGACTGTCCCGTGTTGATCGTTACACCGCTTCCCAAACTCTCGGGTCCAAAGGTGCGTGAGAAGTGGGTGTTTGCTGCAAAGCTACGATGGCGCTGGACGCACGTACTGTACGTATTGTACATACCATGTACGGAAGTACATACATGTGTACCTCTGCAGTAGAGTTACTTTCTATTCTTCTCTGACTTGACCTCACCCCCACTATAGACACACTACTAGCTAGCCAGCCTGTGGTGTCTCCCTATCAAGCTTCTGACATGATTATTGCCATTCTTCGGACGATGTAACCAGCTCCCGTGAGTTGATGGATGGAGATCCGAAGGAACTCTCTGCTGCAGAGGATAGCCATAAGATCGACTTATTATTATGCATTCCTGGAAGGAGGAAAAAAAGGTTGTGTGGCGCGACTGGCGTACTGCCGGACGACTCTGGCGCGAAGAGAGGCTCACAAGCTGATAATTTGATAATTCAAAGCGATGTGTTTTGTCGTTGCTTACGGAGTTGGTCAGGGTAGGGTATAACTTACCGTTGGTGGATCCATAAGCAAGCATAAGCAAGCGCACGCAGCCAGACACATATGCTCTGGTAGGAATTGGTCCTTGAAGTACATATTGGATCATTGGTACGTCTTCGAAGTTGAGTCTTATCCAGCTGCAATTTTTCCCAAGTTCTGCCACGTCTGTTTGAAGAATCAAGGACGACAATGAATGCATCTCCACTTGCGTCACACAAATGTTTTCCGGAGAAATCAACCGTGCGTCTGTGATTTGTTCGGCTCTCTGATTGACTGGGTAGGGTAGTAGGTACCTAGGGAACCTGACTGACCATCGTGAGAGGATCCAAATAACTAATTGTCATGAGCACCCTGTCGTGATCAGTGCAGTGTCTCCAGTCTGCTCCAATCTGTGGGCTGCTCTTTTGGTAACCGTACAGACACCCAGCGAGGCAACCAGGCAGTGTTTACTACTCCGTACGGGTAGTGGTACATCTACCTACTACGACCTACTGTACATCTAAACCATGTCTTCCCATGCATGCCGAGGCTTTCTCTTCCAGACTCCACCAGCCTTGCAGCGTCATGCGTCATGCATACATGATTCCATAGTTTGGTACCATATCAGAGTCCTGGGATAGCCGCTTTGTTTCCTCCCCAAACCCACCTCTGTTTGCTTTACCGCACAGTTGTCGTTCCAAAATGATCCTATTCCAGGGTCCATCGAGCGCCTCCAAGGTCTGGGCGCCCTACCAAGCCCACATCCCAATCGACCACGTTTGCACTCTATCAAACTTGTCACGATTTGGACGATTCATTGGCGGGCGAGTGACAGAAGTAAACAAGGGCACTCATCGATTTCAGGGTTATTACCCCCAAGCCAGCTGGAGAACCATCTACGGCGTCCGCCGCGTGTCTACCGTGCGCCTTGTGGGATGTTGCAGGTGCGGCTACTGCTACATACAGCACAAGTCGTGTACAGTTTACAGTGTACAGTAAACGGGGCCAGTCAGCCACAATCTCGTTGGGGGCCAGGCCCTTTTTTTGTTGCCCACATTTTTCCACCCCACCAGACTCACCACCAACGTGGATCTAATTTTTGCCTCCTAAGGCTTTCCTCAGGCTGCCCTGAGGCTTACCTAAGGCTTTCTTGTTGTCGTGCAACCCTGGCTAACCCAGTTTTCGCCTTTACTCAGTGATTTTTCATGATTTTATCACATGACCTTGTGGGCGAGCGAGAGGAATGGCCGGCCACTGGGTCAACTCTGGTTCCGGCGAACCATCCTCATCAAGTTGCTGTACCAGATTACACTGTACTCTCGTGACTATGGGGTATCACTTCTGAGATGCGCTTGAGAGTCCAGCGATCATTCAGTCCCGGAGTGACTTGACTGATGTTCCATCAATTCCCGATTCATGATGGTGAGAAGCGGCGGGTGGTCCACTGCGCTCGGGAGGCAGTCAAACATTAACACCCGCCATTATAAGCGGTGCTGCTCGATGATGCGTCTTGTTTGGGGGCAGCAAAGACACAGACGGCCTCGACGTACTCTTGGGTCGCTTTGGGGTTTTATATGTGCGACTGTTCAGGTGGCCAGTTATGATTGACTCTGCTTTGGCTGGTTGGCGCAACCCACACGCACACGCAGACTGTCCATTAGCAATCCTGGTCGAATGCGCGAGCACCGGTCAGCCAACCACCTCGACTGAATACCTCGCGGCTGATTGTGGGCTGTCAGAAACGGGGCTCCACCAACTCCGCCACTGTCGGAGCGAGGCATAGGATGAGGTCTCCGTCAATTCGGGAGGCCTGGCTTGACTTGAAGAGGCAGAGCTGACCAATCTTGTCGGTGGCTGCTGGGCTTCTTGGGTCTGGTGCGCAGATTCGGATCTTGGGCGATAACAGTGCTCTTAAGATTACACAATCTGATATGTGCTGATCGCAGGGACTAACTAGGACGGAGTACTTGTCATGTGGGCAAGCCATCGTCTGCATCTCCATTCTCGGCTCGGAGACTAGCCCACCCTAGCCTGTAGACCAATGCATGCTCGAGATTGGTTCGGCTTTCGAGTCAGGGTGGTAGGGGAATCCAGAGGAATTCGACTCGTTTTGCGGCTGCCAGGATCGCGCATGGTTATTTGCGTATATGTGATGTTTGTTGGGAGTACTGTCGACGGAGTATGTCAGTAGACAGTGAGGCTACTCCCACCGTCCGACCGTACCCTGGGTCATGGTCATGGCCATATTGTTTCCTTTTCTCGGGCTGTGTGTGGGGCTGGTGGGATTACTGAATATGGCTTCCTACATACAGTGATCCTGCACGGAGTACTTTGTGCCAGGCGCAGGTTTGATTTGTGGGGTGGGTGAACTTCCCCTGTATCTTGGGAGACACCGTGTGGATGATCTATCTACTGGGATACAGTATGACATCTCCGAGGAGTCCTGCACCCCTGCCTCCCATGCATCCTAGGGTTGTTACGGAAGTCAGCTCCGCTAACGCCCATCTGCCAACACCTATCATCTGTGTCGATGTCGACGGGCTAGTGATGCTTACTGGGGGAACCTCTGTGGTCTATGCCAGGTCTTTGCTGATGCTATGCATACCGTACTTCCTGCTGGTTGGCTGTGCCGTGTGAGCTGCAGACAGCCAGACCCAGTCTAGTATTTTGCAGAGCAGGGTTCATCTGTGCTGTCCACCGGTTGCATCCTGATGAATGTGAATGGACATGTAGTTGCTTTGGCATCTTCAGGTCCCAGTGACAGTCGGGTAGTGATTGCCTCATTCCATTTTACCCCGAGTCGATCCAATGCAGCCGAGTCCAGGCATCGAGTAGATATATAACCTCAAACTATTCCGTACCGACCAACCAACCACGGAACCCACAACTCCGAATAATCCTCGCCATATCCAAACCGAGAGATATACAACTGTAGTAAACTAGCAGTAGTCAATCAAAACAGAAAAAAAAAAAAAAAAAGACACCAATCACCTTAAACACAAGAAGGACACACGTACCACAAGCCCTGATTAACCGGGGGCAGTGAACAGAAAACAAAAATAGTCGCGCCCGGGATCGAACCGGGAACCTTCTCGGAGCGAAGCTGAGCTAGTCGGCTTGCTTGAGAACACATGAATGTGAACGAGAAATCATAACCATTAGACCACGCGACTCGTTGTTGAGATTCCTAGGTTTACTAGAAAATATGTAGTTATGTTGGTATTAACCCCGCCTTATCATCTCGTTATCCGCGCGGAGATAAAACAATTTTTTTTTCTCTCACTTCAACTCCATCTTCGTCTCTGGGTTGAATCACACCAGCCAGACCTATTTTCTGCGCAGCTTTCTTTCTTTCCTTCTTTCGTAATGGATTGAGATATACAATACATCCCAGACAAATGCTACAATAATCCAACCGACGATCCCCTTTCATTGATAATCATCACGAACGACCGACCGACCGACCGACACAGACGACCGAATCCAGAAATGCTATCCTCTTAACCTACACTGCAACTCAAAACCTACCAACCAAACCAGCCCCTACGCCCCCTTCACCCTCTCCAGTCCCCCCAACCGAAAGCTTCCACCCCCCACCCTTAAAACCAATTGACACACCCTCCCCACCGATGGACGCCCAAGCCATCCTCCTCCGCCTAGGCTGGTCCGGCCCCGGCAACCCCCTAAACCCCAACGCCCGCCCGGACAGCACCTCCGGCCTGGGCCTGACGCGTCCGATCCTCGTTGCGCGTCGGAAGGGGAACTCGGGCGTGGGCAATAAGACCACCAAGGACCCGACGAATCAGTGGTGGTTGCGCGGGTTTGAAGACGCGCTCAAGGGGGTGGGCGACGAGAACCGCACCGTCTCGACGAAAAGTACGCCGAATGCGTTGACGAGTGAGCTTTATCGGTTTTTTGTGAGGGGGGAGATTGTTCCTGGGACTTTGGGGGATAAATCTAATCAGGACGAGAGGGAGGAGGAGGAGGAGGGTGGAAAGAGGAAGAAGCAGCGCAAAACTGGGGCTAAGAAAGAGTCCAAGGAAGAGAGGAGACTGCGCAAGGAGGAGCGGAAAAAACGCAAAGAGGAGAGACAGAAACGCAAAGAGGAAAGGCGGGTGAAGCGGGAGGAGAAGAAGAAGCGCAAGGAAGAGCGAGAGGCGCGGCGCGCAGCCCGGACCCTGAAGAGAGAGAAGAAGGCCGCGGCGAAGCTGCTTAAGCGCCGGAAGGAGGGCGAGGAGGATGTGCCGCGTCCGCAGTACGAGGATTACCCTACGCCGCCAGTGACAGAGCCCGAGCCCGAGCCCGAGCAGACGGAGTCAAGTGGGCCAGAGGATCAATTGAAGAGGGACCGCAAGGACAAGAAAGAGAAGAAGTCCAAAGACAGCAAGAAGAGAAAGTCGCCTGGGGAGGGTGGGGGTGACGATGCCCCGAAAAAGTCGAAAAAGTCGAAAAAGTCCAAAACACCGGACGAGTGAGCTTTTCTTCGGGTGGTTGGATATACTACTACTACTAGATTAGACTTCTTACAGATACCCATGGCTTGGTGCTGGTTCTTGGAATTCATTATGTTCAAACATTGCGCATCATACATCAAATGCATCGTTTCTGATTCTAGGGACTATTGCGCCCCCGTAGGCAGTTTCCCCGGCTTGCCCGACAGAATCCACGGCCGACGCGCCCAGAATTCATCCTTGATGAGATCGACATGGTCGACCACCACCTGCGCCTTTCGACGCAGTTTGCGGATCTTGTCCTGCTGCGACCGGGAGGCCGGAGCAGCCGGTCCATCCTCCTCGTCTGCTGCGGTTGCCTCCGCCATCGACGTTGCGTCCTCGAGTTGAAACTGCGCTGCCGGTTAGCCTCACCACCCACCGCTCCCAGGACAACAATCACTCGAAATACCTGACGATAAACCACACTACCCTTCTTGTAAATCTCCTCCTCATTATTGTAATTGATGCCGAACCGCTTAAACAGAATTTCGTTCTTGTCCGCCGACACCGTACCCTGTCATGGCAGGCCCCTCATTATCAACCTTGCTCTCCCACACACCCGTATATAGGATTAGGAAACGCACGCTCCTCACTTACCTTCAGCTCCTGCTCTGCATCCGTATTACTCATCCCACCCTGCAAGACCATCGTCCAGAATGTCGTATTGTACAGATTATTGATATGACCTAAACCACTCATCAGTTTTAACTCCCACCACCCCCCAAAGATGGATACTCACAATCCACCTGTCTCCAGCTCATATAATCCCTCAGAATCCTCGCGGTGGGATACATAACCGCCCGCCCATCGAACGAAGGCAACGCCGCAGGCTGCAGCGGCGTGGAGGGGAAATACGTGCCCCAGAGATAGATGTAGTATGCGGTGAAGGTCGAAACGATGGTTGTGACCAGTTTGCTGTTCATCATCAGACCATGCACCAGAACATGAGCGTGGCTCCCGTCACAAAAGCCAAGGAAAAGGGGGGGGAGGGGGTGAATCAGAACTCACGCGCTCCGCCGCTCAAATAGCTGACAGCTCGGGTGGAAGGCGAAACTGGAAGGGAGGGTTTAGTGAGATGATCCCCTTGCATGCACATTGAAGAAAATAGACATGGCACCTACCTGTACTCGTCGCTGACCCCGTACGCTAGACAGAGGTCAGGGAGTTCCTTCATGACCTCCACGGCGGCGGCGTTCATCAGGTCGAGAGCCCGACGGTCGTTGGGCTTGACAAAGCCGTAGCGGTCGGAGAGTCTGTGGTGGTATGGGGTTAGCAACGAGATCAAAGGATTCATCGCTCCGTGTTGTATGCATGCAGCGCAGACACAGGCCTCACGGAGGGAAAAACTGACTTGTGGAATCCTCGACCGTCGATGCGGATTACGATCCATGTATTGGGGAGTAACACATCGGGTTGCTCGAATGACTTGACATACTCGTATCTGGGCAGAGCGTTAGCGCGTCTAAAAGGCAAAAAGGGGGGAGGACAGATGTGGAGGAGATTACTTCGAGTTTGCCATTTTGATATGATACTGTGCGGGAAAAAGTTGGGCCTACAGAGACATGCAGAGACATGCAAAGTGATATACAGACAGCCAGCCAAGGCACGTGGAAAATGCGCTGCGGAGCGGCGGGTGGAAGATTTGAATGGGTGGGGGAACAATTGCGGTTCCCTATTTTTATCCGCTCACACCCACCAGCAGCTTTTTCTCTTATGACTGACTGACATTCTAGATTGATTACTTTTACCTGGAAAGTTCGAAGCGTAAATAAAGGTAAGCGGAGTGTCCCTTCTTGAGGATTAAGTGCCTTGATAATATTATGTGCAATTGATGCCCTAAGGAAAGATTGAAAAGATTGAAAAGCAAGCGAACCACCAATCCAGCTTAAGAAATGTCAAAGAGTGTAGATAACAAATGACTGACGACTCGTCGTCTATCACCGAGAAGAGTAAGAGAATGGAATCTGCATCATGCAGCCAAATGTAGCGCTAGCACTACGATCAAGAAGGAAGACCCTCCTCCTCGGAATCATCTGCCTCGCTAGCCTGCTCGCTAGGACGCTCGCTGGTCTCGCTTGCAGCCGACTTTCTAGACATGCGACTGAAAAATCCTAAGCTGCTGCGCGTCGATCTATCGGCAGAAGGTGCGCTTGAGACAGTACTATCGATACTCTTGGCAAGTAGCGCCTCACCGTGGGCATCCTCGTCAATATCCCCCTGCGCGGTGTCACCCCGTTTGGAAAACAGACCGGACCGATCCTTCCACGAACTGAATTTACTCGAGCTCCCTTTACGGGTAATCTTGCGGATGAACGACTCCTTCGAGCTGGCATTGTCCAGCGAACCACCAGACAGCACTCGCTCCAGTGACTCATAAGACTCGCCGGTGAGCGCAGACAGAGGCCGTGAGTCTCGGGAAGCGCGCGACTCCGAGGGAGAACCCTCCTCCATCTGGAAATCGAATGGTGCTTCCAATTCCCTGTCTTTGCCTTTGTCTTTCTCCTTACTCTTGTCCGACTTCTTCCCCGAGAAAATGGCCTTGAACGAAGGGGCCGCAGGATTCAGCTTGGGAGTGACAGGCCGATGCGAAGAAGATGGTCGGGTGCCGATAGGAGCCTGCAATGGACGTCCTTGTCGCTCAAAAGCCGAGTCCTGAAGAAAATCCGGCTCACCGGTCAGACTCAGAGGTAGATGACCCGAGGAGCCGTACTGAATCGATGGGCGTCGGGATTGAACCCTTGACCAGGTTGAAGGAGATGCCCAGTCAAATCCCAAAGGGCTGCGATGGCCGGGCTTCTCGGCCGACGGCCAGCCAAAGTGCCTGTTGTCTGTCGAAGGATGAGGAAGCTGATTGTCAAAAGAGAAGGTCGAAGACGGCCTCGGAGACAAGGATTCTCGCCGGACTTTCCCAAGGATTGTAGCAGGATCGATGGGATCATGTCGGGGACTGAACTGGTTATATCCCGTGCTGAGATCCGCATTCTCGCCCGACTTGAGCAAGCTACTACCACTGCCAAAGCCGAATCTGCTGGGAGAGAAGATGCTAGAGAATGCAGTGCGACGAGAAGGATGGTGATCAGACGAGCTGTCCGTGGTGGCACCGGCTGTGTTGCTTCGAGGGAACAATGACATCGGATTGGCCCAATTGCCTGTATAGCTCAGCCGCCGACGCCTCGCACCGATAGGATCCATCTCATCCACATTACGGGGGAATGACTGACTCTGTCCTGGTTTCAAGCTGCCCAGCAAGGGCGGTTCATCGGCAAGAGTCTTACCGCGAGGACGATGGAAGCCAAAGAGACCAGAAAGTCGCCGCGACGCACTCTTTGGCGCTTCACCAACATCCCCTAAATTCGCAGCTTGAGTGTCGACGTCTATAGGACGCGGCTGACTCTCATGAGGGCTGGCGAAGAGGCTGGCTGGACGACTGTCATTGGGCGAATCGGGCGACGGTGGGCCGTGAGGGAAGTCAAGCTGGGTACCCGGGGGCTCAAGGTTGGGGAACCGAGATCGAATCACGGGACGAGGAAGCTCAGGCGACTCCTCATCTCCCAGAAGATCCGAAGGAAGTAAGGCATCGGCGCGAGGGCTCATTTGAGGGGCACCAAGAGATATCTGATCGGCTGAGTACCCATGCAGGGAGTCGGACTGGTTGGTCACGCTGGGCAAAGACATTCCGTTCGTGATGTTGAAAAAAGCTGAAGCTGGTACAAAAGTAGGCGAGCCGGTGACGGGAGGATTGTAGGCGAGGCTGCTCGGGAATGTTGGCTCCAAAGACGTATAGTTCATGGGCCCCGAGACATTGCTAGTAAGCGAACTGCGATGACGACGTGGACGGATGGTTGCATTACTCGAAAGATCCAAATCCAGAGCTGGAAGCGTGTAGGGTCCCGTACTACCGCCTCGCTGGGTGGTAAGCCATTTCAAACGTTCCTGTGCCTCTTGATACTGTTGCTGCGCCTAAGACCGACGTCAGTATGCGCGGGAGTTTCACAGTGAGCTTGGCAGAACTTACCTGAGCATGAAGGCTGACCAGCGTAGCATAGCGAGCATGGAGATTACTGAGTTTGACATCCCATTGCCGTGCCCGCTCATTGTCAATTCGGTCCAATTCCTTGCCATCCTCGCTATCGGCCTCTTGGTGAGTCTTCCTCTCGTCCTCAAGTTTCTTGACACGCCCGCCCTTATCCTGAATCTCATCATCAATGGTTTTCATCTCCGACTGCTCCTTGCTAATCTTCTCCCGGATCTCATCGGCACGCTGTTTGCCTTCTTCTTCCATTCGAACCTTTTCCTCTCTCGACTCGGCGGCTTCGCGAACCATGTTTTCAACCTGCTCCTGCCACCGAACGATGTCGGCCTTGCGTTTCTTCCGCTCGGACTCTTTCTGCTGCAGAAGCCTTTCACGTTTTGACTTTTCGCTCTGCACGGTACGATTGACACTCTCCAGCCTGTAGACATGTTTCTTCAGATCGCCGCTGGCTTCATCCTTTTCCCTCACTCGCTTCTTCAATTCATCACGCTGTTTCTCTAGTTCTTTCAACAAGGCGATGTGCTCTTCCTCCTCGTCGGCCGTCTGTTTCTCCAGGCTTTCGTTTTCCTGCTGCAGGGATTTCAACCGATCGGCAAGCTGCTCTAGAGTTTCATCATGATCATCGTGGGTGGCACTTTTCTGCAGGTCTTCGGCACTGGAGTGGGCAATGTCGGTTGTGCTGGCCGCAGGGGATGGTTTCCGCCCGGCCGATGAACGTTTCGCTTGCAGTTGTCCTCCGCTATGCTCACGCGCCATGACAGGTGCCGCGGGAGCGGCCAAGCCTGTGGTCGATCGAGGAATCGAGGCCCTGATGGTAGGATTTCCGACCGGCGCATTCTGCTGCGACTGAGACAACGGCAGAGACTTTGTGCGCACATGGATAATTGCGCTCGGTGTCTGGAAATTGGCTGCACTGACTGAGAGGACACAAATATGGTAGATGCTTCCGGGGGCTAGGTTTAGGATCTCGACAGCCGTCTCAGCTCGTTTCGATTCGCCCACTGACGGTTTGTTAGCGCACAGAGAAGTGGGGATCGGTTCAAGAATTATGAGGAAGTACCTTTGACACCATTTAACTGGATGATATGCTTGTGAATCGAGTTGTGAAACTCCGGTTGCTTCCAGGCTATCCGAATCTCCCGGGCGGTGATTTCCTCTAGAGTGACCTCCGGTGGCGGCGGAATGTCGAGCCCCAGCTTTTCCACCAGAACTTCATTGGGCGTCTGACAGACCTGCCATGCACGGTAGAGCAGCCTGTAACATACAGATTAGTCTACCTGTGGTATCAGTTGCTGCCATCTTCTGTAGCACTACTACTCACCAGATCAAAGCCCAGAGAATTGTGACAGCCAGAAACAGAGCCATGACGCCTCGGACCCTGACTCGCGGAAGCACGCTGGGATAGGCGTCGAAGGAGAGATGCAATGGCTCATGCATCCCAGCGTCCACAACCCATGGAGGAGGAGACTGAAAATGAGAGGTGAGCAGCGACCCTCTTGCACGTCGAAGTGCGAATGAGGAGGCTTTTGGTTGGGGGGGGGGGGAAACAAAGGTGAAATCGAGGTCCTGCTAAGCCGGGGGAGGAATTAATCAGAGATTCTTGCGAGGGACAGACAGAGAAGTGCTCCGCGGAGGGCCTGCCGACCCGGTGGGGAAGCAGTAAAGTCACATGGTCACAAACCCGTTTTAAGGCTGCTCGATCCCGCTGAGTCAGCGCGCAGATCCTGAGCGGAAGGTCTAGGCATTAAAAACCAAAACAAGACTAGCGCCCGTTCGAAGCCGAGGTGGATGCACCGAAAGGCTCGAAGCACATGACGGCAACCGGTTCCTGTTGGGTTGGGATGGACGGGTTGACGGTTGGCGGTTGAGCCTCTCCCAGTCTCCCCTCAACATTTCTTCCTCTGCTTCTTCGCTGTTACTTCCATCCTACTTGGCCTCCATTCTTTGCTTCAAGTCTCCCTGGACACACAGGAATCCCTCACTTGGCTCATTCTGTTCAGTCAATTAATTAATTAGACATTCTCCGTGGGTGTGTTGCGAGTGAACCCCCTCATCTCTCGTTAGTTACCATTCACTACTTCACTACGTATTGTCTCCCGCCTCGGGGGCATGTCTATCGGGCATTGTCACATGGGCCGTACGTATGTAGGCGGCATTTCCTGCACCTCCGGCCTCTGACTTCCCCTTCTTTCAAACCCCTCTCTTACTCCCCTTCTGCGTGGTGAGATCTATCGAAAATAGATTCTCTCTTTGCAGTCGCTTTCTCTCGGATACCCTCGACCCTTTTCCCTAGGGAGACCATCCCTGTTGAGTCTGCAGGATGCAGTACGTCCGCAGCATCAGTGGTTCCGTCTCGAAGACTTGGAACTCCATTAACCCAGCCACCCTGAGCGGGGCAATTGATGTCATTGTGATTGAGCAAGAGGATGGTATGTTTGTCATGGATTTGGTGTATCGCATAAATTGCTGATGGCCACTCGCCGCAGGAACCTTGGCTTGTTCACCATTCCATGTCCGTTTCGGCAAGTTCTCTCTTCTCCGCCCGTACGAGAAAAAGGTACAGCTGGCCCGCACCCAGTCCCCCGGCAAGCATAGCTAAGATGTTGCAAGGTGGAATTCTCCGTGAATGGCGTCAAGCAGGACTATGCCATGAAGCTGGGTGAGGGCGGGGAGGCCTTTTTTGTTTTCGAAACGACGGCCGAGATCCCCGCCTCGCTCCAGACGTCACCCTTGGTTTCGCCCACCAGCAGTCCTAAGATGCGCAGCGAAGAGAATCTTTCCTCTTCCTTGTCAGAACCGGAGTACTTAGATCTTGATCGATCTCCGTCGCCAAGTGATAACCAAGCCGATGGGAAGCGATCGGCCGAACTCCCTATATTGTCCCGGGGGATGCGGGCATCCAGCGACCTGGGTATGTTGAGTATGCTTGGTGCTGGATCCGAGGCTCATGATCACATAGGTACTCTCACACCTCTTTCTCGATCACCAGATGAATCGAACATGGGCCGGTCCCGCCACGGCTCTTTCGGCGAGGCGCCTCTCAAGATCGACCGGATTGCCACCGATAGCGTTTTGATGACAAAAAACCGATCCAACAGCATTGGTGTTACGGACCAAACCTACGCAGTGAACGCCGCAGGCGACGAGAATAGTCGGGATGACCGATCCCGCAGCCCTCCGCCATTGTCACCTGAGGAGCTGATGTCTCGAGCGGTGTCGCTATCGAAGAAGTTGTCTGGGTCGAATATCCCCTCTCGCGTGACGGAGACTGGCGACTTGATGCTGGATATGACGGGCTACAAGAGCAGCGAGGAAGATGCTCTGCGGGCGGAGGTCATTGCTCGGAAGATCCTGGCCGAAGAGTTGGAGGGCAACTATGACATTGGGGCTCTTATCGGGGCAGACGAGCACGGCAATCTCTGGATCTATAGCAGCGAAGAGGCCAAAGAGGCGGCTGACCGTCGGGCGACATTTAACGCAATGCGACCCGGTTCGGCTATGAGCGAGAATGCCATCTCTGATCCAGGATACCATAGCGATAGTGATCCATCCATTCACGACAAGACTGTGACAGCCCGCCACTATCGGACTCAATCGGACGTGCAACCTGGCTTCCCCACGCCACCACAGTCACCCACTCAGGATTCTCTTGCGATGGAACCTACGCGCAACTACGCGAAGACATTACGGTTGACCAGCGACCAGCTCAAGGCTCTGAAACTGAAGCCCGGACCCAACAACATGTCGTTTAGCGTCAACCGGGCGACCTGCACGGCAAATATGTATCTGTGGAATGGCAACACGCCAATTGTCATTTCGGACATCGACGGGACTATCACCAAGTGAGTCTACAGCTGGTGGCATTGCTTCTTTTACTGACCGCGATAGGTCTGATGCTTTGGGGCATGTCCTCAACATGATTGGACGAGACTGGACACATGCGGGAGTAGCCAAGCTGTACACAGACATCGTCAACAATGGGTACAATATCATGTACCTCACGAGTCGATCTGTCGGCCAGGCTGATACCACACGAGCGTATTTGTATGGGGTGCGCCAGGACGGGTACCGACTCCCCAAGGGTCCAGTCATCATGAGCCCGGACCGAACCATGGCCGCACTTCGTCGGGAGATCTACCTTCGGAAGCCCGAAGTCTTCAAGATGGCCTGCCTGCGAGACATCTTGAATCTCTTTAACGGCAAAGAAAACCCATTCTACGCTGGGTTTGGCAACCGTCTGACGGACGCGCTCAGTTACCGCTCCGTGAATATCCCGTCTACACGAATCTTCACGATCAACTCCAACACAGAGGTGTCCCTGGACCTTCTCAGTTTGAACAAATACAAGAGCAGCTACGTCTCGATGGGAGAACTGCTCGACCACTTCTTCCCGCCAGTTAGTTTGCTGGTCCAGGCTGGTGGCGAGGAATACACCGATTTCACGTACTGGCGTGAACCCCCTCCCGATCTTGAGGCATTTTCATGTACAGACAGCGAAGCTGAAGACGAGGAGGCAGAAGAGGAGGAAGAAGAGGAAGAGGAAGAGGAAGAGGAAGAGGAGGAGGAAGAGGAGGAGGAAGAGGAAGAAGAAGAAGAGGATGAACTTGAGGAAGACGAGGAGTATGACGGGAAGCTCAGCGACGAAGATGGCAGCGAGGCTCTGGAGGAAGAGATCGACGAAGAGGAGGACCTGGGTGCCAGTTATATCTCGCAAGATTCCGTGGACGGGTCTGAATTGGCAGATGAGCAGAATGTTCTGCCTGAGGACGAGGTAGAGACTGTGGATGTCACTCAGCGGTCACCCCGGGGGTCACCGTCTCGTTGAGTTGCCATCTTGTTGACACGGCGGGCAATGATTAGCGTGCCGTACGCTTGATACCCCGGGAGATTGTCGCCGATGCTCATGGGTGGCGTAGATAGAGCTTGCATGGGTCGTTTATAGAACATTGAGGCGTTGAGGACGCATAGCAATCGTGATGTTTAATACACTGATGTTAATATGAGAGACTGCTTTAAGTAGTACTGTATTGTAGTTGAGTCTACGGAGTACTACTACAAGTTGTAGGTAGTGAGTGACAAGCGGATGCCGGACCGGGACTAGCGCTGCGGGAAGAATCCCGCCCAAGTCAGTTCCAGATTCAATCTGGATCATTACTTCTTCACATCTCGATTCATCCGACCCAACCTTCCTCAGTACCCACTCTCACCTCCTAGTGGGCTATTGCAATCGCAACTGCAATTGCGATTAAATCACTGCTCACGTCGCAATCATCTCGATTTCCCGACATCGAACCGCAAGGGGCGGGCGGTAGACCCATCCCGCAGGCTCCTACTTTCCGTGCCGTGCCCAGCACTCTCCTTCCACACAGCACCCATCCACATCGTCCCCGCGTCTTTCCCAACAAGTTGTGTCTTCCAGCATTCATCATGGCCTCACCAACACATCCCTCCAACACTGGACCTACATCATCCGCAAACCACCCCATTACACCCCCAGCCGACCACCAATCCCAGCCCGCCGCGCCGCCGCCGCCCACCTCCAACATGAACCCCACGACGACAACGACGACGACGACGAACAACACCACAACCACCAACCCTACCTCCTCTGCCTCCACGACCACCGCCGCTAACAACCCCAACACCACCGGCCCCTCGCACCCCAACCAACCAACACAGATTCCCTCCACCTCACTCAAAGACACGGGCAAATCGCGCCGACCGCGCGACGTGCGCCTCATCCACATGCTCCTCGCCAGCCTGGGCGTGACCGCCTACCAGGAGCGGGTACCCTTGCAGCTCCTCGACTTCGCGTACCGGTATACGTCGAGCGTGCTGCAGGACGCGGTGCACCTGGCGACGGAAGGGTACGCGGGCGCGACGACGGACGGCGGGGCGGCGGCGCGCGGCCCGCCAGAGGTCAATAGCGTGAGTCTGCCGGCACTGCGGCTGAGTATCGCTTCCCGGCTGCACTACCAGTTCCAGTCCGGGTTGCCCAAGGAGTTTTTGATGGATGTGGCGGCGGAGCGCAACCGCGTGGCGCTGCCGGGCGCCAGCCGCGGATTCGATCAGCAGGGGAATTCCAAGGTCGTGGCGGGGAGTCAGGGGAGTGTGCTCATGGGCGGGCTGCGGTTGCCGCCGGAGAGGTTCTGTTTGACGGGGAATGGGTGGAATTTGAAGGAGGAGTGGGAGAGTGAGGGGGAGGAGGAGGAGGCGGAGGAGGAGGTGGAGGTGGATCCGTCTGCGACGCTGGAGCTGGGGATGGATGGGGCGGCGGAGGGGAGGAGGGAGAATGGGGTTGTCGGGGTGAAGAAGGAGGAGGATGAGGAGGAGGAGGAAGATGAGGATGGGAAAATGGAGGATGTGTTTGGAGAGGATACGGCGATGGGGGAGGGGGATGACGATGGGGATAAGGATATGACGGATGTTTAGCTGGTGACTTTGAATGGCTGGTCTTTGGCTGTAGCTATGGTGTTTTGGCGCATGCCGGGCATGTTGTTCTAATTCTTGATCTGGTTCATGAGTAAGGAGGAGATTTTCTGCTTCTATTGATGGATTCCATCCACATTTTAAATCATCATCATCATCATCCTCTGCTTCCTTCTACTCTACTATACATGGGGGTACACATCTATGCAAGCCCCAGTCACTGCATACAACCCCAAAACAAAACCAAAAAAAAAGTGAAACCAAGAATTAGAGAGAAATAAAAACGCCCATATCTCCTACAAAAACATAGCAGCAACACAAACCATGACGCCGAGGAAGCCAACAACATCCACCACCCCCAACTAACGACCAGCCTGCTGCCTCTTCCGCTCCTCATCCTCCCGCATCATCTGAATCACCTTCGCGCGTCGCTCCTCCACCGCATCCAGCTTGGCCTGCTCCGCGCGCCGCCGCTCCTCATGCGTCGCGAACCACTCCTCCCGCGCCCGGTCCTCTTCCTCGGGCTTCGCGTGCGCCACCATGCAGCTATTCATCGCGAGCCGCTGGTCCCGACAGACCCAGGTGGCTGTTACGGTGCGGTTGACGGCGCATTCGGCGAAAGCTGTTTTGGATTGCTGTTAGTAAGGTGACTGGGGAGTGTATTGAGCTGTGGTCCTCTCGATCAGGCATTGGCTCAGATTGACACATGTAGGCTCTCAGGACTCATGAATATGCTCCACCGGAGGGCCGTAACATTGTTTCATGCCAGGGAGGGGAGCAAAATTCCCCATTGAAAGCACACAGGGCACAAGGACCAGTCACGGCACAGGAATCAAACGTGCTGGCTTCTGGGACAGACACAAACAGGAACAGAATAGGCACGGGCTCACCCTTAATCTCAGCAGCGCAGTGGCCTCGTACGCGCTTGTAGTATATTTGCTTGACTTCGGCTTCTTGAGAGGCGGAGAGGGGGAGGGGGTTGCGGAGGTTGTATTTGGGGTTTGTGCGGGGAGGGGGGGTGTCTGTCATGTTGGCGGTTGCTTTTGGGATTTCGGAGGGTAGGACAGCTTGCAGCTTGCAGCTTGAGAACGGCGGGTGAAGGAATCGTATGGGTGTTGGAGAGGTTGGAGGTTATGCGTTACAGCAGTGCGGTGCGGTGCGGTGCGGTGCGGTAAAGAGGTGGTGGGTTGGTGGTCTGTCGAGTGTTCGTTCGTTGTTAGGGAACTGTACAGGACACCGTATGTCTGGTGGTGGTAGTAGTCAATTGACCAATTCCAAAACCCAACAACAAAGACAAAGAAGCTAGCCCTTCCTTCTTCATCAAACAACCAATCTGTTCAGTAAATCCACGAGAACACACCGCAGCTTCGAGCTCAGCTTCAGCTTTCGTTGGATGCGCGGACAAAGTGAAAACCGGGTGGACTGATCCCGATCGGGTTTAGTTCGGTCGGTCTCCGTCTGGCCCGCCGCCGAACTTTTTTTGATACTCCATTGCTATTGCTATTGCTATTGCTGCATCTACCTCTGCTGCTGCCACCTACACTGACTGTGTATATCAGCACATATTTCTCATCAACTTGCTCACTACTACCTCCTCGATCTCGGGCCCTCGAAGTACTTCTTGATCAGAGTCCCACTCAACGCGGCCAGCCGGTTGTTCACCGAGAATGTCCTCCACAATGCGCAACGCCGTCCAACGGCGCAACCACAAAGAACGAGGCCAACTTCAAGGCCGTGAGAAATGGGGTATTCTGGAAAAGCACAAGGTATGCCTGTCTGCCCCTTTCCCTTGGGTTACAATCCTCCTAAACAAGAACCAACCCATCGCCCTCTCAACGCAACCCATTTCCCCCAAACCATCCTAATAAATCCACTAACAAAACACCAGGACTACTCCCTCCGCGCCAAAGACTACAACGCCAAAAAGGCCAAACTCAAGCGTCTCCAAGAGAAAGTCCGCGACGCCAACCCAGATGAATTCCACTTCGGGATGATGTCCAGCAAGCAGGGGAAGCACAGCACGACCAATCGGGCCTCGGCCGCGGGGCTGAGCCACGACGCGATCAAGCTGCTCAAGACGCAGGATGCCGGGTACCTGCGGGTGCAGGGGGAGAAGATCCGACGGCAGTTGGAGCGGCTGGAGGAGGAGGGGCGGGTGCAGGAGGGGATCAAGGTTGCTCTTGGCGAGGGGGATAACAGTACCAAGCAAAAGAAGGAAGGGGGTGGTGGGGATGACGATATGGATTTTGATTTTGATTTTGGGTCTGAGGAGGAGGATGATGATGAAGCCGCAAAGCCGAGGAAGGTTGTTTTTGCAGAGGATCGCGAGGAGCAGAAGGATTTGAAACGCGAGAAATTGATGCAGATGGAGAAAGAGTCGGAGAGCGAAGAGGAGGAGGAGGATGAGGATGACTCGTTCGGGCAGCGGAAGAAGCAGACGCAAAGAAAATCGCGGAAGCAGATCGAGGCCGAGCGCCAGGCTCTCGTCGAGGCCAGGCGCGCCCGCAAGATCCGGAAGCGCGCGGTCGAGGCCAGGGAGAACAAAGTCAAGGCCCTCCAGAAGCAGTACAAGGAAATCACCGCCGCCGCTCGCGAGCTGGACTGGCAGCGCGGCCGCATGGACAACGTCGTCGGCGGCACGAATAAGAACGGCGTCAAGTGGAAGATCCGCGAGCGCAAGCGCTGATCATCATCTGCTGTTGGTTCCATCGCTGCTCCATGACTGATGATTTTACATCGCTTGCTTGCTCTGCATGGGTTGGGTCCTACAAAAGTTGCCCGTATTTTTTTTGTTCGCTTTTCCAGTGGTTTGGGGTTATAGATCGCCAGGCGTCCGAGATACCAATGTTCTTCATCTTGTACATTTCATCAGAGAAAATCATACTTTTCTGATTGGCTATGCTTGCATTACAACACGCGTCAAATCGTAAATCAGCCGCTAAGAAGGAAATCACGGCTGATAATCTACTGCTGCACTACTACTGCTGTTGCTGCTTCTTCATGTGCGCCACGCGGATACTTACAGCCCGCTTGTGCGCGTCCAGACCCTCAACTGCAGCCAGCTGCTCCACCGTGCGAGACAGCCCCAGCAAGCCCTCGGCGGTCAGGTTGGAGCTGGTGATGTGCTTGAGGAAGGATCCCAAGTTCACTCCCGAGTACTGCTTGGCATACCCATAGGTAGCTGTGAACATTAGCCATTGCTCTGGGGTAAAAAAAAGAGAGAAAGAACTTACGCAGAGAGTGGTTCGTGCCGGCAGAGTAGTCGCCAACACTCTCGGGAGTCCACTGTCCGACAAAGACACTGCCGGCATTCTTGACACTGGCCACAGCAGCCTCAGCGTTCTGAATCTGCAGGATCAAATGCTCCGGGGCATATTCGTTGCTCAGAGCCATAGCCTCGGCGAGGTCGCGCACGACGAAAGTGACCGAGTGGGCCAAAGAACCCTTCACGATATCCACGCGGGGCAAAGCCTTGGCCTGAATGTCAACCTCCTTCTCAATAGCCTGGAGCTGCTCCTCATTGAGGTCGATGGCAATCAGGATGACCTGGGAGTCCACGCCATGCTCGGCCTGGCTGAGAAGGTCAGAGGCCACAAAAGCCGGGTTGGCGTCCTTGTCCGCAATCACCAACACCTCACTAGGGCCGGCCGGCATGTCAATGCTGACACCGGCGGAGGTGTCGTTGGAGACCAACATCTTGGCCGCGGTGACGAACTGGTTACCAGGACCCAGAATCTTGTCGACCTTGCTGACGCTCTCCGTACCGTACGCCATGGCCGCAACCGCCTGGGCACCACCAGCCAGCACAATACTCTCAGCGCCCACCTTGTGCGCGACATAGACAATCTCCGGGGAGATGCTACCGTCCGCACGAGGAGGCGACGCGAGGACAATCTTCTCACAGCCGGCCACCATGGCAGGAACTCCCAACATCATGGCCGTGGACGGCAGAACGGCAGTGCCACCAGGAATGTAGAGACCCACGCGCTCAATAGGACGCGAGAAACGAGAGCACACAACACCCGGCATGGTCTCAACCTTGAGACCCTCGGGGCTGCCCTTCTGAGCACTGTGGAACTTCTGGATGTTGGCAATGCTGATGTCAAGGGCCTCCTGGGTCTCCGGGGACAGCTTCATCAATTCAGGTGCGAAGGGGGCACGGAGAACCGGCGAGGTCAGAGAAGTCGCCTTTTCAAACTTGTGGGTGTATTTGAGCACGCCGGCATCACCGTTCTCGCGAACATCCTTGATGATAGGGCGGACGAGAGCGACAATTGCATCGTTGGACTTCTGAGAGGGACGCTTGAGATACTCCTTGACCACGTCAACCGGGGTAGAAGCGGTGACCACGCGAGTCATCTGGAGAGACTCGTCCTTCTGGGGTGCCGGCTCGGGAGCAGCTGGCTTCGACTCAGGGGTGGCGGCCGTCAAGCCAGCCTTCTCCGCCCAAGGGCCCTTGGCATCACCCTTTCTGCGCTTGACCTTCAAGCTCTTCAGGTCCAGGTTCCGTTCCACGTCCTCGAGACTGACATCAGCAGCGACACAGCGGGTCAGAGCAAAGTAGAGCAAATCGGCAGCCTCGAAGGCAATCTCCTCCTTGGTGTTGGCACGGCACAGCTCATCTGCCTCCTCCATGATCTTTGCTTGAGTGAGCTTGGGCTCGTTGAACAGACGAGCGGTGTAGGATCCGGCGGGGGCATCGGCCTTGCGGGCTTGCAGCGTCTTCTGCAGACGGGCAAGTCCGTTGTAAGGTCCGAAACAGCTGGGGGCTCCAAGGTGACAGAAACCTTTCTGGGGTCAGGTAGGAACAATGAATGTAATCGGTGTGAACTCACCTCTACCAATCTGGTTGACAACAAAGACCAAGCAGTCGCTGTCGCAATCGAAACCGATGCGGATCAGTTCTTGCACATCTCCGCTGGATTGACCCTTGTACCACAAGCCCCGCTTGCGGCTCTGGTAGACGCCGGTACCGGTGCGAAGGGCCTCCGCAATGCTCTCGCTGCTACTCCAAACCAGCCCCAAGCAGATTCCTCTTTCATCGGTGACGCTAGTGGCATAAAGACCGTTGCTCTGGTCGGTCACGGCGCGAGCGGCGACCAATGAGGCGGCGACGATCTTGCCGTTGGGTTGTTGGTGGTCAAAAGTCAAAGCGTCGGCCGGAACGACGCCAACGCCTCCTTGTCCAATGGTGTCTTTCAGATCGTCCTCGGTGACAGCACCGGAGTATGTGCGATAAAGGTTCTGGGCCTCAAGGTTCATGTTCAGCTGCTCGGCCAGGGTCTTGATGGCGGCGGCATCGGTCGAAAGACCGGCCTCTTGGCGTTCGGCGGACTCGCCCACCCACGACTTGAAGGCATTGATTTGGCTCTCGGAGGCAATGGCAACGATGCGAGACGAGGGGACGGCCTGCTCTTCCGACAGGGCGGTCAATTGGTTCAGAGTGACAAAGATCTTGGCGGCACCGGCATTGAGGATATCGACCAGGTCCCCGGAGGAGGCAATGGCGGTAGCATCGACATAGACATCAAGGAGACGGAAGTTGCGCTTGAGGAAGTCCTCTGCCTGAGCAAGACTGGAGACCTTGATGAGAACGCGGCCGAAGTAGGCGATCTGCTTGAGCGACAAGCCGCCGGCGGAGGGGGCGGCGGGGTCGTAGGAGACGAGGAGGGGAGTTGACATGGTGGCTGGATTTAGTTAATGTTATGAGGAGAAGAGCAATTCCCCAAGAGCGGGAGGGGGAGGGGGAAGATTATAAAGGAAGATTGATGAGGAGAGTGTTTGGTGAAGAGTGAAAGAAAGAGAGAAGAACCAGGAGAGCGAGTATGAATCATAGTCCGGCCGATTCACTCGTTCCTATCGGTTCCGCCTGCAATTTTCTCGCTGCCCCGCAATCGGAGCCACTGACCGCCTGCGGAATTGGGCCAGACCGGGGAGACATCGATGATTGGCTGTGGCGGTCTGTGGGTCAGGAACTGCTTCTGCTTACGTCAGAGATGCAATCATTCCAACTGATTGTCCTACAGTACTTGGAGAACATGAGGCCTCTGTCTTCTCTTTTCCAACCAATTCTCAGCCTAATTGCAAACGCTGAAACACCTGCTTGCAAGTAGGAGTCCGAATTCTTGTGCCTGGGCTGCGGTGGACTGGACCAAGCACTGCAAACTCTTGACTACTTACCCAGGTACGGAGTATTCGGAGAGACATTCTGGCTTAGGATAGGCTGATCGGTAAATAGCCAGTCAGCCCAGGGTCTTTACTGTCCTCTAGTCTAGGACTCCTGCAGATCATTACCACACATTGTCTCCAATGAGGGGAAATGCGATCATCTGCTTCTCTCCGCATCATCTGCTCGATCACCACAATCTGACTGACCTGTCCCAGTGATGTCTCCCAGAAGACCCTCAAATCGAGACCATCAGGTCCGATTCGACCTCCGACTCGTCACACCCTGAGGCGTCTGGTCTGGTGCCTGACTCTGGGATGAACAAGAAAATCGGCAGGGACTCATCCGGTTCAAACCGGAATCCACCCTTGCAGCTCAATGCATAGCATGGAGGCGGAGGCCCCTGCGGTCACCAATCGCGCTCCCCAGATCGGCGAGGAATGGACCACTTGCTGGCCATGATGTACCTTTCGCTCCTTATGCATGCCTCCTGCTCCTTCAGGGCCAGCTTCCTTCTTTCTTAAACTCCTACATTATTCCTCACCCCCTATCGCCTCTTCTCCCCCTCCATTTCGTCCTCGACAACTAGCACTGAACTACAGGATTTAGTGCGTGCGATCGTTATTTATACCGGTTGTCCCTCCCTCCGCCTGTACATTCCAGGCTGTCGCTCTTTGGGTATTACTCTGCTATTAAGTGCAGTGTCCCATTCGTTGTCTATTATTTTCTGTGTTGCCCTCGTGTCACTCTCTCACCGGGGCCATGCATTTCTCCTCACTTTCTTTGTCACTGACGGCGTTGGCCCTCGCCAGCTCTGGGGCGGCCTTCCCTCAAGCCCGATTTGTCCAGCCTGTTCTGCGCACCGAAAGCGACACCCAATCGCGCGCCGATGCTGTCAAAGAGGCTTTCTCTCACGCTTGGGATGGCTACTACCAATATGCCTTCCCGCACGATGAGCTGCACCCGATTTCCAATGGCTATGGTGATTCGCGCAATGGGTGGGGAGCGTCCGCTGTGGATGCTCTGTCTACCGCAGTGATCATGCGCAATGCGACCATTGTGGACCAAATCCTCGATCATGTGGCGAAAATCGACTATTCGAACACGAGCAGCACGGTCAGTCTGTTCGAGACCACCATCCGTTATCTAGGCGGCATGTTGTCCGGCTATGACCTGTTGAAGGGGCCTGCCGCCGATCTGGTGCGCGATTCGTCCAAGGTCGACACGTTGCTCACCCAGTCCAAGGCGCTGGGTGACGTTCTCAAGTTTGCCTTTGACACCCCGTCGGGCGTTCCGTACAACAACATCAACATCACTTCTAAAGGGAACGACGGAGCGACCACAAATGGTCTTGCAGTGACTGGCACGCTCGTGCTAGAATGGACTCGGCTGTCCGACTTGATTGGAGATTCTACCTACGCGGACCTCAGTCAAAAGGCCGAGTCTTACCTGCTCGACCCGCAGCCCAAATCGAGCGAGCCGTTCCCCGGGTTGGTCGGGAGCAACATCAACATCGCAACGGGCGAATTTGCCGACGGAGCCGTGAGCTGGAACGGCGGGGATGATTCGTACTACGAGTATCTGATCAAAATGTACGTGTATGACCCGAACCGGTTTCAGACCTACAAAGACCGGTGGGTGGCGGCGGCCGAGTCGACCATGCAGCACCTGGCGTCGCACCCGTCGACTCGCCCGGACCTGACCTTCCTGGCCTCGTACAACAATGGCAAGTTGGGGTTGAGCTCGCAGCATCTGACTTGCTTCGATGGGGGGAGCTTCCTACTCGGCGGCACTGTGCTGGACCGCTCCGACTTTATCGACTTTGGGTTGGAGCTGGTCAACGGCTGCCACGACACGTACAATTCGACCCTAACGGGCATCGGGCCGGAAGCGTTTAGCTGGGATCCGAATTCTGTTCCTGCCAGCCAACAGTCTTTGTTTGAGAGTGCTGGCTTCTATATTACCAGTGGCGCGTATATCCTCCGACCGGAAGTGATTGAGAGTTTCTACTACGCATGGCGCGTGACCGGTCAAGAGACAGTAAGCCGAGGATTAGACCGATTGAGGATCATGCTGACCGACGCTAGTATCGTGAGTGGATCTGGAGTGCCTTCCAGTCGATCAACAAGTACTGCCGTACGGACTCGGGATTCGCCGGGTTGACGAATGTCAACGCTGCCAACGGCGGGAACCGCTACGACAACCAGGAGAGTTTCATGTTCGCGGAGGTGTTGAAGTACTCGTACCTGACGTTTGCGCCGGAGGAAGCGTGGCAGGTGCAGAAGGGGGGTGGTAACGAGTTTGTGCTGAACACTGAGGCTCACCCGGTGCGGGTGAACCGGACGTAGGTCGGATCTTCTGTGTAGACGAGAGAGATAGAATAGACACGGAAGTCATGTACATACGTACATATTATTGAATGCATTGTTCAGTTGATATCATATGGGTGGGTGGAGGGGAGAGGCTGGCTGGGGCTCAGGAGGAGTCCCGAGTCCTTTTGAGAATCTGCTCACCATCAACTGGTATTCTTTGTGATGGCTGGAATGGGGCAACAATCCATCACCGACTGACAATAAAGACAACAAAAGACAATAAACTCGCCCCACTGACGGAGCCCCACGCCCCCACACCTCGCGTTGATTTGCGCACATTTGAGCATCTTGACAGTAGTGAAGTATGTAGACAGTTGAGTGAGTGGGTATGCTAGTAGTTAGTCACCGAGTGTCTCGTAGATGTATCTACCTTGGTAGCTACCGGTAGTGAGTAGCACCTTGGGGACTACCCTGAGTTATAGTAGTAGTATCTACTAGTACGTATAGTACTCATAAATCTTGCCTCCCCTCATGAATACACCATTCGGTTCAATTCTCCTTGAATTCCCTCCTACCAGTTAACCTCAACCACACTCATCTCTCCCCCTTCCCCTTCAAAGAGTAAGAACTACATACAGTACACAGGAAGTAAAAATGTGCGGCCCCTCCCGTCCTAGTACTGGCAACCTCATCGCCATCATCTTCCCTTCTTCTTCCACCTCCTCCTCATATTCCCTCACCTTCAGCCACGACACAGACCTCCCGCACGGTCCCACGAAAGCGACCTTTCGCATCTCCGATCCGAAAGTACGAGAGGTGTTTCAGACGGCACGGGCGGTGGATTTAAGGATTGAGTGAGCTGCCCCTTTCCCGTCTTGTCTTTTGTTTTAGTTATGCAAGTTGCAACTTAGAAGGGCTGGTGTTGGTGCTGGACTTGCTTGCTTGCGTTTGTTGCTTTTTGTCGTCGTTGAGAGTATGGCTTGCGGACAAGTTAAGTTGGCATTGAGTTGAGCGGGTTTTCCCTCTACACTCAATGTTGATGATGCTGATGCTGATCTGTTCTGTGAATGATAGGAAATACGGGGATTTGACTGCTCCTGCTCCAGCTACGGCACCGTTGCATTGGTTCCGAGTTGGGATGGGTGGGGGCAAGCAGGACCAGCCGGAGGTGATTGAGGTGATGCTGCCGGAACGGTTGGAGCTCGGGGTCTCCGGGACGGGGATTGTAGGGCGCGAGGTGAGGGTTTCGGTGGATGGGGTGGATGAGAAGGTGGCGATGGGAAGGGGGGTGGTTGGATTTGATTAACCTGTGGATCAAAAATTGGAGTTATGGAGTTGAGGGATGGGGTTTCTAGTAATTTGATGATGATAGAGAAGGTCTCGATTTGCTCGATTTGCCAAAATGGGAAGAAGGCTGGAGTCAAGTACAAAGTCCACCCATCACAGCTTCAACACTGCACCGCCATCGTTCACCCCCCCCTTCGTGAACCGCTCCTCCGCCTCCACCCAGTTGATCACCTTCCAAATCCCCTCCACATACCCCGCCTTGTTGTTCAGATACTACCCAGGCCGAATCAGCACCGCAACATACTTTGTAAAGAAGAAGAAAAAGAAGAAGAAGGAGGAGGAGGAGGAGGAGGAGGAGGAGGAGAAGAAGAAGGAGGAGGAGGAGAACAACAACATACCTGCAAATAATAAGCATGCTCCCACATATCCACTCCAAACACCACCGTCTTCCCAGAGCCCACCGGCTCCTGATCCTTCGTACTCACAATCTCCAACGGCTGCGGGCCATCGCCCCCCGCACACACCAACCACCCCCATCCACTCCCCTGCAGCCCCAGCAACACCTGCCCGAACGCCGCCACAAACGCCTCCACCGACCCCCACTGCGTCTCAATGACGCGCTTCAGGGCCGGCGCGGAGCGGGCCATGTCCGTGGCCGCGGAGCCATACGGGGCCAGGTTGCGCCAGAACAGCGAGTGGTTGATGTGGCCGCCGGCGTTGAAGGCGAGTTTCGCCTGCAGGCTCAGCAACGTGGGGATGTCGTGGGCGGCGAGCGCGGTGGCTTGGGCGGTGAGGGCGGCGTTGAGGTTGGTGATGTAGGTTTGGTGGTGTTTTTGGTGGTGGAGGCGCATAATCTCGGAGGAGACGATGGGTTCGAGGGCCTTTTTTTCTTTGCATTAGATTATAGATAAACGTAGGGGAGGGCAGAGGGCAGGGGGCTGGGGAACTGACATCGTAGGCGTAGGGGAGAGAGGGGAGGGTGTATTGGGGGGAGGACATTTTGTCGGGCTTGGGATGGTATAGATTGTAAGTGTGAGGACGAGTGATGATTCTTTTGGGTAGAATGAAGGGGATCAAAGGAAGGAGAAGTGGGAGAGAGGGAGGAAAAGAGAAAGAAGCGGGGGAAGATGGACGATGAAGACAGGATGATCTCCAAGGTCCTCTCCCCTCTTCCTCTCAACGCTGCCATCACATTCTGCTGATCGATGCGCCCATTTGAGCAGATTCTCGCTGGTCTGGTTTGTCAGTCTGACTGCCTGAGTAAACTATCGGCTCCACAGACATCATGACTAGTCTCTTGCATGGAACGAATACGCTCTGTTAGCAAGCTATCAGTTGACAGACTGTCGAGAGCATCTTCCAGAGTAGGATTTTGGGGATATTCACCTCTCATGCTTCCAGTATGGCGGGGGCTTCTGACCTGGGGGGTTTAGCTTCTCCAGAAGACCTTAGCAACATCATCGCCTTCCAAAGGTTGCTTGTCTATTGAAAATATGACTGAGAGGATCGGGATCGCCATGTGAGCCAGCCCATTCACTCTCGTAGAGAGATCTGGGAGATTTCTCCTGGCAAAAGCTCAAGGCAAGGATCTAGTTGAGCCACTGCCCACAGAATCACAGCTCCTAGGAACCTCTACTCAACAGAAACTGCCTCGAGTGTCGTGCAACGAGATGCTAACAACCGTCTGGAAGCGTCAGTAGCATTGAATACTGGCACAATGGGCTCCATGAGCGCAAGACAAAGATGCGGGAATGCCAGAATGCCACGCTAGACCTTCTTTCTGCTCGCATATCAGCCCAGGACTGTATTTGCCTTGTGTTTTCCTTTTTGGCTCCGGATTGAGATGGCGTATTCGTTGATCAGAAACAAGCGGGTTGGCTTTGGTGGAAAGTCCCCTCCTTGAAAGAACTTTGGCGAAGGTGATATCGACACGAAAAGTTATCTCGACATGAGACGTGGTCTTGATTGAGGACCCCTCCGAATGGTGTGAAGCTATCCTTGAGGAGTGACTGGACTGTTCTAGCGAGTGCGCCGGGGGATGGTCTATAGGGGATACTTGGATGTCTACCTCTCATCTTCTGGAACCTGACAGCAACTTAGTAACCACATACACCTGATAAATGGACAGACACTGCCCTCCCTGCCTGCAGTGAGGTTCCACATTGTCAATCCTTCTTTTTCCACACCCACCCTCGTATCCATGTCCATGTCCACTCACTGGGAATACTCTACAATCCTACCAATCCCGACCCGAACGATAGAATCCACCTGTGATAATATCAACAGCGATCAAACCCCCTTCATCCCGTTATCCCTTGGGTTGAGTGTGAGAGAGCGCAACCCACACAACAGCCGCCTCACACCTACACCTACAATTCCCGCACGGCGATCGACAATCCAATCCAACTCACTCAGACACAAACAGACTCACCTCCCTCCATCCCGAGACTCTTTATGATTCTCGGAGATTCTAGGAGTTGTTGGACGGGGAGAGAAAAGAATCGGAGACGGACCCACGGGATCGGAAAAGGCAACCTCGTGCCTTCGTTCTCGGTACGGCAGAAAATGATCTCATCATGTGTTCAGCTGCGTTGAGCCAGTCCGGGCTTGTCATAAAACAGTCTTGGGTGCATCGACGCAGGGATTTGGTGTGGTTGTGATGGATTTCGTGGAGTTGCTGGTCTCCTACTGCTTGTGCAATACCTTCCAGTTACTACAGTAGTCTAGCACAGGGCTACATATCACTTCTACACAGATGAGGAGGACACTGCAGCTTTCTTTTCCTGGGATGGGTTCGAGAGCGAGGATATCTCAATTGTTGCTGGTGTCGAGGAGGCACAGCGCGAGCATCACGACTACTACTAGTACTACTAGTACTAGTACTACTACTTCCACATCTACATCGGCACCGACACCGGCACCGGCAACGACCCCCCGACAGCTCGCAACTCATCCATCGTCCAAACCCAGGGTGGTCATCCTCGGCTCCGGCTGGGGAGGCTATAACCTCTCGCGCAAACTCTCCGCCACCCACTTCCACACCACCCTCATCTCCCCCCGCTCCTACTTCGTCTTCACCCCGCTCCTCACCGACACCGCGGGCGGCTCGCTCGACTTCTCGCACATCGTCGAGCCCGTGCGCGACCGCCACGCCTCCGTCGACTTCCTGCAAGCCGCTGCGCGCGCCGTGGACTTCGCCGCCAAAACCGTCCTGTGCGAGGCCACCGTCGTGAAAAGCGGGGTGACCGAGTCGCCCCGCCGCACCGCGACCCCGCCCCGCTCCTGGGAAGAAGGCGAGACCTTCGCCGTGCCCTACGACAAGCTGGTCATCGCCGTCGGCACCGTCAGCCGCACCTTCGGCACCCCGGGGGTGCGCGAGAATGCCTTCTTCTTCAAGGACGTGGGCGATGCCCGGCGCGTGCGGCGGCGCGTGCGCGAATGCTTCGAGCTCGCCGTCTTGCCCACCACCGCCCCGGAGATGCGGCGCTGGCTGCTGCATTTCGCCATCGTCGGGGCGGGCCCCACGGGCACGGAGCTTGCGGCGGCGCTGCGCGATTTCATCTCCGCCGATCTGATGGCGCTGTATCCCTCGCTGAAAGGCATCCCGCGGCTCTCGCTGTATGATGTCGCCCCAACGGTTCTGTCCATGTTCGACGAGTCGCTGTCCAAGTATGCCATGGACACGATGCGGCAGGAGGGGATCGAGATCAAGGTGTCGCACCACGTCGAGGGGTTGCGCTGGGGGGCGCCGGGCGAAGCGGCCCCGGCAGAGATGGATCCCAAGCGATGTCTGACGCTCACCACCACGGAAGAAGGGGAGGTCGGCGTGGGCATGTGCGTGTGGGCGACGGGCAACGCGATGAACCCCTTCGTGCGCGATGCGTTGGCCGATGTCCCGACCTTCCCGACCGCGTCGGCGCTGCGGAAGGACGGGAGCGGCCCCCCGAGTGAGGAGCTCGTGCACCGGTCCGCCTGGCGTGTCAAGAAGGCGCCCAAGGTCGGCGCGCTGTCAGTGGACGAGCAGCTGCGCGTGCAGTTGGAGAACGAGCATGGCGACACCGTGGTGCTGCAGGATGTTTTTGCCCTGGGCGACAACGCCATGCCGGAGAAAGGCGCCCCCCCAGCCACTGCACAGGCGACCTTCCAGGAGGCCAAGTGGCTGGCTACCCGGCTCAATCGCGGCGACTCGCAGCAGACCGCCCCCTTCTCCTTTCGCAACATGGGTACCCTGGCCTACATCGGCAACGCGAATGCCTTGCTGCAGATCCCGCATGAAGGCGGAGAGCATCACAAGTATCTACCCGAGGGGTTGAAGGGCCGGATGGCCTGGTTGGTGTGGAATTCCGCGTATCTGACCATGAGCATCAGCTGGAGAAACAAGCTCCGGGTTGCGTTTCGCTGGATGTTGAATCACCTCTTCGGCAGAGATGTCTCAAGGTACTAAGCCAGAGAGAATCAAGACGCGAACAAGCGCGCTGGCGCTGTCAGTGCTGTTCAAAGCATGGCAGAAACGCGTGCTTCTCCCCTCACAGCTCGATCAATCAGCTCCATAGCCTGGTAAAGTTCGTAGTCATGCTGCGTGGGCGTGATAACCTGCACACTGAGCGGCGAGCCCAAGTACACTCGACGATCAACAGTCTTCTGGTTCCCTGTGGAGACTATCAGTCAGACGGACGAAACGTAGCAACACGGAGGATAAGGGAGAACGTACAGAGTAATCGATTGGCTTTATCCCAGCTCCCCAGCACTGGTGCCGTCATCTCCTTGCCCAACTCCAGATCATCCTCCCGGAACGCGCGCACAGGGATCGTGCCCGCCGGGTAATCAAGCAACACCCAGGACGAGGTATACCCTACTGCATTGTATCGATCCAATTCCGGCACCGGGTGCGGCGCCACCGGGTGGATAATCGCATCGATATCTCGGGCCCAGCCCGCAGTAGCTGTCGTGCTTCGCGTCCTCCACATCGCCAACATCTCCCTCTCGAGCTGGGCCCGCTGCGCCTGCAACGCCCCGACCTGCGCGAGCGTCAGCTCTCGGCCCCGCTTCATTCGACCCCTCAACCACGGGATCAGCGGCTCCTCAGTGGCCTCCAGCAGATCCATCATGGGGTTGGCCCCGTCTACCCCCATCAATCGACCGGCAATGCCTTGGCATTTGCTCAGAGCTGGCGGCACTGGAACCTCGACAACCCTGACGCCGGGCGTGTGACGCAGCAACTGGGCCACCTCGTCGAGGACCTTGGCAATGGGAGGTAGAGGCTCGACGAGCCCATCGCCACGGAGAACTCCTATGGTCAGAACCTGACGCTCCCCGAATGAAGGAGGCTGGGTGACACCGGCTGCACCACCACGAACAGACGGAGCATAACTGATCCTGGAGCCAGACCAAACCCCCGGAATGCCATCCTCACTGAACAGCTCCGCGCGAGGCACGATCTCAGCCATCACGGTCCCCAGATCCGCCACCGAGCGGGCGAGAGGGCCGGCCACCGGCTGCAGACTCACCCTCCCCTTGCCGGCCATGCTCCCTGCGTCTTGCGTCCCCGCGATCGGCACGCGACCGGCACTGGGCTTGAATCCATACAGCCCGGTGCACATGGCGGGGATCCGGATGCTGCCGCCAATGTCCGTGCCAAAGCCGACCATCGACCCGCGCATTGCAAGGAGGGCCGCTTCGCCGCCCGTGCTGCCACCGACGGTGAGACGGCGGTTGAGCGGGTTGAGCGTCCGGCCGAACAGATGATTGCAGGAGTCCAGGGCGGCCATGGTCTGTGGGACGTTGGTCTTGGCGATAATGATAGCGCCCAGAGAGGTGAGAAGGTGCACGAGTGGAGAGCTGTGGGCTGCGGGGCGAGAGGCCAGAGCAGCGAGGCCTGTGGTCGAGTCCACGCCGGCGAGATGGAATGAATCTTTGACCGAGACAGGCAGGCCGTGAAGCGGACCGATGGGCGCGCCAGTGCGTTGCAGATGGTCGTCAAGCTTCTGGGCTTGTCGGAGGGCTTGCTCGAAGACAGGCTCCGTGAGACAACGGGTGAGTTGCTGTGCGATTGCCGCTCGCTGGGAGTGTGAGGTGAGACTGACTGGGAGATGAGAGCACGGGACTAGGTCATTTACCTTGCAGAAAGCTTCGACGACCTCCTTGGAGGTGAACTTCCTCTCGCGAATCGCATCCAACAAGGAGCGGATATCGTACTGCTCCGTGATGTGCAGCTCCTCGGGCGTAAGAAGGCCGCAGATTCGAGGGATCTCTAGGACGTTGATGGCTTCATACTGGCCTGTGTTCGTGATTGAGTCGGCAGGAGAGAGCAGGCCCGGTGGGATCTGCGAGGCATTGAGACGCCATTGCGGTGGTATCTGAGCCTCTAACTGTAGCTGTTTCTGGTGAGCAATATTCTTGTAAGACATGGTCAAATCTGAGAGTTGGGGAGGGAGACGAAACGACAAGTGGAGAAGAGAACCGATGTAGAAACTAAAGAGGAAGAGGCGGAGGAGGAGCGATGCGGAGAAAAGGCGGGGGCGAAAAAGCCTCGGTCTGCGGTTGCTTCCTCGGTTCGGCCTACAACACAAGTTTCAAAGACCCTAATAATTGGAATGGCGATCATGGTATTCAATTCAGTCTAATTAAGGGAACAAAATGGTATCTATCCACGCCCAACCCGCCCACTGTTTTTCTTCACAATGACTACAAAGCCACACTCCAAGCGGAGGCAGACACCCTGCTAGCACTACCAGTCTACCATCATACCAAAGTTACAAAGGACTGAGAAGAGACAAACCACTCGACTCAACTAACCACTAAATAGAGTAAACACAGGACTTCAAGAAGACGAAAACTCAAACAACGCGATGGTCGAGCAGAAGTTGCTCTCGTTGCCTTCTTGAGGCACCAACGTCTCTCCACTCGCCGAAGTCACCATGTTCGTACTGGCCTTGGTGCTGAGACCATAGATGTGCACGTCCGAACAGTCCACCTCCACCATATTCTCCTGGCAGGACTCGGTGTCGAGACAGGTTTGCGAATAGTTATCAAAGAAGCTGTACAGACCCGCCCCGTAGACATAGGTCTCCGAGCTGTCGAGGATACGGAGACCCCAGGCCTTGCGGCAGGAATCGGTGGTACAGTAGGAGAAATCGGGGTCGTTCCAGGTGGAGTTGGGGGTGAACGGAGTAAGGGCGTTGGGGTTCGCCTGGTAGTAGGGCGTCTCGGTCTGGATGAGACCCATGAAGACATTCTTGGCACTGGCGACCTGGTAGTTGTAGAGCTGGTTGTGCTCAGAAGCGGTACCATACAACCACGCGGACTCTTGAGTCTCGAGGAGGACTCCACGGCCATTGTAGATGTTGATCTGGTTGTGGTCGGACAGGTCGAGCTCGTGGTCAGCGGTCCAGAACCAGGTGTTCTCGAGATACACGCTGGATTGCTCAGTGGCGTGGAACAGGAGGAAAGCACCGACGCAGTCGGAGTCGGGGGTGGTGGTCTGGTCAGGCGTCTTGGTGCAGGTATCGCTCTGGAGCTCAGTGCCTGCGGAGCCACCGATACGGGCGTGAACATCCCACATACCGGCGGAGCCCTGGGACTCGGCGTTGACGTTCCATTGGATGAGGATAGCACCCGGAGCGGGGCCCTTGGTCTCAACAATCAGATCGCTGATTTCAACAGAGCCGACGTCGCCCACCTCGCCGACCTGGAGCATGGGGATCGGGTTTTCGGCGTCGGAGAACTTGTCACCATAAGCCATGAGCATGGGCCAGATCTCACCAGTGATCTTGGCGTTCTTGGGGACCTTGAGCGTGTCGGTAATGATGTATGCGCCGTGGTCGAAATAGATGATTTGATCATCGGTGCACTCGTCCAAGACCTTCTGGATTGCAGCGGTATCATCGGTGGACCCGTCACCCTTGGCGCCAGCGGACTTGACGCTGACGAAGGACGAAGCAGAGTAACTCTCATAAAGGGGCTTGGACTTCTCAAACAATGAGCCATCACTGTTCAAGAGAGCACTGGGCTTCGCAGGGGCTGCGACAGTGGTCTCAAGACGGGTCTTGGTGACGGTCTTGTAAGAGCAAGTGCCAGACGCGGCAGCGCCAGAGGAAGCATGAGCAGACGTCGCGGCGGCGGAGGAAGCCACAGCTGCAGATGATCCTTGGACATGGGTAGAGCTGCCAGAACTGCCAGAGTATCCGCCGGCCGCAGAGGACGGCTGGGCACTCGAGCCAGACGACCCAGAGCCGGTAGACCCACTAGCAGGAGACGACTGCTGAACACTCGAGCCAGACGATCCAGAGCCGGAAGATCCACTAGCAGGAGACGACTGCTGGGCACCAGAGCTGGCTTGTGAAGCGGAGCCGGAGGAGCCACCGGCCGGAGCCGATTGCTGAGAGCTAGACCCGGTTGACCCAGCTGCGGGCGAAGACTGCTCGGCACCAGATCCAGATTCGTAGCTCGATGGTTGGGCGGCAGCAGTCTCGACGGCGGAAGTCCAGGTCTGACCAGTGGCACTACTGCCGGAGCTGCCCCACGAGTAACCAGTGTGAGGGAGACGGTCCGTTGCGGCAGTCGCATCAGCACCGTTGACGGTAGCTTGGGTAGCGGCCGAATGGTATTCGGAGGCAAGCGATGTCGACGTGTACTCGGCGGGACAAACCTCGATCGTCTGTGTGATCGTCTGCACGATGACCTCGACAGCAGGAGAGCGCTTCTTGAGGGTGCTCGAGGGAGTGTAGGCGTTACCCTGAACATAGTTGTCGATGACAGAGCCACCGGCCAGGATTGTGCTACCGGAAACACTAGCCACGGCAACGCTGGAACCGGTAAAGTCAACGTTGTCGAGCACCAGAGCACCACCGCCGGTCGGGATGCTGTCAGAGCTGAAAGCCGTCACGATACCAATGGGAGTGCTAGAGAACGTGCTGTCCAGCATCAAGACAGAGCCCACGGTCTGGTTCGAGGGGGAGGCGGACATGTTGAGACCGACCCCGCAGTTGTTGATGGTGACCGACTTGAAGGTCCAGGCCCAGTTCCAGTTCATGTAGATGGCAGTGTTGCAACCATTGAAAGTGAGATTGCGCGTCGTGAACTGCTGGTTGCCCAGGAAGGCACCATAGTTGCCTCCGTTGAAGGTCAGATCGGACATGAAGCCGCCCGATCCGTTGTCCATGAAGATACCTTGCTGCTTGTTGGCGTTACCGCCGCCCTGGATCATCTCAAAGCGGATGTTCTGAAGACTGGTGGCTTGACCAACTTGCCAGTGGATACCGGCACCGGAGGACTGGGGCATGGCAGTGAGATCGATGACGAAGTTACGAATGGCACGGAAGAAGTTGTTCTGGTTGGTGTACCAATTGGCGCCAGTGTTGGTGTAGGGGTCAGCATCGATCACCGCCATACCAGTGAAACCGGCAGCCGCTTTGAGGACGGGCAGGTCGTTGGCATCACCGACCAGTTGCGTGTAGTAGTACTGGATAATGGGGGTCGACACAACATAAGTGCCGGGCGGGAAGTACACCAGAGCAGGGGTGGTTGTCGAGGAATCGCAGCCCTGACCACAACGGTTACCGGAGGAGATCGCCTTGTTGATAGCAGCGGTGTCGTCCGTCGAGCCATCACCTATCAGTTACCTGTTAGCCCACGATCAACTCGAGTAAATCTCCACCTGCGACGTACCCGTAGCGCCAAAGTCTTTAACGTTGCGGAAGATCTGGTAGCTAGAACTGTTGCCGAACGGCACGCTTCCCTGACGTGTTATATCAGCGACCCAGTAGCTCGAGTCACGACCCTTCAACTCCCCGCGGGCTTCCAAGCCACTCTTTAAGGGGACAGCAGAGACGAGCCCGGCCGGAAGGCCGAGCAGCAGCAGCAGGTGCGCTGCGAAGAGCATCATGAACGTGTTGAGAACAGCCATGGTCTATAAGTCGACGATTGACCCTGAACCTGCAGAGACAATCGAAACGTGGGGTAGGACAGTAATATACCCGGCTGGCTGGCAGACAGGTGGGCAATGAGAAAGTTCAGCAACCAGTGCTGAGCCAAAGGAACCAAACGAGAGATCGGATGATGAAGCGGAATTCGTCACGCGATCCAGTCAGAAGGAGAGAACTTGCAACTTCCCAAAGTCAAGACTTCGCTAGGAGGCACAAGGGATGGGAGGAATGACCAACGGCCAAAATCAATGAAGGAAAGATCAATGAGGGGAATGAAAGAGTGAATGCGACAACACACAAACAATGCTGTAGCCAAAACCTGCAGGCACTTTCAACACAGTATCTCACACCGTGTGACACACCACGCAGAAAGGAACACACACAAACGAAGGAGGCGGACAGGAGAGAAAAAAAGAATTAAAGAAAGCAAGCCAGCCTGTGAAGAAGAATCACGAGCGAGTTGAAGCGGACCAAGAGTAGAATTAAAAAGACTGGCTCGACCCCGGGATGGAGTTTGGGTGGTTCCGTTGCGGCGCGGGTCCTTCCAGGCACTGATTCCCACTGATTCCCACTGATTGCAGTGGCTAAACCTTAGCGGCCTTAGGCAGACTCCACTTTGCACACGACTATCACGACGATTTCAGTAGCGCCCGAACACCGTCCAGGATTGATTGGCAGACACGTCCAGAAACCCCCTCCGGCAGCTGATGCTCGGCCTCCAATTAACCTTGACCAAGCCACGCGTGAAACGCCTGGCTCAGGGGTTGAAACAGTCCCAACAAGACTACACGAGCCAGTCAGTACACCTCTTCCTTTCATTGGTGCCGTTCGGGCCACCTGAGAGCCACTCTAGCAGATTGCAGTGCGATGACCCGTTCCAGACCGACCAAGCATCTGACTAGATTTGAGTAGTCAGTCAGCACTTACCGTGAACTATCCCGTCCGATATTCGTCGGTGCACCCCGTGCAGAACCTTGGACGTGCAAATGACGGGTCGTCAAGCGAGCGAATCGACTCTCTCGACGCACCTGGTTCTCGCCAAGAGAAACAATACACAACTGACAAAGGAGCGAGTGGTGATTGCGAATTCAACACACAATAAAACCTCGTTGGCGAAGTCCCGGGACGTATCCTAGAAACACACACCAAGAGAGTCAAGAGAGTGTATGGTAGAAGGAGAAGGGTGTCCCACAAACAAAAGGAGGGAGGAGACAGACAGAGAGAGAGAGAGAGAGAGAGAGAGAGAAGAAAGCAAAAGAGCGCGAGTCAGCCGATCAGCGAGCTGAATGAGATAAATAACTAGACTGTCCTGGGATCAACATAGCCGCCGTGGCCAGAATCAAGTCCACGATGGCCGATCGACGGCTTTGTTTCGCTCTGATCCCGCGCGTAGGCTGCATGACTGGAATCCCATCGACCACCAAGCCCTAAGAATGGCATGGGGATGGTGCCCAGTCGGCCAGGGCAGCACCGCGCAAACACACCCTGTTCGCCGTCCTGGATGCTGCGTAGCGGGTGGCATTCCTCATCGTCCACGGGTCAACCGGCGGAGAGGGGTCTGGGCAGTAATGCTGAGGGTTCCAGACTAAGTGCGCTTTGTCTTTTCGCGACGTATTAATTACTTATCAACTAGATGAATAAACCGGTTTAGTATCCTTGATGAGTAGGACTGTCCTGCAATCCCTTGAATGTGATAGATTCCAATCCAAGTGACGCCAGAGTGAGCAACGACATATACGTAGAAGGGAGAATTGATTTTGGATAATGGCGAGCGGGAGAAGACGAGTCAGACAGACTCAGTGTGTGCCTGAGGAAGCCAGGGCTCCATCGCCCCACTATTTTTCCCCTTGCACCACAAGTCAACAAGGTTCAAAGAATCAGCCATCCTTCAGGGGCTGGTAGCTGCATGTCCCAGAACAATGGACTGTGGAAAGTGAACAGAATGCATAAGTGATATCAACAGCATTACTCTTGTCCATCAAATCTCAAATGCTAGAATTCGAATCTGAGATCAATCAGAATACACTGTTCCTCCCTCTGTGAATTATCATCATGATGGGTCCCTATCCAATATCACGAGCGCCATCAAGCTTTTGTTTCAGATTGCAGGCACACTCCCCACCACTGGCTCGTCGATCTACCACTAGACAATAAATAGTACCACTAATTGACCACTATCCGAGACATCTGGCTTTTCTCAAAGCACAAACCATCACAGTAGATACTCCATAGCCAGTTCATCTAACGAATCTCATTTTCATCAATATTGCTTGTTCGTCCAAAGCTCGAAATTTTACCACATTACTCAAAATGAAGGCGACGATAATAAACCGCCTAGGGCGAGACACCACACACCCCTCGGCAAGAATGTGGTGTCTCCGAGAACCAGAGTTTGACCCTGTTCGCCCCTTTGGCAGAGGAACAAGAGTTATTTGACGCGTCCTTTCATTCCTTCTCCTCCAAGGCGTGGTGAAGAGCAATTCTTTGTGCATAGAGAAATAGCACGAAGGCGTCCGGTGCTTACCGTAATTCGCAGTCAATGATGACAGAAGTGTCTCCAAGCCTCCTGAGGCTGGCTGACTGATCCTGTCCCCCCCCCCCCCCGCGCTCCTGTTCGGCCCGGCCACTACTGCGTAATCACCTTATATATGCAGAGCGTCAGCTGCCTCTTCCCCGCGTTGGCTTTAGTAATGCTCTCCAGGTATATCACTCGACCACTGAGACGCACTATCAGGCGTCTTTCACTAGGTACGCACTTTTCAACAACCATTCGCTTGAGGTTCACCTTAACATACAACAAGATCACACTCGCGCCTGCGCGATTTAAATACGCTCACTATAGCTTGGTCTGAAAAGTCATTCGTCTATTTTGGCCTATGATGTGCCAGAATCATCCTCACCGGTTTTGCAGGGCTTGGCGTATGGCGCACCCCAGTCGTCGCACTCCTTCCTCAAGGTTATCCTCATCCTCCCATGCAATGCAGAGACGCATCCCGTCATCAAAGTCGTTCTTCTCCGTCACCGGGTCGCCCTGCACTCGGAACATGTTGCCTGCTGCCACCTCGACTTCATGCTCTTGAAGCGCGAGCGTGGCTAATTCCGTGGCTCCCAGAGACGCCGGCATTTTCAGCCAGATAAAATACCCACCTACGATGCCTTCGGAAGAAGTCGGGGTAACGCCAACTGGGACCAGGTGTTCACGGATAGCAGACATCATCCGCCTATAGCGAGCTGCATATGCAGGTTGCAGCACATGTGCGATATGATTGTGAAGGACTCGCGTGGGGAAAAGCTGCGCCACCATCGAGGCGGAAAATTGGGACGGTGCTCCCCCAGATCGACTCGAACCCCTGTGGCAATCCCGAAGTCAGCTTGTGCAAAGTGGATTCTGTGAGGAACGCAGTCACTGATCACTAACGTCTGCGATAGGCCGTAAGCCAAGCTTTTTGTTCCCTCCGCCCATCCCGTTCGCATGCCAGCTCCGATCAACTTGCTAAAACTCCCGTTGCTGATTGCATTGCCCCACTCATCAGAAGGACCGCCATCCAAGTATCCATCTATGTCCACAAGTCGTGGCAGCTGTGCGTGTTCCAGCGGTGACTCCAGTGCAGCTGGATCTGCCGACCACTGGAGGAAATCGTAAACATCGTCGGTGATGATCAAGGCGTCGAACTCTCGCGCCAAACGAACCAACTGTTCGCGATCGGACAGCGACAGAGTGAGGGTGGACGGGTTAGAAAAGGTTGGCGTGGCGTAGATGACATGCTTATAGATCTTTCTCCATGGTCGCGCGGGTTTGTATTCCTGTGCAAAGTCAATATTTAGACAGTTGCAAATGAAAGCCTTGAAGTCCATGGGACCCCTCGAGGCCTCGGGGACTGGCAGCAAACCCGTGAAGAGAGGATCTAGCGTACCGGTGTCATGTTCCGCTCATGCAACGCCTTGTTTTCAGCTGCAACTAACTCCTGTCGCAAATAAGCCAAATCCAGGCCCGCCGCATCGTGAGGCACTGCTCTCAGCCGGCCGGCGAAGCCAGCGTCATCGAAGATGCGTCCCGCCAAGTGATAGGTGGGGGCAACCATCCAGACATTGCGTGTGTAGAGCGGATCCGAGAAGACCTGGAGGATACAAGCAAGATTCTGGCTAGCCCCTCCGGTAATGCAGATGCGATCCGCAGAGATGGGGCTCCGTGGCTGGTAGAACTCGGTGAGCCAGTGAGCAACGTGCTCGCGCAACGGCTGGAAGCCTTCGTCAGGGCCGTATTGTAAGGCTGGTTGCCAGATGGGCGGGGAGGCGAGGACCGTGGCGGAGGCCGTGGCCAAGGCGGCGGTGGGCAGCAAGGCGGGGTTGGGCCACCCGCGAGAGAGATTGATCACAACCATGGATGTTGGTGGATTGCCGTGTTACAAGAGACTTATCCCAGAAACTGAGGCCTAGAGCGTTGTTGACGTTCTTGTGCACTGCAGACATAAGGGAATTCGCAGGAAGATGCATGAGGGGTTCAACGGTGGGTGCAGTGGTTGTCTGCGAGGCTGGTCTCCACCGCCCGCACTTGGCTATGGCGGCCTCGTTGACTCGTCCCATGGGATTCGATGATCCATCTTGCGTACTCCAGAGTATGTCGCCATTGTTCCAGGTGGGACCCCGCTTTCCAACCACCTCCATGGTCTCACCTTGTACTCATCATCATGATGAGGTCGGGTCTGACAGGCCTGCCCCTCCTCGAGGCCGGACGTTGCCAAGCTCACCAACCCCCTCACCCTGGCAGTGGCAGCTCCATTAGAGGGGGGGCATCGGAGATGGACGGAGATGGACAGAGGGACAAATTAACTTAAGTTCAGGCCATGGCAAGGCCGATAGCGGGACTGCAAGTTTGTGTTGTACAGTACCTGAAAGCCTGCGGGCCGGTCACCGGATACGACCATCAATACCTAGGCAAGCAGAAAAGTGAGTATGAGGTCAGGTAGTTGTATAACTCAATTAGATTAAAACTGAATGATCCAATTGTGTGTTCTGTGAATCCGTGGAAAATGCACTACCTAGTTAGCTTCCAGCTCAATCGGATGAGGTAATCCCCGAGATCTCTTTGCTATTGTTGGTTCGTGGTTCGCCGTACACAGTAAACGATCAACAAAGCGATCAAACAAAGCGATCAACGCTCAGAGGCCGGCCACGCGTGAAATGCTACGTACCCATCCATGCCCAACTTGAGTATAACAAAAGTCGTTCTTATGTTTGCCAATATTGAATCATGCAATCTACCTGGTCGGATCGATGGATGATGTGCGCCAGCGTGTTCATAGTACTCATACTACCTTATTGGAGTAACTAGTACTGGAAAAGAACCTGGAAGTTGATCAGATTCGACGAAGAGGGAAAAGACATCCTTACTAGCGCATACATACCCTCGGTACTGTACCTGGTGCTTCAACCCATGCATGATCCCGATCTATTCTTAGTCCGCCTCCGCCCTGCTGCCCTGAGAACACACCCTCTTTGTTTTCGGGGTTTATGCCTGGTGCAGGATCCAATGGGAATAGACGGCGGACGCATTACCAGACGATCTTACCATCGATTGGCAAGGATGGCGTGGTAGACTAAGTAAGTACTGTACCTACTATCAACTTTGTACTTACGACCTCTTTCGAGGCTGCCTTTACCATCCATCCGGAAAGAATCGCTGTTTTTCTGGTTTCCTCCAGTCCACAGCTTGGAGTAGTTCACCCGTTCACTGGTCGGTCGGAGAAGATAGAGTTGGTCTGTCCGCTGGAATCATTCCAGCATGACGTGCCCAAAGCAGGCACAAGTATGCAGTGCATTGTCCTTACGACATTGCCTCCTGCTACCCCCTTGTTCATAAGCCTTGACATCTCCTTTTCACTGCAGCACTGTCATTTCGATGATGGGCCATGATGGTGATTATATTCAGGGGAAATTGAGGGGCCATCGTTCGTATTGTGACAGCCTATTCAGTGCTTCAAGTTTATAAAAGAGAACCCCAAGCAATGGCGAGGGGGGCTGGTGTAACTCCAGCGACCGGGTGAACACCGGTTGGAGTGATTGTTGTTGCTTTGCCCCGAATGTCCGACATGCGATCAGGGATGGAGAGAACTTGGACCTTGGTTTCCTGGGGCATCTGTCTGGGAGCAAGATGGGAAGAACCGATCGCATAGTGAGCCCAACCACCCTGGCAGGCGGAAGAAGGTTACCGGGAATTGTTCTGCCTACTGTTCGCTGTTCGGTGTATGTAAGTGATCCGTGGAGATTAATAACCATGATACAGCGAAGACACCACTTGTGACTCCGCAATTCGTATGACTTCCACCACAACACCAAGCCACAACCAGTTGAGCAAATTGCCCTCCTACTGTACACGGTCAGGGCGCTCTCCTGACGCCCTCCTGACTAGCCAAGGTGTCGGAGGAAGGCCTTTCAGCCTCCTGACCCGAGTTGACACTGCCTCGCCGTAGCCCACTTTTGCCGCACACAGGCATGGCGCAATCAGATTTGATACAAGATGATCCATCAGGAACGACTGAAATTTTCTGGGTCGTGGGTTGCAAATTAGCTAAATCTTGATCCGACGCCCGATGGTCCGGCCAACCGAGATGAAATTACAACCAATAGTTAGTTGGTTAGTATAGGCTGTATTTGGTGTATAGCGCTTGTCAAGGAGTAGGTTTAGTTAAGGAGAATGACTGGAGAGAAAGGGGAAAAGGGCCAGAGGCTGAAAGAGCACAAAATACTAAGAGAGAATACTAAAACGGGGGGTGGTGGGGGAAGGTCTCCACTAAAAGGAATCCATTAGAAGTTCAAGAAGAAGCAGGAGGTGGGAATATCCGGGGCCGAAAGGGCAACTTCACAAAACCATTAATGTTCGGAATTAGAAACAAGAAAAATTGTCCTCTCGTCGTCAGCACCTTTACGAGGCATTGAGACGCAGCTGCTGCAGTGTATGAGTAAGGTTGAAAATGCCTGTTATTTCTTTGATTTATTTTTTTTCCCTTTCCTTCCTCTTTATTGCGTACTTCCAACACTGAACCTAACAAGTGAACAATTCTCATCACTAATTGGGATGACTCCAATTGAGGATCTCACCGCCTGGGCCAATTAATCTAATCGGCATGAATTGACTAGAAAGTGTATGTATGGAGCATTGTGGCTGCAAAAAAAAGAACACCTCGAAGTAAGAATAGACAGAACAAACCCGTACCACATATTATCCACAAGTGATCACTATAAGATCGCATCTGTAATCTCCTTTGTTTGGTTGAAGACAAGATCACCTGTGACAAGGTCTATACCTCCTCTAAAGACTCCTCTGATAGTGCCATCCATGGGTGCCAGTGTGTCTTGTTGTCAACTTTGATGCGGATTGAATTCCTCGCCGACCGTCGGCTCCACCGGCAAAGGTTAAAAATACTCTCGGACAGTGCATTATTACCTGCGTGATACCTCCACTCTCAGCAACAATACGACCATCGCGCAGCTTCCCCACTACCAAATCAGGTATTCTCAATACAGTCCTGGTTTCTGTCACTTCTCGTATTTACTGACCCTTAGGGATTATTTTTTTTTTCTCTCACAACTCCCCATTCTTCCTCAACTTCTCATCTTCTTTTCCTTTCTTTCTGCAGAGTATAGAAGACGAGTAACAGAAAGAGAGAGAGAGAGTGTGTGTGTGTGTCTCTTTTTGAATGTGTGTGTTTATACAACATCCCCTATAACGCATTCTTGTTGTTTACCTCATTCCCCCTCCATCCTCTGCTCCGTCACCTTCCCCTCGTCCTCCTCCATAACTTATACTCTCTGACTTTACCTACACCCATAACTCCTTTCCTTCTCTTCCTCCTTCTGCCTCTTGGACTTGTACTACAAAACAAAATTTCTCTCAGAACCATCTCCCGCTCTTCTTTCATCCCCTCACTCCCCACCGCGAGAACCCAGAAGCTGCATCCATTCCTTTACTGGATCCCTCCTGTCGATCCATTCCTCAGGGCACGTCGAAGCGGTACTCACGAATTGCCTGCCTTTCCCTGGCCCTGAACTTCCTGAATTCCTGAACTTACCTTGTCTTTGAACCGCCTGGGAGAGTTTGCGCATGGTTGGTTACATTCTTTCTTACTTCACTGGTTAAGGTACGTCGGTTCCTACCTGCCTTTCGCGAACCCGTGGTCTCCTCCGCGAGTGGGGAGGGGGGAAGTTTCCTGTCACTCTCACTGTATCCTCTTGCTCCCCAAATCTTACCTCTCACACTTTTGCTTCTCCCCTTCACACCTCTCATTCTCGTTGTCCGTTCTCGATATTCATGTCTCTGCCCTTCCCCACTCACCCATCCGACAACCGCTGCGCCTTTTCTTCTGTGCCCCGGAGCTGACGGTTGCTTGCTTTTTTTCCACTCCCACAGCGCCTTCAAACATGCTGTCTGCTCCGGTAAAATCGGCCAAGCGCATATCGTCGCTGTTTTCCCTAGGTTCGACCAGGGATAGTTCGGCGCCTTCCTCACCTGCATCTCCGAGCGTCCCGAAAACCTCACCCGACCAGTTACCGCAGGATGCACGTCCTCGCAGCGCCTCCCGATCAGCTCGTGTAGCCTCTAATCCTCAAAGCGAATACGGCGAGACCCGCCCGCCTCTACCCCCCGGTCCCCACGACGGTTTCGATTTGGACGAGCCCTTGCCGCCGCCGCCATCCCTCCTGTCCGTCAACCAGGATCTGGCTACTAGCACCCCGAGCTCGTCCGACAGCAGGCCTCAGAGCAGCGGTCGCGGGCGGAGTGGGAGTCGACCATCCAGTTCTGCCGGACTATTTGTGCCCGGCACCGGTCCGGACTCGCGCCCGACCACACCATCCTCCAAACGGCGCAGCTGGATGCCCGGGCGGGCTCGTGCAAGCTCAGCTGATCCGCGCGCCAGCGCGTCGGCCATGCCCAGTGCTTGGATTGCCGGTCTCGAGCAGAAGATCTTATATGATCTGGAACCTCTGTCTCGAGGAGAGCAGGTATGTCTCTTTCGATGGAGGCAGAACGCGGGAGTCGCGGGTGCATGCCTAGCTCACTTGGTAGCGTTTACTAAAACCGTCTTGGAAACACGCTAGATCCCTGAGTTGTGGAACGAAAATGGCGACACCTACGTGTACCTGTTTCCGCAGAATACCGGCCGACAAGCTTCGTTCAAGGTTCACTCCACGGTCTTTGCCGAATCTCCCTCTCTCCATTTTCTTGCTCGCGGAAACGAGCTTCGCAGTCCCACATCTCTCGAGCAGCAAACAGGAAACTTGTCGTTGAATAGCCCGGTGGTCGGTCCCGCATCGCCGCCCCTGACGCCTGACGATCGCTTGGCCGAGAATGACAATGACAGCTCTGGTAGTCAACGACTGGCCTACATGGACGATGACAGTCCCGAGGAGTTTCAGGAGCTTCACCTCTATCTTCCCATCCCACTTAACAGCGACGTTTCCAATCCTAACACACGACTCAGCGGGGAGGATTTGGAAAATCTTCTTCTTTTTCGTAATCTGTTCGCGTTCCTGCTGGGACAGTCCTTAATCGCAACGCCCCGATCGCCATCTCTCTTCTCCATCTTCATGGACGTCGCAACGCTACTCTCCCGATTTGAGTTCACCAATTTCGACGGCTCCAACTTTGGCGAGACCGCAACAACCAGTTTTGGCAACTACTGTGAGGAATTGCGGCTGGCAGATGTGCGCAAGAGCCGTGAGAAGACTATCGAAGCCATTGTTCTGGGCGAACGGCTGCGCTTCTACCCCCTCTATCTCGAAGGCTTCGTGCACGGTGTGGGTAAATTGGACGAATTGAAGCAGCTTCGAAGCCCCAAATACGGTCTCATTAACCCCGTGACCCAGAAGCGGCTGGAGCGAGGATTCATCGACCTCGATACCCGTCTTCGGGTACTGTACAGTAAGCTGGACGATTTTGACTTCCCTTCCGTCTTCTCGGGTATCGCCAACTCGGCTACATCGGTTGAGAGTAAAGTGGTGCGATTCAAGAACTGGAGGTTGGCGTTCCAGGAATTCCGCCGCTTCACAATGCACTATTACCGCTCGAAATACGGATCTTGGCCGCCAAAGGCTCGCTCGAAGAAGAACCAGTTCGAAGAGAGTGGGCTCAATCGTCAGGTTGTCAAGGATCTTTACAATGATTTTGCCAATCTCTACGATATGATGGTTGATCGGGCCGCCCTTACCACCCGCACTGTGGATATGGCAGCAGAAACCTCGGAGACGACAGACCCTGATAAGTTGATGGTACGGGCTCTTCGCCAGGTGCTGAGCGAGTATGATCGAAGCACACCGCCAGTGCAGCCTCCTATTCCGTTCGATATTCCCATGTTCCCTTCCTTGCAGACACTGGAGCGCAAACCAATGGATGCCAAGAAGGAAGCTAAAAAGCGGGCCAAAAAATTGAAGGATGCCGATATCAATGCCGTTCTCATGGGCTCTTATACCCGCGAGAGTCTGCGGCCCACGCCCTTCATCGAGGCCTTTATGCAGTTTGAGCGCCGCTGTGCGCATGGCAAGAACATCAATGATATGATTGACATGCGTTGCGGCCAGTGGATCTTCCTGTACTGTGTCATTCAATCCCTTCCACTGGTGGTTGTCGACGTGCAAAATGTCAGGTATACGGAGGCTGTGGAGTATTTCCTTTGCATTGCGCCGCGCGGTGGTGCACCCTGGATCCAGAACGACGGTAAGACGGCGCGCAGCTGGTTCGGGGTGGCCAATGGTGCGGGTGTAGTCAGTCTACCCTCCGATGTGGTGATCAACGGGGTGGAAGGCATCTACCGCCGCAGTCACTGCTGGCAGGTGGCCGAGCAATGGGCCGAGAAGGATGCTATTCTCGCCCCTCCGACGATCGAGGATCCGTACGACAACGAATCCTCGCTATCGTCACCGTATCCCGCTCAGCAATCGTCGGCAGGCTCATCCTCTGAACAACAACAGCTGTCCGGCGGGCAGCCAACACCGCTCATGACCCCCGGCAGCCTTGGTCCTCCTCCACCAGCCATTCCTCGACTCAACTCCCCAGCTTTGAGTCGGAGAGCCGAGCACCGCACTTCAATCTACCCTGGTCTGGAGGCATTGCCGCTCCCTGCGGGTGTGGCCCCGCTGGATCCCCCGGCTCGTCCCGTGAGCCGATTCAACCCCAATATGAGCTTCGATGACATTCTGAAGCAGGTGCCGAATCAGCATAAGAAGAAATAATCCTTGGACAACTTGCATTGAGACAACTGAGGATCTCTTTTGAGATGTGTATAATGTCCGTGAGAGAACCTGGAGATTGAAGCGAGACCCTTGGGGATGTTTCCTCTCCGCTTTCCGGTGTTCCCACTTTTCTTTTCCCACCCTTGCATTACTAAACCTGGTCGTTTCAGCTCTATTGTACCCTGTCATATTCTGTTCCTTTGCCCGTTGTCATGCTGTTTATTCTCTTATTTCTCGTACTGGGCGTGCACACGTTATCTTGAAACAAAAGGCTGGAACGGCGTAAACGAGCATCTATCTGAAGCTTTCTCGGGTGGGGTAGCGACGGTCAAGAAGCAGAAGATTGTTTTAATATTTCTCTTACTACTTTGTGTGTCGATTGGAGCAGAACATGCGTTTGGTCCGTGCCATTGGAATCATGTATCTTGCCTCTTGGAATCCCGTTGTTTTCTATCCCTTTACTGTGTCCGACCTTACTCTCTCTGAGCACTTTCCCTCGTCGTGTCTCTCCAACAATACTCTTCTTGTCTGTTTTTGGGGGGAGTTGGACTCCTATGGATGTCGCTGCCCCGTGACCGGCCGTGTCAGACAGCCTGATTTGATGTGATTTACACCTTTCAGACCATAGAGCTATCACGTCCTTGAAAAGGACTACCTAGTACTAATGTAATGCACCCTTTGTTGGGTGGAGACCATCATATTCACGGGTAGTCTGTTGTGCACATTGTATCAAGCCTTCGTCTTAGTCTGTGTGTGTTCATCATTGCCCACCACCACCCGCGTTGTGCATGTATCGTTTTCCGCTTAGCCACATACTCAGCATATGAGTTGATGCTGATCAATCGGATGAGATGATTTCTCAGTGATCGAGTCCGTATATCTCAGCTGGGATGGTACTAAACCGCTCGCCGCATGTGTTGCGGGAGAGTGCTTTTTCCTCGATATATATCTGGACATGATATGAGTGATATTCCACACATCATACCGACGACAGCCAGCGAACATACACTTGACACGAGATCTACTCTACGGCAATTCATAACTCAGAATTTATCTCTTGGGAGCGATCTCCTCAGCTGCAAGATCGTCCCCAGCGCGTTGCAAATATTGACTTGTCGGCCAAGTCGGCCTTGAGCGGAGGTGACATAATTGAAGTTATGCATGCTTATTAAGCAGCATAGCTGGTGCAGCCCCGCCAAAAAACAACTTACCTTCAGGGAACCGAAGAAGCAACAGCCATGCTTAATTCAATCCACTACTGCAAGAAGTCCTCTCTTTTGATCATGGTCCACAAGTCCACTGGTCTCTCAGTCTGGTCATATCCTACTTTTCGAGTACATAATTCGGACGCCACGACCATTCCAAGGCCGAATGATGCACATCCTGCATTGCAAACCGTGGCTGCGACCGATGGCATAAGGTAGTCCCGATTCACCCTCACTATCATGACCAGGGACTTGCTTACTAAACAAGAGAATCTCTCAGCTTCTTGACGAATTCACTATGCACAAACCAGTTTTTTGGGCCTTGTTTGCTCAGTAAAAGTCACACCCTGTACAATCCTAAGCCGCTGTGGAGAACACAGTGAGCTGACAGACTCCCCCCGACATGCAGCTAATTTCGTATCGCTGCGCCTCCAGCCAGTGACCGTCTTTCGTGGCGCCCCCATCGCTTGACACTGTGTCGCCCCGGCTGACAGGCGCGGCTCTGCCCATCAACTCTTTATTTTTCCAGGGCTGGTCCCATCTTCTCTTTTTAAAAAAAAACCTAAAAAACCTACCAAGAACATGTGGTGGATCACCCACTATGAACCCTTGGGTCTGAGTATCCGTTCCCGAATCAGCACAGACAGTCAACCATGTCCCGGTCACGGTCGAGTATTGCCAGTGACAGCCATGACCGTCTGGAGCCCCGGCTGCTGAGAGCGGCCGAAAGCGACCAGGTCGCCACTCTGCAGGCCATCGTCGAGCTGGCGCGCGAAACTGGGCAACTCAACGATACTTTCCTGCGCATCGGACTTATGCGCAGCTGTGAGCGCGGGTCCATCGCTGCGACCGACTATCTCCTTCGAGTCGGCGCAAAGACAGATGTCGCCGGGAATCGACCCTCACCGCTCCTGCGCGCCGTAGAACGGAATCACGTTCGCATCGTCCAGCTCCTCCTCGACCATGGTGCCTCGCCGGAGATCCCAGATAAGAAGGGCCGGACGGTGTTGATGACGGCCGCGTGGAAGAACCATTGGCATGTGCTGCAGCTGCTGATTGCCCGCGGCGCCGATGTCAACGCGCGGGACCAGAAGAAGAGGAACGTTCTGCATAATTTGGCGGCGGATAAACAGTGCGACTGGGGGGAGGATGTCATTGAGCTCCTGCTTCGCACAACCTGCACGCTCGACGGCATCGCTGGCCAGGACGACCTCGGTCGCACGCCGTTGCATTGGGCATGCGCTACAGGGAAATTACGCTTCGCGCAGCTGCTGCTCACCCGACCGCATGGGCCGGTCGCAGATGTGAACGCCGTCGAGTGTCGGAATAAGACCGCCCTCCATATCGCGGTCGCGCATGGTCGCGATGATCTCGTGCAGCTTCTGCTCAGGTACAACGCAGACGTCAACGCGCCCAGCGACGGGGGCTGGACCCCGCTGCACAATGCTTGCGACCGAGGCTCGGAGTTGATCGTGCGAATGCTGCTCCGTGCTGGAGCCCACATCAATAGCCAGCTGCTCAACGGCCGGACGCCCCTGCACCTGGCTGCGCAAGCCGGCCACCGCGAGGTGGTAGAGTGTCTGCTGGAGCACAAGGGCATCAAGCAGAGGATCCGGGACAACTTTGGCAGCACCCCATTCCTGCAGGCAGCTCAGTTCAAGCGGAGAGACATAGTATCTCTCCTTGCGCCCTTCAACCATGTCGAAGCTCTGACCGCAGAAGCCAAAGGCGCGTGCGAAGCGTTCGAGGCGACCGTCGTGGACTTCGGCAATTTCCACAATGAGAACCGCGTCAAGAAGACCTCGGTCTTCAACCTCTTGTACGGTCGCGACCGTGAAAACCCGCGTAAACAGGCATTCAGCACCATGCCGGCGGACAGCCGGGCGACGGACTTTCGTTGGATCCACCTTCCAGCGAACAACTTGACTTGGGTGGAGGCTCTCCTCACCAAGTCATTTATCGAAGAAGGCGCACACGATGTGGAGAGCTTCAAAGGCCTGGAGAAATCCTTCCGTTACCAACATCGCGGACAGCGAACACACTCGCACTTCATGCGTCCTCTGTGTCAAAGCATTCCGCGTGCACCGCGGTTCCAGGAGGAGGAGGAGGGTTCCGAGGAAAGGACGCCTGTTATGCCACCTCAGATACTCATCAACGGACAGTCCCATGAGGCCCCAAGTACTCCTAGAGAGAACGACAAGTCTAGAGGTCGGAAACTGAAAGAGTACACAAGCAAGACAGACCGCACTGACTCGGTTTCCGACGCGGCGGCAAAGAAGGGCAGAGGTGCAACGAAGCGTGGCAAGGCCGGAGCACCAACCAAGCAGGAGTCCAAACACCACAGCAGTATTGATCGCCACGACAAACACCGGCCAGCGCTGTCTCTGTGCAAAGATCAAGCGCGCTCCAACGCATACAACGTGTGCATGTTCATGCCATACTTGCACTTTGAAACGACCGAGCGACGCCAAAAGATGCAAGACGCCATCCAGCGAGCTGAGACGCGGTGCCTGGCGCGGCCGAACCTCACTCGCACGCCGACGCGGGATGAGCTGTTGATCAGCGCGCATCTAGCATCGTCAACTACATCGCTTCACATCCGCCGCACCCTGGACCAGTTCTTCTACCCCAACATCGACACGCTGACGCGAGACCAGGATCAGGTTGTCTACCGCTATCAGACCAAAGGCCAGGGCCGCGAGCGGTTCCTGTCCGAGCCCAAGATCTTTATGGTGGATCAACTCTGGATGTGGATTCTTGGGACTGGTCTGATTGTAACCAGTTTTCCCGAGCGGTGGGAGCAGCCCAAGAACGACCCCCTTAATGTTCTGGATGGGATTATTGAGGACATTAATTCCAAGACGCGGGAGCCAGTCAAGTCCGTTTACGACCTGGCAATCATCATCACCACCCGCTGCTCCGGGGTATTTGACCGGCACCGCATGGGCGACGAAGAGTATCAGTTTCTGGACATGTTCGAAGCATCTATTGGGGTGGCCACCGACCGGGAGACGGTGCTCTTCAACCAATTCAACCGAGATTCAGCACAAGCGTCCGACTGGCTGAAGAACCACCGCAAGCTAAGCCGGTTCGCTCGTCGCGCACCGTCCAACAAGGAGCGGGAGGCGATGATTCCCAGTGACGCGCGGCGAGGTCCGCGCGATCCCACCGGCGACGAGCATTGCGAGGCCGAGGAAGAAGAGGAGCAGCCGCTCTTCGTCGACAATCTCCTGGATATCGGCCAGGAGACCGACCTCCTCGCCGAAGCGAAGGACATCCGCGACGAGCTCAACATGATCCGCACTGTACTGCAGCACCAGCAGCACGTCCTGCTCGACTTCCAAGACGCCATCTGCGAGATCTACGGGGGTGAGCACCGCTCGCAGCACGAGGTCAAGAAGCGGTTTAAGGAGCAGCAGCGCACCATCGACATGCACCTCAAGGACATCGAGCGGATGGACAAACAGGCGGAGCGCATCTACTCGTCCATCACCGACCTGCTGGACCTCAAGCAGAAACACGCCAACGCGTTCGAGGCGCGCTTCGCCCGCGACCAGGCTGCGGGCACCACGCGGCAGGGCAAGATCATGATGGTCTTCACCATCGTGACGATTGTGTTCCTGCCGCTGTCGTTCATCACCTCGATCTTCACGATCAATCTGGTGGAGTTTGGCGGGGCTGGTGGCAGCGGCGGACAGTTACATCTCTCGTACGTGGCCAAGTATACCTTTGGCATCGGCTTTGCCATCTCCATCCCGTTGATTATCCTGGCGCTCTTGCTGGACGACATTGGGGATGCGTGCCAGGAGGGAATCCGGCGGTCCCGGCGGTGGATGGCGATGCAGAGGGGCGGACGTGGCCGGCTGCCTCGTGGGTCTGTGGCGGCCGGGATGCGTGTGTCCGAGGAGCAGGAGATCCGCACGACAAGCTACGAGTTTGATAAGATCTTGAGCGTGAACCGGTCGATGCGCCGGAGTCTAGAAACCGAGTTTGCGGGGAGTTTGCTGCCGGTTTCTACGGGGGGGACTTCGCGGCGGGGTTGATGTTGTTGTCGAGTATGATGATGACGATGATGATGAGGGTTATGATATGACACGAATGTATATGTACTTGTATGATCTGGAAAATGTGTTCTGCTTTCGGAGGAGGTGGGGCCAAAAGTACTTGCTTGTGGAGGAGATATGTGACGTTCTCCGAAGACTACCTATCTTCTTTTTGGACTGCTTTTCTGGTACTCAAGGAGTAGTAGTGTACTCCTCTAGAAAATCCACTACCGGCAACGAAGTTCTTCTGACTGGCTGTGACACTGGCTGATCTCGCTAACGTTCAACCCTATTGCAGATGGATGTTAACGTAGGCGGCGCAGTACTGAGGAGGAGGAGGATGAGCGTACTACAGCTACGCAATAAGTTCTGCTTGCTTGCGTAGTGGGTGGATGCTACCGTGTTAGTATTGTTCTTGAGAACCCCAAAGGTGCAGAAGCTCATGAGGCAGATCCGTTCCACGACATTCCCGATCTCAGTATGGATGAACCGCAAGAGATGATTCGAGAATGACCAGTCGAATGCGGTCTTAGGTCCAGACAAGGTGTCGAGTTACATATCACTGATGAGTGGGCTGGGGTTGCTGAGCAAGCACGCGTCACTCAGGGACTATCATGTACTGTAGATACGTATAGTGGATGGAGTTCGGAAGGAATGCGAGAAGAGAACCTGAAATAGCGCCGGCAAGCATGCGTGGGAGTTCCACACGGAAGTGAAATGACGCTATCAAGGATCTGGACATTAGTACAGCGAGATTGACAGTTTTTAAACTTATACTCACGGCCTTGCGAGGGTATCCGTCTTGCTCAGTGAAACACCCTCACAGGGTGAGTCGTGTTTATCTTGTGCTTCATTGTCCATGTCTGCCGGGTCAGGGATGCATTGACGGCATAGTAGATCCGTCCTGATCTATGCATGCACATACTACTCGTCGTTGCATTCCCTACTAGTTTAATAAAACGAGGTTATGTATAGTTTTATCCCCAAACCCACCATTCTTGCCACGCAACTCCACCCTCCCCCCCACTGAAGCACTCCTCAGAGATACACATACATCAATCCATAGAGACCCTACAGCTCCTTTTTCAGAAAATGCTCCGGCTTATGCGTCGTCTCATAGTCCACATGCACGTACGCGCGCTCCACATCCGGCAACGACTCCAGCTTCGTCTGCAACTCCTCGGCGACGTCGTGGGTGGCGCGCAGCGAGTCGTCGGGGTCCATGACGATGTCGACCTCGACGACGAGGCGGGGGCCAGAGGTGTAGGCGCGGACGGTGTCGATGGCGGTTATGAGGGGGGAGTGGGTCATTGCTTTGGGTCACCCCAATTTCCCTTTGTTAGCCACGACACGAGTTCGATACTTCCGCCAGAAAGCTGAAAGCTGAAAGACGAAAAAGGGATATAGCTTACAAATATACGTGATCAGCTGCTGCATCTTCGTGTCCGCCGTGACACCGATCAACAGCTGGAACTCATGGTAGGCGGTGTGCAGCCACAGAACAGACACCAGCACCGACAACACAATCGCGCCGGCGGGATCGATCCACCAGCGCAGCTTGCTGCCGCCCACCGAGGTCAGAATGCCAAACCCATTGATGAACAGATCGTTGCGGTGGTCCTCCCACAGAATCCGGACCTGCGAGTACTGGTTCTTCAGCGCGAAGCAGTAGACGAAGAGCGCGAATTTGGTGCAGAAGGCGACGACGACCGCCACGACCGAGGGCAGATGGAACGAGCCGGTCTCGGCCGCGGACCCCTCGACCAGCTCGCGCACGGAGAAGGCAATCAAGATGAAGGAGACGGCCGACATGAGGAAGCAGAAACAGATATTGCCGGCGGTCTCGATGCGCGCCTTGCCCGCGGGGAACTTGCGCGCGTCGACGCGGTTGACCGCCTTGTTGCTGAGCAGCAGCGTCAGGTTCGACATCGGGTCGAAGATCGCGTCGGCCATCGTCGTGAAGAGCGACAGGGAGGCCGACGAGATCGCCCCGTACAGCTGCAGCACGCACAGCAGGACGTTCGCCGCAAAGCTCCCGTACACCGCGATCTTGTACTTCAGCTGGTTGCTGCTGTTGGTCTCGCGCGCCGCCCGCACGTGCTCCTCCACCGGCTTCAGCATGCGCTCGATGTTCTCGTTTTGCGTCTGGTAGAACCCTTGCAGTTGCCGGGAGGCGAGGGTCTGGGTGAGCGTGCGATGGATGCCGCCGCCCCCGCCGCCGCCGCCGCTAAGGGAGGGGAGGCAGGTGCTGCTGCGTTTGGTGTGGGAATCGCGTTTGCGGGCCGTGTTGGCTTGCGGTTGGATCTGTTCAATCTCCTCGGGCGTTTTCAGCTTCGAGGCAAGCTGGAACGGGTCGTTCTCCAGGGTGTAGCGCGGCGGCGGCTGGCTTTCCTCGTCACAGCCGATGCTGATACGGCGGTGCGGCACGGCGGGCTCCAGTGCAGTGGTGGTGGCGGCATTGTAGGCGATAGTCACATCGTGAGGAAGATGCGAGTGGGGGGGTAGGTGGTTGAGAGGCACCGAGGTGCCGTGTCGGTTTGATTCCTCCATTATTGCCACAAGGGAGAGAGGGGGGTTGAGGAGATGAAGGTTATCAATCGGCTTCGATCTTCTTTATCTGACAAGGGAGGGGGGGGGCGGGCTTGCCTTTTTGGGTTAGCGCATGCAGACCCTGAGTCAGCTGTCAGGGGTCAGTCTCGGTTACGTGATCCTTAGCTGCAGTGAAGGAAGTATACAGACTATACAGACTGTGTATACAGACTCTTCTTGTACTATTCACACGTCTAGTCACGTCAATGTAACTCTGGATAGCTGAAAAACTTCATTTTACCCCATTAGAAACACAGAGCACTTTTTGGAAACCAAAATACTATGTGCAATCAGACAAGCCAGATGACAAGGAAGATATCAATTAAGTTCCCGAAGCAACAATTGAAGACATTTTTCAACGACCGTTCAAGGTCCATCCGATAAAGACAACTCCCCGTCAAAAAAAAACAAGCAAAGCAATCTGGAGGGGACATTACAAGCTGTAGCAACTAGCCACGACAACTCCGAGACCAACCTCACTCACTCATCTCCCATGGAGTTTTAGTACAGCGCAAAGCTAATTCTCAGTGGGAATGTAGCGAGTGGCAAAGTCACTGGGCAGTCCCGTCAGAGGACAAAAGGAGCGCACCAGCAACAAGCTCCGGACCAGGTCGTCCACATACGGACGGGGCACGTCGGCGGTCGTGGCCTCAAACTCGGCGGCTCCCATGCGCCAGGCGTTGACCTCCGCGACCAGCTTGCGGAGCTTTGCGCCGGGCTTGGTGATGGCGTAGACGAGATTGACGACATCCTTCTTGAAAGGGATGTGGTGAGCGATCAGCCAGCTGCGCAGGTACACCAGCAGGTCGGTCCGCAGCGCCTCGCACTGATACTGCTCGGCGAAGCGCCAGAGAAGAAAGACGGGCTTCGGGTCGGTCAGCTGGTACCCGTCAAACAGCGCGCGCTGGGCCAGCCACTTGATGAAGAAGCCGAACACGATGGGGTTCTCGTTGGGGAGGAGAATCACATTGGGGTTCTGCTGACTGACGCGGCAGCGCATCCAGGTCTGGTAGAGTTGCGGGCAGCGCGCGCGCACCATGTCGAGGTCCACGTAGTAGGCGGTGGCAGGCTGGCCGACGTGGAAGAGAGCATGGTTGGCACGGTTGGTATGTCCGGGCTGCGCGGTGAAGCGCGGTAGGTTGAATCTGGGATGGTGGACTCCGGGCTGGGTGATATTCGGCTGGCCGATACCAGGCTGAGTAGCCCCAGTCTTCACATTCCCCCCTGGCTGTCTTCCGGTACTCGCCTGACCGCTAGCCCCGGCCTTGTCCCCAGCGGGGTTCTTAACCCCAGGCTGAGCAGGCTGAGGAGGCTGCGCAGGCTTGCTATTCTCAGTCGTAGCGCTCGCCTCCGCACTCAGATTGATACGAGATCTTTTCGCGGGACGAATGCTGGTTGTTTTTAGCGACTATCCAGAGAGAGAAGTGTAGCCGGGACATAGAGACGAAACTAGGACGCAGACAAAACACGGCCAAAGACACAGGCACTTACGATTCAGGACTATTTGGCTGAGAGGCTTCGCTGCGAGGAGCGGGACTCACGCGCGGCTGGAGGGAAGCGCGGCTGGCCTGCGAAGGCTTCGGCGAAGGCTTCGGCGACGGCTGTGGTGTACTCATTCTGCTTGATGGTCAGCGGTATTACTGGACTGAAGTTGCAGATTGAGTAGTTGAGAGGGCTGTTCGACTTCAGTTACCCGTTCTATTGGGATAGGGATTTTTCCGAGGGTTCTCTGTGGTTTGAGTTGGATGGCTCAAGATGGCCTGTACTGATGCGACTGGCGCGTCGAGATATGAGTCTGGAAGGTAGATTAGACCTTGACTCAACGCGTTCATAGAGATATCTGACCTACACTTTCAAGACGAGACAAGTCAACAAGTAAAGAGTTGAAGTCCAACAGCCGGAAGGCAAGGAGGCAATCGAAGTGCACGAACCCGCTCAGGACGTGTTCAACAGACTCGAGATGTGCTCAACAAACCCTCGACGAGTGAAGCAAAAAACAAGAAGAGAAGAAGACGAGAGAGGAGGAAAGGAGGAAGCTTAAATAGCCCAGCAAGACAAGCAAGGTGAATTCCATCACTAATGCGGACCCTCCAGCGGACCATCACCGCATTCACAGAAACAGGCCCATGGGGGATCCGGAACACCTGGGGCCCAGGATGAGCTCGAGGGATGGTGTTGCGATTCACCTCGCATCGCTGAGAATTCTTGAAAGTACGACTAATTGCATCTATCTCCTCTCTTCCCGTGACTTGCTGGCAGTGAAGTGATTGGTTAGCGAGTTATTCTTGGTATGGATAGCAGACGTGAATATGCGGCTAGAACCTGGATGCTTGACTGCATACTGGGAACCCCCCAGGGTGACGATGTAATCCGGCAGGCCTACATGTGTTATTGCAGAGAGACTATCGGCGTAACGTTGCGGGATGTCTGTGTATCTCGGTAGTGGACGGCACTGTGGGGTGCGGCGTATATCCTACAGCACTCTCACTCTACACTACTCCAAGACTACATCAAGAGCCTCTTCAGAACCGGAAAGGATTTTAAGTACTAGTCTCAACAAAGAAGATCTAATCAGAATAGACAGGCAAACTAGTTGCTATCTACCTCTATCCTACCAAATGTATGCACCCGGTGTGCACAGTACAAGGCACACCCCCATCTCCTTCTAATTAGTTGGCGTAGTTGAGAAGGGCCTTGAAGACGCTGGCAATCCAGGTGAGCTGCTCCTCAGCAGTACCGTCGGTGGGCAGGGAGACGCTGGTGGCGCTGGAGCTGGCAACGGCGGCGGCAGTAGCAGTCTGCTTCACGCTGGTGGCCAGGGTGGTGGGGCCCGAGGAGGCAATGTTGTTGGCGGCCACGGGGGAGGTGACCGCGACGCTGGCAGCGCTGGTGGTCTCAGCGGCAGCGGTAGTCTCGGCAGCGCTGGAGGTGGAGCTGGAGGCGACAGCGCTGGTCACAGCAGCGGCAGCGGAGGAAGAAGAAGAAGAGGAAGAAGAGGAAGAAGAAGAAGAACCGCTCAGGGTGAAATCAACGCAGGACTCATAAGTCTGGTCAATGGAGCGGGCGTCCCACCACCACTGAAGAACACAAGCACCGGCCTCGTTACACTTGTCGCCGAGGTCCGTGGGCATGGTGACGTTGAAGCTGGTCTCGTTGGCGGTCACGCCGGTAGCAGTTGAAGCGTACACGCTCCAGTAGATCAGGGGCTGGCTGAGCAGGGTGTTGGTGGCAGTGTCGACAACGGAAACGTTGGCAGTACCGGTGTGAGGAGCGCGGATGTCGACCGTGAAGGGGATGACCTCTCCAGGCTTGTAGGACTGGACGTTGGCCGTGTTGTCGGCGTACTTGTAACCCTTGCAGAGCCAGATGTCGCAAGCCTCCGCATCGTAGTCGCTCTGGCCGCTGGCAATTTGCAATTCACCCTGAACGTTGCCGTAGTTGTCGGCCTCCTGGTTGTCGTACACCTGCTGACCGCAAGCCTTCTCCATGGCAGCACCGGGCATACGGGGCGAAGGGCTGGTGACGAAACCGTGACCGTGGACCATGGACACAAGTCCAGCGAGGGCGAGGATGGAGCCGGTTTGCTTCATTTTGGTTGATGTAGAGTGGTAGATGGAAAGAATGTAAGAGTGAAGGATCCGGGTATACCAGTATACCTGATGTAAAGAGTGGAAGGTTTAATGAATGAGGCGGTCACAGACCGGTAGGAGAAAAAAGAAGGTGGAAAGAGAAGGACGAATTCAACAGACAAGCCTGCGTGTAGAACAGAATGAATTTCTCGACGAGAAGCAGCGAGGTCCGCCATCCTATATACCAAGAGAACGGTGCCTGGACCAACTGGGGCAGCTTCATTCGGAGGTCGACCGTGAAACGGTTCTTGCATCTAGACAGAACCATCAAACCCTTAACGAATTAATCACAGGGTGCCTCTCCACCGGGACATGGCACGATAGATTGACAGGTCACTGATCGAGGCCAACCAGTGACCATAGACAGATGGACATGCAGCGGCCGCACGCACCAGACCGGTAAGGTCCCAAGCGCCGTGTGGTTTCACGTAGATGGGCATGAAACAACGGTGGAGCTGCGGTCTTAATTAGCAGAAAACTCGGGATGCTTGGCACAGTTGGGGTTTCACCTACATTAATTCCGCGCCTTGCCCAGCCAGACGCTGGATTTTTCTTTCCACACGCTCGCTTTTTCAACGGGTACTGCTAAATTTCCTGGCCCTGCTTTGCCTCCCTCCGTTGTCCAGCCAGGGATTCTGTCTCAGCCCGATGACGGCGGATGGCGCTCCCGGTTTGACCCAAGAACGCCGTTAGCAGAGAAGATCCACCAAGCATTTCAACCCCTGTTGGACCGAGGTTTGGGATGCAGCAGGTTCATCTATTCAGGACGAACATTGCAATATCCGAGCCAGCTTTCACTCCATGGCGGCTGCTCCAGGGTTGCTGGAGATATACGACCCACAAATGCACCAATAGGAAAAAAGTAGGAACCGATAAGAATACCGTAGTAAGCTCAATCAAAACACTGCTCCGCTGAGAGGTATCATATCGAGGTATCGCTACATCTTTTAAAGCATACAGAGACAGAAAGGAACGGAAAGAATTATGAATGCTGTCGTTGCGCCTGTGTCCACCAGTCACTGCTCGGCCCGTCTGCCCTCGGCTCGCCGTACGTCGAAGGGCCGGCAGTGCTTGTGTCATGGCGATCTGCAAACGGATTTTGTTCCTCGTAACCGCCCGATTGCTGCTCGTTCCAGCCGTCATTGTTGTTGTTACTGTATGCCCCCGAGGGACCCGGCCTCACCGGTGCCGAAGCGGATGATGGGAACCCAGTACGTTGTGGCTCCCGAGGTGGTAGTGAAGGTGCTGCGTGCGATTGCACAGCGCCTGAGGCTGCAGGCTCGTTGTTGGACGATGTTGCTGGAGACTGGCTACCGCTTTGGCCTAGGGTTCTACGCGCCCGAAGGAGGGCATGCTGATGATTCGACAGCGCCACAGTGATTTCGTCATTGGTTTGAATGAGCGTCAACAAAGTATCCTCATCGGGAGCCGGATTTGTCGCATTAATATAGTTCTGGATCACACCAGACGCAGTGCGACATCGGTCGGAGAATTCGCGGATGAGCTCGTTCTCGAGTAACTCCGTGACCGGGGTGGATTGGACGAACTGCGTGAGCAAGTTCGCCGAGGTCTTCGCCTCGGAGATACGCTCAGCAAGCTCTTCGGGCTGTGGTAGAGTGTTCTGATTTCCCAAGGGAGAAGAATACAGCAGAGGCGCCCGCACTTGCGAAGAACTCCGGCTGGACTAATGCGATCCGATCATCAGCACTGCGCAAGCAACAACAGATGGCTTACTCACACGTAACCCGTTAGGCCGACCACCATTGCTCTTTTCCTTCTCCGTGTTCCACATTTCCAGGAGAAGCCTGAGATCCTCATCCCCCGCTCGCTGCACCTCCAAGCCATCCAGGGTGTCCCTCAAGAAGCTGTGGACGCGGTGATCCCTCCCCTGTCGGTACAGGTCCTTCACTGTCGCGACAAACTTGGCATCGAGGTTGCGCGAAAATACATGACCGGGATGGTCGGCAAGGATACGGATGAGCATGATCGCATTGTACTGTACATGCGTAGGGTGCTTCGACGGCTCCGAGAGGATCTTGCGGATGAACACGGCGGCTTCGCGGGCTGCGTTGGGGCTGGACTCGGCATTTTCGACAATGCCCGGCAGATGAACGTACTCGTTCCCCTGGACACATGGCATGGCATGAGTTTCAGTCGCAGGTGAGGAATGCGAAAGTTGCGGAGTGGCCATCGAGAGACGGGAGTAAAGGGGGGGGGGGGAAACGTACAGAACTGTTCGCACCCTCTTCGCAGAATGCGCGCTGATGAACAAGGCATTATGATTAGTTTTGACGCGACACGAAAGAACCACGGTGGAAGGAACAAACAATCTCTCGAAGAAGGATGCCCTCCGGCGAGTCATCAGGATAAGCTGGTGGAGGACTGGAGCGCGTCGGACCTGTCAGACGGCGTGGCAGTGAGTATTGGTTGGCATGATTCGCGATCGCAGAACACTCCTACTCACTAGTCCGCTTGCTGAACGAGTTGAAGATGCGCTTCATGCTCGGCATTTAGGCTTGAAGGGTATAATAAAAATGATAATTATTCAAAGTAGAAGAATAGCATGGATAGGCAAGAACAAATAGCAGAGACAAACAAAGAAAGGGGGGAGATTAAGAAGAAAGAAAAAGTCGCCTTGTAGATTAGCTGGTAGTAGTAGGTAAGTTTTAAGTACACGACTAGTTGGGGAGTAGCCACCCGTCGGAAAAAAGAGCAAAGCACTTCGTATCAACAACCATCCATGCCTGTTTACTTTCCCAGCAATCCTTCGAAACGTTTCTTGTTTGACAATATAGGATGATGGGATGCATATGCCAATCTACAGCGGCATGAACGCTTAATCGGCGACACGCAAGCTTGCTTTAGTCTGGGCAAGTTGAATCGAAAGCTGGAGAAGCGGATATATCTTTACATGGTCGGCAAATAGTGGTGCCTGTTTGCGACCACAGACGATAATGCACCCTGAATTTCAGCCAGCGCGACCAACTAGACATAACTACGTATGCAAGCCTAGACCCCTCGCTATGCTCTGCGTCCTGTCGTCATGGAGGGGCATGCAACGTCCGAATTGTCGGCTGATCGCATTGGGCTGAGACGTTGAGCAGTCACTGGCATTGGTCGGGGAACACAGCCACGCTTGGCTGGTCAGCCAGGCATCAAACGGTCTTTGGAAGTTTGCGAGGCGCTGGGGATCATGGATAGGGGATCTACAGTGTAGGCATCGTCTGTAGATCGAAGGGTCCTGTGGCGCACTGATAGCCTGTTTCGACGTCGTCCCACTCCATACGATTACGTAGAAACTCAGTAAAACACATCCGACTTTTACTTCATGAAACAATTAAATTCCGTGACCCATTCATGAAAACCAGCGCTCAAAGTGTTCTGAATTATGAGAATGTCCGAACTCAGCCGTGTCAACCCAAGCCACCCATTCCTATGGTATCAAAGGTTGATCTCCAACCCGGGCTCTACCGCCACCAGCCAAGGGATAAGACAAGACTGTCGGAACAGAATGAAATCCTAGGGAATAGAACCGATGGGAGGTGGATGGAGATCTCCGCCGTCTCAGATGTGACACTGGCAGATGGTCTCGCCCGGTGGTTTCGAATTTTTTCCATTTGTCAAAAAAGTAATAATTTCTTTTGTATTCCTTCCGTGACCAGGTATAGGTTTCCGTACAACAGCGAAACTCCGGCATTCCCATTCAGATTCTGACCACTTCACTTCCCCCGACACCCATAAACCGCTTATGCCTCAATGAGAGCACGGCGGATCTGAGCGCCACGCTGTCTAGAGCTGAGGTGAACCTCGCGCTGGGCAACGGGACCCTTCTGAACGACCTCCTCACCCTCAGTAAGGATAAGCTCGATGTGGCAGGGGTTGGTCATGTAAGGGTTGATCTATTCGAGAGCATGTCAGTCACTGGTGACCGCGGGGAGGGAACAAATGCGAGGTTTCAACATACACGACCGTGAGCACGGTAGGTACGTCTGCGGCCCTTGGGAGCCTGGTTGACCTGGATGTGCTTGACAACGAGGTTGCCGGTGTCGAGACCCTTGGTATCGGCGTTGGCCTCAGCGTTCTTCAGAAGGTCGATGAGGAACTCGGCGGACTTGACGGGCCAGCGAGCCTTGCTGACACCCCACTGCTTGCCTGTAGAATGAAGACTGTCAGCGGTCTTCATTGCAATCCTACTGCCAATGTCGATGTTTCGATTCCCATTCATGGTTCACACATATGCCCTTCGCTTTCACGGCCATGACTAGATTCCGCCTTCCCTCTATTCCGTTGCGTCCAATCCCGGAATTCATCGATTCATCGCATGCAGTGAATTTGGAGTGGGCACTCACCCTGAGCGCAGCGGCCGGTGCTGCCAGCGTACCGGCGCATAGGGACGGCCTCAGCCTTCTCGGTAACGTTGGTGAGGAAGGTAAGGGCGCGCTGCAGCTTCATGCCGTTGATGGCCTGAGCGGTCTCACGGGTGTTCTTGAAGCTGACACGGAGGTAAGAGCCGCGAGCGCGGGCGCTCTTAGCGGCCGGGATATCCTGAGCAGCGTAACGGACCTGATGGCGACGGAAAAAACCCAACATCAGCAAAAGCCCTCGACATATCAAAATTCCTTCAACAAATCATCTGTGTTCCTCCGGAGCAGCATTCGTAGCGGAAATGGTGGGGATGGTCCATTTTGGTGAATGGTGATAGTAAAGATCGTGAAAATTCGATGTAGGCCTTCATTCGGCGGGCGTCGTAGGAGCACGAAATCGAAGATTTCCGGTACAACGGGGAGTTGAACATCATGGAGACCGTAATTCTCGTGATAAATAAAATCCTCTGCTCCAATTCCACCAACAGCAAAAAACGCGAATGTAGCACTCACCATCTTGATGTGGTTGCCGAGCGGGTGGTCCTTCGATGTCGGGTGAGAAGTTTTGTCGCTTTTCTGTCGTCGGCCGCTCAAACTTGAGATCGCGAGGCTCGCTCGTTGTGGTGCGCTTTTTCGCGCTTGGCATCCGTCTAGGGTATGTTAGCCCTAGCACTAGTGTGCTTCTGGTAGGTCTCCCTCTCACCGCCCGGCAGTAATCCGCCCTAGAGCGGGAAGGCAAGGGTCGGGCCCGAGCGGACAACCACCACTACTTTCTTCGATCTACTTCACTCTAGGACGAGGTCACTCTGAGGATCACTTCTATCTTATGGTCGCACGATTGTCGCGCCGTTGTTGTTTCTAAACTCGCAATACTCTAGAGCGCACACTCGACTGATTCCGAGACATCCCGGCTTCTATTTCAAACCACCTGCGATCAGCAAGCTCTGCCCCGTCATGTAACCCGTCGTCACAAGCATCGTCACCACATTCGCAACCTCCTCTGGAGTGCCGACACGCCTGAGGGGAATACTTGCGGCAATTTCAGGCACCGACTCAGCGTTGGGGACCATCCCTGTATCACCGATAATAGCAGGCGCTACGTCATTCACACTGATGTTGAACTCAGCCAGTCGGGTGGAGAGATTCCGCATCATACCGGTCATGCCGGCCTTTGAGGCGGCATAATCTGTGATTGAAGGTCAAAATTTGTAGGTTTTCGGGCATTGTGCGAGACATAGACAGTATAACATACGGCAACCATTGATACCTCCTCCGTAGCCGGCAATTGAGGACATAAATACGATTCGGCCCCATCGCTGATTCTTCATATGCTCGACGACTCCCTTCGACAGGATAAAGGAAGCCCTAAGGTTGACATTCAACGTGTAGTCGAATTCCTCAAGCGTGATATCCCAGATTTGTGGGAAGCGCTTGCCGTGGCCGGCATTTGAGACGAGGATATCAGGGCGTTGACCATGTTGCTCATCGATTTGCACAAACATGGCCTCGATTTGTTCAGCAGATCCAACATCGACCTGGTGAATGGTGATACGCAGCGTAGGATATTTTGATGCTAGGTCATCCTTGAGAGATGTGATTGCAGCCAAATTAGATGAGTACGTCAAAGCCAGATGGACTTCGCGCTCGGCCAGCTGGCGCGCACAAGCTGCACCAATCCTATATCACCACATTGCGGTCAGCACGGAGCCTGAACTTATCGATTGGTTTCTTAGTCCGTACCCTCCGGAAGCACCGGTGATTAGTGCAAGTCGACCGCGGATGTCATTCAGCGAAGACATGGCTCCGCTAGATAGAATAGGTCTGAGTAAGGCAATGTTTGATTAGAGCGTTCAAGACAATTCTGCTGAGTAGAGAGTCAGGAAATAAGACGACAACTGCGCGAGAGAATCAGAGACGGGGTAGAGAAAGGAGCAAAGCATTGGCCCCGGTTATCTCATTAGCCATTCTACCCTCAGGTCGGCGCGAATTCCGACTGAAGACTGTACCCCCCACGACCCCGCATCGGCAGTGGGGGTGGAGGACACAAGCGCGGCGGGCGGTTGTTGGTTGGTACAGCCCGTACAAGCCAATACGGAAATATATCCCCACTGAGTGTCGCCAGACGAGAATGTCCCATTCGAAGTTGCAACCTTCCAGTTGGTTATTATTACCGGTCACTAAGCAACTCTCGACTCCTTCAGAAAAAAAGGTTACTGTTCATGTCCCCGGACCACGTGGGCACTTGCCAACTCTGAGGCCGATCTTGCCCAGCAGAATATAGGTCTGGATTTTGGAATGTGTCCAGTGCGAGTGAGTTCGTTCCTGACATCTGGTCGCCAGAGACGTAATCACCAACAGCCTCGAGATCGAGCCATGAGAAATCATTTGCAGGGCTAAAATGCACATGAGGATCGGATGTCTGGTGCGGTAACGTGCTGCTATCGTGATGCATTGGCATCCCGCTTTCTTGGTGAGTACCCGCCGACGAAGCGGCTGGCATCGATTTCTGTTGCCATAAGAGCTCGAGTAACCGCGAATACCGTGACCCAATGTCATCAGGCCCAGCACTAGCTCGCCTAAGGACTTGAGTAGTTTTCGTGACCAGATCTCGCACCCTCATCTCCTCGGAGAACATTATGACGCCGAAGGAGCGGGCCTAGTGGCAGTCAGCGTCGAATCGAGATAGCATAAGTCCATTTTAAATCTCCCATACCTTGTACAAGAAGACCGCGGAATAAATCCCGTATAGATAGAACCGGAGCGGCATGAAATGAAGATGTTTCTCCGGGTCAACGACATCTACAAGTATGGTTAGGTAAGCTTTAGCAGCATCCACCGACTCGTAGATGAAGCGAGCATCCTGCATCGATGCCACGTTGTTGAAAGTTGCCCGCAAATACTCTCTTTGGCACTGATCATCATTCTTCATCTTAGAGACTAAGGACTGCGATATTGCTGCCTGGAAGGCGAACGCATTGGTGTAAAGTCTCAGGTATTCGTAAGAAAGCTGTAAAGTGACCTTCATGGGTGTAGAGCCTGTCACCAATCAGTGAAGAGGCTCGGCAGCAGAGAATCTTGACTTACACGATAAAGAGCCCCATAGAGATTTCCAGCGCAGAATTGCCAGTCGAAAGTCGTCGACGTATTTGACATAGTCGCCCATAAGCATCATTTGGTTGCTCGCCCGCATTCCGGAATAGAGCACATCGTGTACGTTATTATACAGCTGAGTCAGGTCCAGCGTAGCTTGGAAGATTCTCGCATAGTCCTCTTCGCCCTCGTTGATCGGTTGAAGCGATGGGAAGTCCTGGCTTACGAGACCAGTCATTGGTCCCGGTCCCCGAGACCAGAAGGCTCGCCCAATGCGGACGGAAATCAAACGATCTGACACATAGCAGCTCGTCCAGGCTAGTCGTCTTCGAGCCTCCGTCTCCGTATCTCCGGACGAGTCACCTCGAAATGATGTTCTGTCCAGCCCGAGGAAGTAGCCAGAGCGCAGAGCGAGGCCAACGTGCATCCAGGCAGCCCGATCTTCCTCTCCCCGACCGACTTTCTCTATACGGGGTCGGAGGCCTTGAGGCTCCCATTCCGCTAGGAGGAGGAGAGCTTCTACAGCCTCAACATCGCAGTCGGCGCCGGCAGCGATTCCGGAAATCAACTCGTGCATGTACTTGGAACAGTACTCATGGATCTCTGGCCGTTCCACTAGGTCTTTGGAGGCAATGGTCAGCACAGCAGTGAGAAGATGCTTCTCATTACTAGCGAAGGTATCAAGCGCGCTACGCTCAAAGTACTTCCGTGGCACCAACGGGAGGTACGGGTGGAAGTGCTCGGCGTACCGAACCACTAGCTGCCACACAGTCCCGGTATCCAGAGATCGAGATTGCACTAGTCGATATGCTTTGATGCCACTGTTTGGCGGGAAGTCGGTCACGGAGCCATTTCGTAGGGCACTGAGTCCCGTGAAGCTATTTGAGCTTACATGGAGAGGTTCGGCTTCAACGCCCGGGCTAGGGCCATCTGCACCTCGCTTCGCAATGCCAGTCAAACACTGCCAGGCATCGGAGGGGTTCCGGGGAACAGAGCCGATGGAAGCCGTGTCTTCGTCTTCCACGGACAACGAAGGTGCGGTGGGTGGATCTGGTGCAACGAATACAACGGGGCCGGGGTACGAGCTCGAGGCCGTTGTCTGGTGGTTCTCCGAGTTTGTTGGACTTGCCGGTTCTATGATTGAGTCTCTCCGCCCCGACGCTATACTGTCCGGGGTGAAATTCTGCATCTTGTTTTTGCGTATGCGGCGTCCTCCTCGGTTGGAGCTACCGAGGACGCATTCACGATTATCCCAAATGCAGCGTTGGCATGGTGGCACACCAGGACTACCACTGCTGTCTCTAATCGTCAAAAAGATTAGCCATGCATCCGAGACAGCTTCCATGCACACGAGACTATGAAACGAGGAGAGACCGGAGTAGGCAAAACAAGTAAAGAAGCCACATTGAAGAAAGAATTCAACGCAGTCTGAAGCGCCTTGGTGGTCGGACGGTGACATACAGATCACATTTTGATTTACGCTGCCTGCAATGCAGGCAAGCTCTTGAGACGCGTTTCATGAGTTGATCGGAACGGGCCTTGGCTCTCGACCCTGGGGTTCCCGCGGCCGGGGATGATCGTTCGTCTTGCTCCATGGGGGACTGCGATGCGGAGTGCAAGTATTACTACTTGAATTATTCGCTTGATATGGTGATATCTCAAAGTAGCATGCTCATCCTAGCAGTATTGCGCAAACCAGCTTGACCGAGCCACGCGTCTTGATCTCGGTCGGAGACACCATGCAGGTAATGTGTCAATGTGTGAGAGATGGCAATTGACAGGAGATTGAAGAAATGATCGCGCTTGTTTGGAATGAAAGGAGAGAGACAAGGATATTGCTGTCACTCTGCACTGGGCGAGGAAAGGTGGTGAGCATCCAGCAGCTCCGGCGTGCTTGCAGCAGTATTATCAATTGTTGGGGATCTGATTCGGCCTGCGCTCGTGCTTTCCCCACACTTAAGGTAGTTAGCATAAGTAAACCTAGCCAGTCAACCAGCAGCTGGGCAAGTCGCATACGCTTCGTAAGTCAACCACTCATCACCTGGTATATTTTGATGGTCAAACCATATATGCTGGATCCCAAACAGTTTGTGGGCGTTTTCAATGATGAACAGGAAGTGGAAGATCAAGGCAAGGTGATTTTCCAGTAGCCAGACTTCCTCGCGAGACGGCAACAGCAATATTACCCGATCCGTACACACCATACGGTACCATAGATTCTGGCCCAACAGCGGATTGAAGTAAAGCAGAACTCAGAAGAATTAAGGTTTGCTTTGAAGCCACGCAGTCGAAATTTACTGTCACCTGGCTGAGCGGCATGAAGGGTGGGTGGTCATCTTGCGTGGCGATAATGTACTGAGTGTCCCGAGTCGATACTATATACTTCGGGATCAAGTGCAGGGGTTAAACCTCATAGGACTTTAGTGATAGGCCGCAAGCATGCTACGAACGAGATCAACAAAAGACAATCAGGTAATCGCCTAGAGCCTCAAAGCTCACCAGGACCTGTATTGTGTCATTTGTAATTAGCAATGTCGGCTGTTTGAGCCGGGAATAATTGCCTGTTGATTGAAGATGATTCTATTCATGCATGTATTGACATCGATACACAAGAGACTCGGGTGACTCCTGGAGGGAAGTTTCAATAGCCGAATGCGGGGGCCACGGCTTCTGAATTTACCCGATCAGAATCTGCCCCCGCACGGAAAGACATACAAGATGAGGTGAGATGGAAATGCTGTAGCAGGCCTACTCAACTACATGGTGTCTCCCGCACGAATCTCAGGTTTCAAGCTATCCTTACTGCCGGTATGCTGCTCCATCACTGTTGTGTGGCCTTGGACGGTTACCGCAAGTCACTGGGAATGACTGCTCCCTTGCAAAGCACCTCCCCAAAGTAAGCAAGCTATGCGAAGAGCCCGCCTCTAGGTCAAATCACCCATTCTTGACTCAAGGACATATTGATCATGGGTACCAAGGTATCGTTTTGACCTCTGCTTGAGATACCTGGGCTTAGAGGTAGTGATGTGATCAAGCTGACCAGAGAAGGCCATGTGCAAATATCTTTCAGCTGACCTGGTCATCTTTTCAAGGCCTCCAAAGGAGATTAACCCTGCTTCCACACTGATAGCAGAAGGATGCTAAGATGTCAGGTCATATCTGCCTTAGCTCGTCATACCACACTGACAGTCGCTTAGGATTTATTAAGTGCGTCTCAGGTCCGTAGGCTTAGCTTCCAGTTTAGGCGCTGGAAGCATGGCATAAGAAGCTAACGAGCTACTACCTGTCATCGAAGCGAAGCACCGAACTCCCATGTGGCTTCCGAGTTCAAACCTGACCCTAAAGAACTGCTGAAATAGATTGGCTCTGCGGTGGGACACGATCTTGAGCCATGGGTGCACCCATATCCACTTTTTTGTCAGGGATTTTTTTTTAGTCTTCGCTTTTCTGGTTTTTCCGAATCTATTTTTTTTTTTTTTTTTGGGAGGAAGCGCACCAAGGAACAAAAAGTCAAGGACGAAGATCCGAACCGCAGGAAGACTGTTCCGAGATAGCCAGAGGTCGAAGTCTCCGAGCAAATGGAAATGGCAGAGAAATAATATGAAAAATAGATTAAACAGGGCGGGACTAGCCTCGGACCCGTCACCGCCATGTGTCTCCGCCCAATTTCCCTGGAGTCTCTCTTCTTCTTCCCTCCACTTCCCCTTCAACCATTACTCAATCAGTTCCTCCCTTTTAAATGGAAGATTCCTGCCAGCCTATTCAGATATCAGGCTTGTTTCACTCCAAGAAACACATTCTCTGCTGTTATGCACAATAACTTTTAGTCAGTGGCTGAAATGCACACTGCCAATAGGAATCGCAGTGGGTCGCCAAACCTCACCCTGGCCAATATGGAGCAAGCGTTTCACCTTGAACTGCAGCACTTGAAACATGCAAAGACGTCGCGATAAACCAATACGAACCTCCCAGTTCTGATATCCTCAACCTCACGGTGCACCACTTCAGACCTGTGGGAGCTGTTGAGATGCAATTCTCTGTCAGGGGCTGGCTGTTCAGTGGCCAGCGATGCGCCTCGGTCGGACGGTCCCTGCTGCAATCCTGCAGCTTGCCCCGTCTCCGCGGCTCCTGCTAGGAGCCAAGAGCGCCTAACTCCCGGCCAAGACTGGAGACCTGTCCATCTCTATCAGAAACGACGATGCCATCGTCGGGCCCTCGGTGCGCTCCAGAGCTCTTTCAACGGTTCGAGGCCGAGCGCAGACGTTTGTCTTGGCGCCCAATATGAACCCCTCCTCAGGAGGACCACGCCACTGTTATCTGCTAAACGGGTTTGTGGCCCTGGCCATTGGTCTTCGTTCGTCTGTAGCTCAATGGCAAGCTCTGGTCCGTCTGCCTGAAGCGGCACCTCTCTTTCGCTTAAAGGGTATGTATCTGCGCCGTGGATCTCCGAATGTAGAAGGGATTTTTTCTCCGTCTCCGACCTTTTCGTCTTCTTCGAACCCTCTTCTTCACTCTTCTCTATTCCCCCCGTGCTTTTCTGGCCTGGTTTGTCATATTCCTTCTCGGTTTCCTTCTCTAGCCAGCTGGCTGGTCGTCCTTCTTTCACCGAGCGGCCCATCCATTCGTTCATTGTTCATTGTTTCAAACATTCGACTATTGTGCCTTGAGTTGAAACGGACAAGCTTTCCCTGCCTCTTTTGGGGTTTGCCGATCATTGCCTGCAGTCAGACGTCATTTATCATGAAATAGGCGGAGTTGGTCCTCTTTACAACAATAGACACTCTCGTTGCTTTGTGTTACTTTCTCTCTTACCGGCAACTTTCGCTTCTAGCCGCTGAACTATTCACGACGCTGTGCGTCTTCCTTCCCCTTGCTGGAATACTTCTATATCATGCACGTAGGCAATCAAAGGTGAGTATATCTGAAGGCTGACTCGCCCCTCGTGACGCTGGTCATCACTCTAAGACTATATCTTGGTAGACCCTAAACGTCAACTTCGCTATCCTTTCTTGGTGTCTCCAGCATTCTTCGGCTCCTCTGAGGACATCACCTGTGACAACATCTTGGTCATTTGCGCATCCCTTGAAAAACGTCATCATCAGAACTGCCTGTTAAAACAGCCTGACAGACGACTTCAGTCTATTCAGATTCAAACGTTATCCTCCTGTGTCAAACCGAACCTTACAGCTATCCGCTACACCTTTGATACTGTCGTTCCCGCCAGACTTTTGTTTGTTGGAGATTCATTGGAACTCCCTTGCTCTACCCCACATTCTTGTCGTTCCCCTGGCATTAGGCTCTCTGCAACACAGCAGTCATTGGCCTGTTTCAAGAGGGTCGTGCGCTATTATTAGGAAGCCCGCTGGTTTCACTCCACACGACCTGGTTGCTTCTTTCCATCGTCTCCTGTCGCCGTACGAAGTATCTACAACGTGCTGCGCAAGCCAACGCGAGATCTAATGGATAGTGTACGGCAGCACATAGCCTCTCGAGGCTATGGCGTCAATGCCACCTACATCTACGAATATTCAAGGGGGTTGAATGGTGTCGACGTACCGCGAGATCATTTGTTTACACAGATCATCTACGCGTCGTTGACCATGCTTGCATTCGTCGTGTTTTGCGGACGAATCGCTCAGATCAGCCATGCTTACCTTCGCCATATCACCTCTCTGACGGCAGGCAGACGAGAACAAACCTTCTGGAGTGTCGAGGTATCATCTGCCTGGGCGAACATCAAGAAGCATATCCTGTATGCACCCCTGGGAAGCAAGAGACACAACCGGGAAATCCAGATCTCGTCGGCTCTCAACGTGGGCACAGTGCCTTCCAGATTCCAAACCATTTTCGTTGGTCTGTATCTCGCAAGTCAGATTGCCTATTGTGTGATTCTCGACTACAGGGTGAACGTCAAGGCAGCCCTTGTCGCTGAACTTCGTGGTCGTTCCGGGACGCTGGCCGTTTTCAACATGGTCCCTCTTTTCCTCCTCGCTGCCCGCAACAACCCGCTCATTCCCCTGTTGCACATCAGCTTCGATACCTACAATCTGCTTCACCGGTGGCTTGGCAGAATCGTGGTCATTGAGAGCATTGTCCATACGACCGCTTGGGCGGTCAATGCATGCGACGAAGTCAGTTTCACTGACATGCTTGCACGTCTACGTGATACTCCCTTCTTCTCCTGGGGCTTGGTTGGGACTGTCGCCATGGTAGTCTTGGGCCTTCACTCTCCGTCTCCCATTCGGCACGCTTTCTATGAAACATTCCTGCATATCCACCAACTGTGTGCTCTCCTTGCATACATTGGTGTCATCATGCACTTGGATCTTGACAACCTTCCCCAGAAGCCCTGGCTCATTGCGGTTGGGTTCATGTGGCTATTGGAGCGACTGGCTCGCCTTGGCCGCATTGCGTACCTGAACATCTCTCCCAGCAAGGGTTCTACGACTCTGACCATTGAGGCTCTCCCGGGCGAGGCCTGCCGAGTGACCTTCCAACTCCCCAAGCGCGTTCATGTCGGCGCAGGTAGCCATGTGTATGCCTACATTCCCAGCGTTGCACTCTGGATGTCGCATCCATTCTCTGTAGCCTGGGTTGAGCCCAGCGAGTCAGTGACATCCCCCGCAACCACCGGAAGGATGTCCGACCTCGAGAAGCAGCCTGTCTCGGACCTGGACAAGTACATGAAGGCCCACCAGCAACCGACCTCGGTGTCGCTCATCGTGGGTGCTCGTCAAGGTATGACGCGTAAGCTATACAACAAAGCGCTGGCTGCGCCCAGTCAAACGCTTCGCACGTCAGGCTTCATCGAAGGACCATATGCGTCTCATGCATGCAACCTGGCCAGCTACGGCACTGCGGTGCTCTTCTCCGCCGGTGCTGGCATCACACATCACATGCTCTCCGTCCGGGATCTGATCATTCGCTCCACCGAAGGACGTGCTGCGACTCAAAAAATCTACCTCATCTGGTCTGTCCGCAGCACAGAACATCTTGCCTGGGTGCGAGAATGGATGGATCAAATCCTTCGGTTGCCTGGTCGCCGGGACATCCTGATAATCAAGCTTTTCGTCTCGAAGCCCAAGTCCAGTCGGGAGATTGTCTCGCCCAGTGCCACAGTGCAGATGTTTCCTGGCCGGTGCAAGGCTGACGTTGTCCTCGACGAGGTCATCCCTGAGCGTATCGGCGCGACGGTCGTCTCCGTGTGTGGCCCTGGCGCGTTCGCCGATGAAGTCCGTGCAGCTGCACGATCTCGGATCGGCAAGGGCGCTGTGGTCGATTTCGTCGAGGAAGCCTTTACGTGGTAACCTGATCACCCCCCAAAATTGTATCAAGTTGCTTTCTGCTTGTGAATGCTATTGTGCTTGAAGCCTTACCTTATTTTTCTTCTTTTCATTCTTTGTTCTTTTTGACGGCTGACCGTCCTCCCGCCCTAATATTCTTGTGAAAACTTCTATTGTCATTTTTTCTTCCCTTCTATCCTCTCACTCAATTTCTTTATCCTCTCCTTTCTCTGAGATATATATATACAAAGCATTGTCCATTCTTACAACCCTGACACATCGTGCCAGCAGCAGCAGCAGCGAGAAAAACCATTACCCTGGATCTAACCCCGCATCATCATCGACTTTGTATCTTCTTGTTCCTGCAACTCCAGCCTTTTTGCCTCCAGTTTAATCCCTGTCCTGAGATGAATAACGACACGCCCCAGCCACCAGCGTTCTCTATGTTTAGCCACTGCAGTCTGCACAGTGCACCCCACCCCTATCTTTTGATCGGTGCGTCAATCTAGGATTCTGTACTATACAGCCACTAGACTAGCTCGCAAAACCTAACTTATCCTCCACTTGCACAGCTAAAAGAAACAGTATTTAAATTAGGAAATCCCGAATTTTTCTTAGTAGCATGACTCCAAACCTTCCTGGGCCCCACCCACTGGCCGGGACAAATTAATCTATCTTTTATATGTCAACATTTCAGTACGTAGAAGAAACATGTCCCGAGCCCTAGACTAAAACCGGACCGACAGATTAGAGACATAAGTTAGCAGCCAAGCAGGCAGCCCCACCAACCCCTGAGCAAGCTAATTTTATGACAAGCTAGTCAGTTAGCTTTACGAGTTCAGCGTTCGTTTTTAGTGTAGTACTCCGTACAACTTACACAGTAGACACTTTACCTACGAGTCAGTCTCCTGAGCCCTGAGTCCTGATGACTACAAACTAGTAGATTTTTAGGAGGCACTAACTACCCTACTGTATGTACTGAAAGCGAGTCTGCAGATTCCTCACGGAAGGGAACGCTCTCATAGCCTGCAGATCAACGTAACGTAGCCAATGAGTCCGTCCCCTTGCCTAAAACTGCTTTACTGTGTGTGGTGTGCGGTGTGTAGTGCTCTGCATCACTCGTCTCTCTCACCCCTTCTGTTCCTGTCACTGTTTGGACTCTCTTCTACCGGGGCAGTGACTGTCGCGCTCGTTCTGGTTTTCATCTCCACTTTCGCTCTCGGGTTGCCGGTGTGGAATTCGGTACAGGACAGTAACCTTCTTTTCTCGCCCAGGTTACCCGTCATTATTACTAGCGAGTGAATCAGTAGCTCTCTCCTCCCTATTCAAACCCAGCCCGCACCTGGGTACTTCGAGGAACGAGGAGGGGCGGGAGAAGGGCTGACATGTGTAAGTGTGTGTGTATGTGTGTGTGAGGATTTCTGTCGGTGTTGAATCCTACGTGCTGCAGTTTTTTAAGAGAGTAAGAAAGAGCATAGTCGGCTGACTGCAGTATCAGTGTCTATCGGTATGGTCTCGTACGTGCTCCAGGATATCAAGATTGTGAGGGTATGTTTGGCTATCGTGTAGCAGTATAGCATTCGACAGTTTGATAGAGAAATCAGGATGGCTTGTGACTTGTACGATTGACCTATTGAGATAAAACAGATGTTTCTAGAAAACCCCGTATGGTCTTTTTTATTCTAACGACATTTGATGTGTTTCTGACAGTTCTTGGAAATGTCCGATGTATGGTATGTATTGTATATTCGTGGACGGACACAAGGACGGTGAAAGATGAGAGGAGTTGGTGAGGGTAAGATGGCGAAGAGCCTTAGAGAAGTAAATAGGTATCAGACCCAGAAAGACATGCAAAGACCCTATCGTAAGGTATACGCTTGAGCATAGTCAGGAAGGAACGACCAAAGTAAAGAAGAATAAGAAGAAGAAGAGAATTCTAAATGTTTAAAACCAAAGTCCCTAGGATGTTGCCAACAGAGACAATATGTAAAATGTGAACAGAGTGTACAAACAGCTGAACAAAAACACTTATACACAATCAGCCCTCTCAGGAAGAAGCCTTGGTCTTCTTGGCCTTCGGGACACGGGCAAGCCAGTAGATGCCCACCGCAGCAAAGATGTTGAACACGATGTACACCCACATAAGACCGAAATTGCGCCACGCGTCCGAGTAGTGGCTACTGACCGCAGCCAGGAACGTGTCCGTGTCGCTGATGGTGCAGAAGGCGCAATCGCTGGTGGCATCAGGGTTCTCAAGATAGCCGCCTGAAAGTTTGATGTAGCTGCTCATATAGCTCTCGCAAGTGCTGTTGGAAGGAGGATTGAAGCGGAGATACTCCGAAGAGTCACAGACAGCCGTGGTACCCGAGACACCAGTCGACAACATGGCAGACACTAGATACGTGAACGGCGAGACCCGATACATGAAGATCCAAAATCCGGGAAGCTGCTGAGGAGTTGCAAGAACACCACAGAAGACCAAGCACAGAGAGAAGAGGAGGTTGGCAAGGTTACCACCAGTCTCCGCAAGCTCGATACCCGCAATGATCATGTGCGCGAAGGTCGAAGTAAAGAGAAGGAAGGACAGAATAAGCAGCCACATCAATGCTCCACGCTCGTGAACGGCATCAGTCGGTTCTGCGTTCTGGTACAGACCAATTGGGTAGTACCAGCAGACGAAGATGACGACACTCATGAGCGCGTTCCACGGCAGCTCAACAATGATATTGGCAGCCATGAAAGCCTTCCAAGAGTAACTCTTAGAAGGTCTCTCGCGGGCCTCGTAGAGAGCGCGCTGAGTGCAGAAATTGGGAAGAATCTGTTGAACCAGGTTTCCGAAAATAGTCATCAACATGAATATGGAGAACATCTGGTTTTGAAGACCCTGCGAAGTGTTCTTGGCGTGGAAGAATGAAAATCCAATGTACAAGGCAGTAAGGGCGCACAGGGTGAACTTGGAGTAAATGTACACGGGTGTACGCCAGTACTGCGAGAAGACCCGGAGCAAGCACTCCCACAATTGAACAGAAAACGGCGCAGCGAATTCGTTGTAGCTACCGGGATCCGCCTGGGTGGTGTCACTCGGTTTCTGGGAGAGAGTAGACTTGAGTTCGGCCAGGTGGTCAAGCACAGCTTTGTGTTCAGGGCTATCACGCCACACAGCGGGCCAGTCGATATCACTGTGAGATCCAGGAGCGGCACCAATGACTTCGAGCATCCATTCGGCGGGGTTGGCATCGGCAGGGAGCTTGGGAGCACCGTTGCGTTCGAAATAACTGGCAAGGGTAGAGGACTTCTCTCCGATATCTCCGAAGTAGACCGTTCTACCGCCTCGTGCAAGGAACAACAGACGGTCAAAGCGCTGGAACAGCATGGCCGAAGGCTGGTGAATAGTACACAGAATAGCTTGACCATGCTGAGTCAAGGTGTCAATGAGATCGAGAATGGACCAGGATGTTTGACTGTCAAGTCCCGAAGTAGGTTCGTCCAAGAACAAAAGCAATTGCGGCTTGGCCGCCAATTCAACTCCGATGGTGAGACGCTTCCGCTGTTCGACGTTGAGACCTAATCCATGTCAGACACAATTCGCGCGCGACTCCAAGCTCAGGGTCAGCTTACCTTCGCCGGGAACACCAACGACGGCGTCAGCATACTCCTCCATGTTTAGTAGCTTGATGACTTCTTCAACATAGTCAAGCTTCTCTTGGCGGCTGACGTGGGCAGGCTGACGAAGGAGGGCGCTGAAACGGAGAGCCTCACGGACAGTGGTAGTGTGGAGGTGGAGATCCTGCTGTTGCACATATCCAGTCTTGCGCTGGAAACTCTGATCGCGCGGACGACCATCAACCAACATTTCACCGGTGACAACACCCATGGTGACACGAGTAGCAAGCACGTCCAGGAGGGTTGTTTTACCGGCACCCGAAACACCCTAAATGAACATTTAGTAAAGTATTTTTGTTAAGTGAGGGAGGTCAGGTCATACCATAAGAGCAGTGCATGTTCCAGGCTTGACCCATCCATCCACATGATCGAGAATGCGGCGCGGTTCGCCCTTGATCTTGATATCGTAGCACACATCTTGCCATTGGAAGATAGCAGTCTGTCTCTGAATAGCGGCACTCTGCTGACCACCGGTTTGGTCGGCCTTCTCAGGGGAGGCAAATTGACGGCTTGATTCGACATCCTTAGCAGCGATAGCAGTGTGACCGCGGCGGAAGAGCAGAACCTCGCCCTTGGACTTGGCTTCGGAGATATACTCGGTGGCTAGCAAATATGTGCCCATGAGGGCGATCATGAAAGCAAACATGATTCCCAGGTTGCGCCATTTGTGGCTGTTGTAGTAGTCGAAGCTCAACGCAAGATACCTATCACCGTCGACGTAGGACTGGCCAGAAACCGCACCCACTGTGGAGCAGATCTTGTTCGCAAGGGGCAGAGAATCATACCCATTGCCGGAGGGAACGTAGCCATCTTCAGAACACGGAAACCTCCGGTTATGAAACTCGTTGACCATCAGACTCTCGAAACCGTAAGCAATCGGATTGATATAGTTCATCCATCTCGACCAGCCCAGCATATAAGTCGTGGGGATTGTGAAACCCGTGTAGATGACCAAACCCAAGATGAGAATGGCAGCAGGGACGAGAGCTTGGTTCGAGGTTAGCTTTGAAAGAAGAACAATGTGAATACCTCTCAGAAAGACATACCCTGAGAAAGTGTACGGGAAGAAGCGGCGATGGTACGGAAGAGCATAGACATGGTCAGGGTCGTGACGAAGGAGAACAGCAGGAAGACGAAGAAGGCACCCGGCGTCCGACGAAGATTGGTCATGAAATAGAGCGTGAGATTGAAGATAATTGCGTTTGCGATTTTGTAGGGCATGTCAGTGAGCATAGACGCGATGGCTTCGGCGAAAGGATGATACATGGCGTAACGAGATTGCTTCTCAACGATTGGACGTTGTGCGTACAAGGTCAAGATCTGATTACAGTGTCAGCAGCTGAGAACAAGCCGAAATTCAATGCGAAAGGCAGCGACATACCTCGAGCGCACTAGAGAAGGCATTGAGCAACACGGCGAAGAAAAGCAGGGCACCACGAGAGTAGAAACTGTCCGTCTCGTCCTTTAGGTTGTAAAACACACTTCCAATGATAAGAGCCATGATGAAGTTTCCGACCAACTGGGAGATAGTCAAACTGGCATCACCCTGCAAGCGTTGGAACCCACGGATCAAGCAGAGCTTGACCTGTTCATACAGGGAGATCGTGTAGGGAGACTTGACGCGCTGGTTCTTGGACTGCATAGCTTTGCGGGACTCGATGAACTTGCCAAGCGACTCGCCACCAATGGCATATTGTTGGTTGTACTCGGCAATATCTCGGAGCAACTTGGCGTGTGCCTCACTGTTCTTCCATGCAGCTGCGAATTCGTCAGGAGTCTGAGGCACCTTGCCTTCATAGCCCGGCTTGACGATACGTTCTGCGGGAGAGGTCAGGGAGGTGAGGAAATCGGCAGTAGTCTGACGATCCGGACACTCAAAGCCCATAGTGGTGAAAAACTCCCTCGCCTCATTGGTGGGGCCAAAGTAGATCTGTCGACCTTCGTACAGAACGGTGACCTTGTCGAAGACGTCATAGGCACTCTGCGACGCTTGGTAGATGGCGACTGCAACAGTCGCTCCAGCGTATTTGGTCATCAGGTTCAGTGTCTTACAGAACTCCAAAGCGTTGGCCGAATCTAGACCACGCGTACTGTTGTCCCAACACTGCAAGGGAGAGCCACACAAAGTGGCTTCGGCGATACTGACACGCTTGCGCTCACCACCACTGACTCCACGGACAAAGTCGTTGCCAACCTTGGTATTAATGGTATGAGACAGGCCCAACATCGCCATGACCGCATCGCGCATGTGCAGCGCATATTGCTCCTTGGTGACGCCCGGAAATCGGTTCCGAGGGCAACGAGCGAGCGCGGCAAACTTGAGGGTGTCACCGACGGTCAACTGCGGGAAGTGTACGTCGGTTTCGGCGGTGTAAATAGCCTCGCCCTTGAACTGCTTTTGCATCTGCTGGGCTGAAATGCCTTGGTAGTTCAGCTGAGACGCCTCGTCCATGTAGATACCGTTCATTTCACCGGCGAGGGTTTTCAGAAAGGTTGAGCAACCGCTTCCTGGGCGACCCAAGACCACCAACATTTCGCCGTTGCGCACCAGTCCATCGAAGTCACGGAGAATTTGGATTTTTTGCTTTCCGGTACCTGTGAGTTTGCGGACAAGGGCGCCGATCTGGAAGATGGAGTTGAAAACATCCTTCTGATAATCCGTTGGACTACCATAACCGTGAATGCTGAGGTTCTGGAAGGAAACACCTGCTTCTCGTCTAGGGTATCTTTCGGGATCACGCGAGGAGAGGGCGAGAAGGTTCTTCATCCAATGCTTTGCTTTGAAGTTGGGACTGGCGGGGTTCAAGGTCGAATCCTCCTTCGTCTCCAAGAAGGTATTCTCGCCATGTGTCGAGAAACGAGTGGATTGACGGGTCAACTGCTGCGCCAGACGGTGGATCTCTTGCGCCGCCACGCCATCACTCTCATTGTCGATATCCTCCTTATCTGGCTCTACCTTCTCGAGGGCAGTCTCGGCGCTGCTGAAGGTAGTGTGTCGGCTCCAACGACCTCTGGTATCGGACCCTGGTGGACTAACACCAGACTCTGCCATCAACTTCTCTTCGTCACGGGTGCTGTGCTGGTGGTGGCCTAGCTCGGCTGTTCCTTCGTTCACAGCCGATGCGGATGTAGCAGCTAAGCCTTCATTGCTGTTCTCGTGGATTTCGTGGGACTCCACACCTCGAGCTGGATTAAGATTAGGATTTATAGTGCCTAAGAGCGACATGGTGATAAAGGGTGGAGACGATCAGTCTCGCAAGACTGTGCCAGTTAAAGAGAGGACGCTAGAAGCATAGATGGTTGGGTCAAAGGAGACTAAGCAAGCAGTCGATCACGGATCGATTGCTCGGCAAAGAGGGGAGGAAGCCGTAACGAATGACAAGTGTAGAAGGGCGAGGAGAATGCTGAAAAATAGCGGGACGAATGCTAGAGTTAAAAGTATCTGGTGCTTGGTGGTTGTTATAGTAGCGGCCGCTTTAATGCCCCGTATGGTTTAGAACTAGCTCAACTGACGACAGACTGACTAGCAACGAGTCGGTGGTCAATCGATCAGTAATGAGACCGCGATCTTCGCCGTTCAAGAGGACAAACAGGCTAAAAAGCGAACAACAGGGGGAAAAAATCAACAATCAGGACCCAGCATCTGGGCTCTGACCCATTTTACAGGCCCCAAAGAGTGGAAAAGTTTACGCTGCGATGGGCGAATCGGGAGCAAGAACGATGCAACATCCGGGTCGGAACCCAGATTGATACACCCAGATCCACCCGGTGCTTCCCACTCTCCGTGCGTATTTTCTGCCTTGAATACGCCATGCGGGATATGAGACGGGTTTGACACAGGTCACCAGTCATCACAGAGGCTCGAGCAGAACCTTTTCTTCCGGAGAAACTCGCATATTAAGTCCGACGTGACTAGGGCCTCTATTTGTGGGGGGCAACGGAGGTAAGCAGCTGCAAGCACAAGGCAGATGGAGACGATGATTGGCTAAGGACCCTGTTGGGCTCCATTGACGAGAAATTTCCAGGCTTCTTCGCACCTCCTTAGGCTTGTTCGAGGGATCGATGCCAAGCCAAACCAGGAAGAGAGATGACGATAACCCGGACAGCCCGTCATTTCATTGGACATCAGCTAGTATACGGATGAGGAATGAGATTGTAGGCTTGCTTGCTGGGAGGGGACGCCACTACGGAAAATCCAATCTGTCAGTGCACTGTCACAGATAGTACTATGAAGTTTGATAAGTGTGGTCTGTACTTCGTACCGGTGTAGCCAAGGGTCACAAGGTAAGGGAATACCTCATTACCTCTGTCACGTTCCTTGGGTAGCAAGCAGTAAGCATGAGCAGTTGCCACCTGCAAGCGAGGAGCAAAATCGAATTGACACTGGCGGACTCATAGACTCATAGTGAGTAATCCTCCGGAGTAGTAAGACTGAGGGGCCTAGAACCTAAGCAGGAAAACGTGGCGAGAAAAGCTAGGAAAGAAAGCTAGGATTGCAACCTGCCATCATTTCGAGCCAAGGGAGTGAGAAAAGAATTGGGGCGAAGAGTCCATTGTCCCAAAGGAGTAGCCAAGTGGGCCGGAGAGGCGGGATTCCAGCCATCCGAAGCCCCATCGAATTTTCCCCTGTTCGAACCCGTCTCGGGAGGGAGGGGCTCCGGTGCGCATGAAATAGTGCTGATGACTCAGCTATGCTTCCCTAAGTTTAACTACCTACCTTAACTAATGTTAAATACTGGGTACTCTGGCATACTTGGGTTGTACGTCTCCCCACCAACCAACCATCACAGTATGTCCGCCAGAAGACGCATCATCTACACCTGGTATGACGGACATACCCGGCTGATGCTGTGTCACACTGATACACAGTCAAACCGTTCACCGCAGGTTGCTGCTGTTCTTGGATTGATCAATGGATTCCATCCACCGCTACTTACGGAGTACTATTGGTACTCCGTACAAAGTACGAAGTAGTCTACCTCCGTAGTCAAAGTTCCTTGATAAGCAGAGAAGATTAATCCACGATCGGCTATTGTAATAATAGAAATTGTCTTCTATATCGTAGACTCCACTGGCTTCGACTGGAGGTTCCCACTAAGTTGCTGCCTGGCGGAGTAGATTCCCTGCTCTTCGGTGCGGCTGAACAGGCATGTGCTTAATGCTTACGGCTTCACCGCGAAATGTCTCTGATAAAGCAAGCGTGGTCTATAATGATTCATTCTGAGGCCAGTCACGTCGGGTACCATACATAGTCACGTCAATAAATCAATACTCGATACTCGTACATGTACATGGTGCTCACGAGTCCTCCTCATCCCCATCCTCCTGGTCACTTTCGTCATCGATGGGTTCAACCAGAAGGTTTCCACCGCGGCCGATCTGATCTCGGATGGAACCCCCGGCACCCACTTCATAGACTACCCGCGGCATAGGTGAAACCAGTCGAAATCCGTACTGGTGGTCGAACCCCTCTGGTTTGGCGACCGCCACAGTGCCCTCATGGGGCTCTTTCAGTAAGTCATAGCATTCGACAAAGGCGTACAGCTCATCGATGCTCGCATCAGGCGCGAATTTCCGAATGACGCGTTCGCCCGACGGCAACCTGACACTGATGCGCACCGCATCCTTGGCATCCGCACCGGGTTCCGCAGCGATCGACTGTGCTCGCCATTGTCTCCACTGCTGGATATCTTGGATCCGCTTCTCCTCTGCCGCTTGTCGTTCCGCCGCCTCCTGCTCCGCCCGTTGTTGGGCTGCCTCCGCCTCGCGTCTCTGCCGCGCCCGTTCGCGGTCAATGGCCAACGAGCGCTCGTAGGCGGAGTCCTGCTGCTCGCGTAGACTGCGCGACGCCTGCTGTTCTGCCCGTGTGGCTCGAATGCGCTCCAGAGGTTCTTTGTTCTGAGTGATCGCCGTCCGAAGCTTTTCCACAAAGTCGGAGGGAGACGTGGTGCCTGGGATGCGGGCGACGACAGACATCGCAGTCGAGGAAACATTGGGCGTATGGACGACCGCAGCCGCGAAGGGGAACTTGGTACAGCGTAGCGAGTTTGCAACCTGGTATGCCTCCGCATCTTGGATGTTTCCTCCCCACACTAGAATCTCATTCTGCGGGTCCTGGACCAAATCGGTGACCTCGCGCGAGAGCAGGGTGTCGCGGACCCAGCCGTGCGTGTCGTCGTGCTCGGGTGCAATTAGCACGACCAGGAGGATTTTCAGATCCCGGTGCGCTTTTTCCAGCGCCATATTGTACCCATTTTCTAGGAAGCGAATAGAGTTGGTGCCGTACTCTTCCTCGAACTCCCGAATGAACCGGGCAGCGGTATCTTTGGGTCCCAACGGCCGTCGTCCATTGGTATTCCGGCGTGCGCCATGTAGAGCAGGACTAGCTGTGGTGTTGAAGAACCGAGGCAGGAAGGGAAACAGAGAGCCGAACAGGCGAAACGAGCTGTACAGCAATCTGTAGAGAAGATTGAGCGGGGTGAACAAGAGCGCTAGAATGAAAGGTGGGCGATAGACCGGCTGCTCCTCGGATTGGGTGACTATCCGGGGAGCAGGTTCGGCCGAGCGAGTAGCTGGAGAGAATTGCGCGTGTAGGTCATCACTCAATAAATTCTGCGTCTGTCGAGTGGGCCTTGGGGGAGGGGTATTTAAGGCGGCGCGAGCTTCTTCAACCGGGTCTGGACCTTCTCCGTCAAAGAATTTCGAGATGGCAATCTTCATAGACCTGAGTTTAGCCATGGCGCAATCGAGCCCAGTGAGGAAATACTGGGAAGCCTACCTGCACGTTCCATTCCGACCTCCGTAACAAAGGAATAGCCTCCAGAGGCTCCTGGCCGGTCACTGCAATATAGGTTTCCAGACTGGTCCGCTCGCTGTCGGACAGCTGCGAGATATCAAGCCCGGATGAGGACATTTTCAATTGACCCTCTTGACCATAAATGGGATGTATGTGGGCGAAATGATATGAAGCCGCACGGAGACAGGTTAGAGGGGAAGCGGTGAGTCTGCCTCGGTTCAAGGGTTCGAAGATAGCAGAATGCCAGGACTAAATATGTACTGCATATACTCTCTCAGAGAGGCAAGTCGATAGCCTCCTCTAGGGGGGGGGGGGGGGGGGGGG